GTCTGAAGCTCAGGATAAACTTCCAGGAACCAGGCATGGCGTCCAAGGATAAACAATGCCTCCGGTAATGCACCAATACACAGTAGACTTTTCAGAAGCGTATACTTCTGATCCGTTGGTTCGGGTAGGTCTTTCTTCTTTTCTGCAGGCTCGTCGGGGTTTACAGGTGTATTTCTTCCGGTGTCCGGTTTTGATTTGTTTTCAGTATCCCTCAGACGGGAAACGGCAGGTTGTCCAGGTGTATCGTCAGGTAATGCGCCGGCCATAGTCAGCGCGTTGGAAACCGCACCGCGTTCCTTGTCCTCCTTTTCCTTCTTAGCCTTCAGAAGTTTTTCCTTGTGCACAGCCATATCCTCTTCCAACGGGTATAGATGTGGGTATAGATCGAGAATGGAAATGAATCCAATCTTGATTAAGAGCGCAATTAGGTACATGAGGTTCTCAGGGAGGACATCTGAAGCATCGCGGACGTCAGAGGCATAGAAACGAAGCTTGAAGCCGAGGAGTTGTGCTGCAATGTCGTTTCCAGAGGGGGGGAGAGTCTTGGTTTGCGCCATCCATTCGTCTGCCCATTTTCGAGCTGCTTGCTGCTTGGAGAGCGATGCACCTTCGGCGGGTAGTGTTTGGTCTGGCTGTCGGTTGTTCGAAATAACACGGCGTGCACCAAGCTCAAAGAATGCCTGAACGCCTGCCCGATCACCCAGCTCACCTACACGTCGCCAGAACTTTCGGTCTCGGGATTCGCGTAGTCGCAGCTGCTCTTCTTTCTCTTCGTCCGAGTAATACCAGAGCTTGGAGCCCGGCTCAGCCCAGCACGGAAGCGTGGGAACTTCGGGTTCCTCCCATTCGATATTGTCGAAACCGCGTAGCTCGGGCCACCATGCGCTCGTCCGTAATAGCTTAACGAAGAATCTGCCGTGCTTGACTAGAAGATTGGCAAACACATCGAGTGTCACATCAAGGACTCGTCCAATATCCAAGTCGAAGGCACCAATGAGGGCATTTACCCGTTGATAGGTCTCGCTCACGACTTCCTGGTTTGGTGGTTCACTGTTAACGGTGGTGAAATATTCGGTCATTAGCTTCGAGTAACCCTCGGTCTCTTCGCGCAGGAGGTTGTAGTTGGATTGCCGGTACAGTGCGTGGGTGGCTTTGCGAACAGCCATCTTGCCAAAACTATCCCGAACCAGACCCAGTGACTTCAAGAGGTCGTTCTCGAGTTCGGAGCGCATGCGTGAAACGTCGATGTTGGTAGCAACGAGCATCTGCCGTACAGACGCCTGTTTGCTCTCATCGTGCGTGAGCGAACTCAAAGTATCGAGGAAAGTCGATGTTGAGTCAATGTCGTCGTCGGTCGATACTGATACAATGTTTTGCACCATGGAGCCCAACTCGCCAGCATCCAGGGTATGGTTTATGGATGCCTCGATGATTTCGTGGAATATGACTGACAGGGTGAGTACGTTGCCCTCGCGCTGGGCAGACAAAGCAGCCTGCACCACAGCGTCGCGTGCCTCGCCGTTCCAATGAGCGACCCGGTCTGGTGTCAGGTACTCGTTGCTATCAGGCACCTGGCGCGGCGTCGTGGGTCTCGACGGCTGCGCAGGGGCGGCAGGGCGCACAGGAGTGGACGGTGCCGGCTGAGGCGGCCTGGCTGATGTGAAAGAAGTATTACTGGTGGGCGACATGGCAGGCGGCGATGCATGCGAGATGTTGGGGCTCTGGGGCACACTGGAGCCGCCGCGACCATTGTTTCTGCCGGGCCGCCTGCCAGCTCCACCTCCGCCGCGTGGGCTGTTGGTTTGCTGCTGGTTATGCGAGAGTCCCATGTTCTGCGGGCGATGCGGCGACGGGCGGCCGGTGCGGTCGTCATCCTGTGAGTAAGTACGGTCAGGTCGCTTTCGCTTTGGCGGGGGAGCCATGGTGGTACCCTCTCAGGATCGAGAGACCGGCGCGAACTGGGAGTTGATAAAATATGAGGCGAGCATGCGGTGGTTGCTCGTGAGAGCGCTAGCTCGACAATACGTAGTTGGCGTTTGCGCGCGCGCGTACCGTGCAGTCAATGAGCGATACAGACACTGGAGAAGAAGCGCGGGTCCAGGCTGGTAGGTAGTGCCAGAGCAGGAGGGCAAGAGTCGCGTTGCGGCGGGCGCGGGTTGATGATGAAAGCGTGTCTGGAACTTGCACAGGCTCAAGACATCGCGAGCTCCGCTAGCGTCCGACCGTGCATTCATTCACCTCGACTCTTTGTCTGCGCCGCTGCCTACCGTATCACCGCAATTCACCATCACCACTGCCATGCACACCGCCACATGCACGCTTTCATACATAATAACATACGCACACATAATGGGACAATATATAAGCAGACAATTAATAGTTGTGTTGCGCTGCAGTTTCAAGCCATCATCTTAGGCTATCCAGGTCTCAAACTATACAAAAGAGCGACCAGACCGTCGTCACCATATACACTAGAACATCTGCGCATCTATGCTGCGGCTGCAACAGCCTGAGCCGTGGCCTTGCGCTCGTGCTCAAGCACAGCTTCAAGCACACCAGTCGCTCCCTGGCCGGCCTTCATCTCGCGGATAACATCAACAAGGCCAAGCTGCTCATCTGTCCAGAGTGGAGCTTCTTCAGCCTTACCAGCTTCGCCCACACCAATGAAGCCGCCCTCGGCAGCCCACTCGCTAGTGCGCTTGATTCCAAGCTGTGTCCACACAGCGTCAACAGCCTCAACCAGGTGCTCCCGGTACTCGCGGACATGGCCAGGCGTGGGCGTGATGCGAAGGCGCTCCTGACCGACAGGAACGGTAGGGTAGTTGATTGCCTGCACATAGATGCCCCAATCCTCGAGCAGCATATCTGATGCCTTTCTGGCAATTTCGGCGTTGCCAACAAGTACGGGCACAATGTGGCTAGGGTTCGGGATGACGGGAATGTCCTTCGCGTTCAATGCGTCCTTAACTGCCCGAGTGTGCAGTTGCTGCAGGCGCCTGTCACCCTGGTAGTTTGCCTGGTACTCAATAGCAGTCTGAGCACCGGCCATAGTCGCGGGTGGCAGCGAGGTAGTGAAGATGAAGCCGGGAGCAAGCGACCTAATCGTGTCAACTAGCTTAGAAGAACCTGCAATATAGCCGCCAACAGTGCCATATGCCTTTCCGAGCGTGCCAGTGATAATATCTACGCGATCCTGAATCGTGCCCTGGGGTCGACCTGCCTTGTGTGCCTCGTAATCCAGATGCTCCGCAACGCCAGCGCCGTGTGGTCCGTACATGCCTACAGCATGGACTTCATCCAAAAAGGTGATCGCGCCGTACTTTTCAGCAAGATCGCAGATTTCTTCAATAGGGCCAATAGATCCGCACATGCTGTATACACTTTCAAATGCAATGATCTTGGGATACTCTGCAGGAATCGACTTCAGCTTTGCTTCAAGATCTGCGACATCGTTGTGCTTAAACACCATCTTCTTTGCGCCAGAGTGGCGAATGCCCTGGATCATGGAAGCGTGGTTCAGGTTGTCCGAGAGAATGACACAATTGGGCAATTTACTGCCCAAAGTTGCCAGCGTCGCATCGTTGGCTACATAGCACGAAGAAAAGACAAGCGCAGCCTCCTTCGAGTGCAGCTTTGCGATTGTGTTCTCCAGCGCCACGGCGTGCTTGTTGTGGCCTGAGATGTTCCTAGTGCCTCCGGCACCTGCTCCATACGTGTCCAGCGTTTCGTGCATAGTCTTGAGCACATTTGGGTTGCGGCCCATGCCCAGGTAGTCGTTAGAGCACCATACCGTCACCTTGTCCTCGGCCGATTCCTTGTGCGCACGAGGAAACTCCTTAGCCAGACGATTGATGTTGTTGAAGTATCGGTACGACTTGTCCTTGTGCTTTTTCTCAAGCTCGTTTTGGTAGAAGCCTTCGTAGTCGAAATTGGAGCCCTTGGAAGCAACAGGGGCGGCAAAGTTGGAGGGCTTACCAACAACGGGTTTGAGGGGTGCGTGGGGGAACGGAGCCAGGCCTGTGCTGCGTTAGTTTGTTGATGTCATGTATTCGCTCTTGCAAATATTCATACCCTTCTGGCCTCTCAGATTCTCGATATCGATAGCCTGAGCCTCCTTGGACGCCGTCGTATGGAGTTTTGCCCGGTTAACGCGCGAGTGGTAAGCACGCACACCGCCGAAAGCGCCGGCTAGTGCATTGTTGCCATTGCGGGCAGTCTGCACAGCAAGCGCCTTACCCATGATAGGGCAGCGGCGAGCGAGCACCTGGAGATTCGACATGCTGCCAGCGCCAGGCGAAACTTCATGGCGGGCAGCGGCGGCCGTGGTGGTGGAGAGGGAGCGCAGCGTGGCGGGTGACGTCTTGTGAAGGAACGGACACATGGACTTTGACTGGCGCAAAAGAGCCTCCATGGTGGTTGATTGCGCGGGGCGTGAATCTTTGAGAGTATGCGATGAGGGTTTGTATATATGTATTTTTGTGCTGAAGTTAGTGTTGGAGAGGAGAATGGGAAAGAGCGGGAGGACTTGTTCTGAAAATGTGTCAATCCCGAAAGTTGAGTTACATGCGGTAATAGCGCGGAGCCAGGGAATGCCGGTCATCCACCTCAATTGAACCAACCATGATTGGTTCGTCGTGTTAGGATTCCGGGCCCGGGGTTAATAAGCGTCACTATGAGGATACAGTTTATATTACCGGGCTTGTTATTCTGTGAGAATGTACGCATGAGGGGTCCCGGGCCTAGCCCATGGCTTCCGTTGCCGGAGCCCCCGCCCGTATCTTGTCAAATTCTTTCGACAGCGGCTCCACGTAAAAGTTCCAGACGAGCTCATCTGAGTAAACGTGGGACCCTGTACCTCGGTGAACATCTATGTGGTACAGACCACGTGATTAACATCTCCACGTCTCGGATCCCGACCTTATCTCAAGTCTGCAGAAATATGGATCCCATTCTTACGTGAGCAGCAAACTTTAGTCGCGCTCTAGATACATACTATGTAAGTACTACCTATCAGCTTGCAGATGCCATGAACCCTGATGGATTAAGCGTGAAGTGTGAGTCGGCCAGGAGCTAGCAACACTGCCGAGATGCGCCGCGTGTAGTGCGATATTCACCGCATCGGCATCATATATGCCTGCCGAGGCCTAGATGCCCTCCGATGACATACCACACCGGACATGAAAAGACACTAGACAGCATGTTAGTCAGTCAACTGCATGTCCTCAGTCGTCGTCTGATATCTCGATGATCTCTGCCTGTGACGGTTGGTCAGGGTGCTGCAAAGCTTGTTCGCTAAAGGTCGTTTCCATAATTTTACAAAGGTAGTCGTAGAAGGCAGATACTCCTGCAGATCCGTCGTCCATACAAGACTTGAGCTCTTCTAGTTCTGGCGTAGATGCGTTTGGTTTATCAAAATAGTTCCTGCAGAACCACCACGACAGAAACAAGTTGGTAAAGCTGGTAATCTTGGCCACGTCTCGAGGGAGTACACCCTGCAGTTTCGATTCTCCTCTCCATAACATCTTGATACACGCTGCAATTTCTCTTAATAGACCTGTCTTGCTAATGAGCTGAACACGGGTGCGAACCGACTCGCGATCGCCAGCATTCATTTCAAAGATGGTTTTGGAAACAATACGCTTGCGGTCAAGATGGTTGATTAATTCTTGCCATCTCCAGCGGCGTACCGAATTTATCGAAGCATTTTCGGGGTCGTCTCCATATCTTCGGAGAACAGGTGTGTGTCGTGTGCCACTGGGATAAAGAGGGTCACGGTTCTTGTTGACCACAGGCTCTATGCTGTGCGTAATGGCGATTTCAGGTGAGAGCGACTGCCTTTGGCGACTCGAGGAATTCCCAGAAATATCACGAAGGATAAAGTCCGGTGTTAATGTCCGCCTCTGGTGGCTTAGTAAATTCCCAGTACTGTCAGCCATATCTTGACGAGGCTCTCCTATTTCCGAAGGTTCGGGCGAAGTATCCAGATTGATAACCTCAGTGGTTGCAACAGCCTGGGGTCTTGGTAATGATGCCATGCTAGTATCGTCGGCTGAGCTTGCAAGGTCATCATCGCTATTGACAGGCTCCAGTTGGTATATATCCCTTAGCCAACCGGCCAGCTCCATTGCCTGAATAGTAGTCTCAAGATTGCGACATTGCGTGCGTACGTCATTCTAGATGGTAGCTTAATGTCAGTCTTCCTTCAGTCGTGTTACAAGAGCATTCACTTACGGGGTTGCTTCCAGCAGCCCTCACAATCTCATCGCATAGTTTGTCGAGTCTGTGGCTAAAGTATGCATGATCTTCCTCGTACTTTTGCACAAGATTTTTTCTCTGTCCCGAGGCTTCTGCCTCGTCCCACATGGCGTCGACATCGTAGACGACTTCCTCGCCGCGGGGAACGCCTGCATTCGGTTTCCAGGATTCGCTGTAGGCATCGATGCACTCATTAATAATATTGATGATTTCCTCAGAAGGGAGCTTGGTTCGACTTGATGGTACTTCTACCTCGTCAAGTTCGTGCGGATCGTCTATGTCTCCATCTTCTCCATCTGCGTCGATAGAATCATCGTCCTCTTGACTGTCTTCAGCAGCAAAGTCGACCACCTTGTCGTCTTCAGTTGTATTTTGCCATCGCAGAAGATGTTCAAACTCGTTTGATGTATGATGCGTCTGCGTCTGCGGGGCTTGGCGCACTGATTCGACTGGGATGATCTCAACACTGCTTCGTTTTTGTTCAGTACCCCGATGGTTGGACGTTATATGTGGGCTTCGAGTGATTGGTGCAATTAGCGAAGCATTCGGGGCGTTGTCATTGAGCGGTGCTACACCCGCATTGGCCGTGTGCTGGATATGGTAGCCATGTGAATCTCGTCGAAGCAGTTCTATCACTGAGTGTAGAGCAAACCGCTGACTTATAGGAGATATGTTTAGTTTATTTGTAATTACTACTTCGTGCATTCCAAATGAAGTAAGTAGCGTCTTCCCTGTCATTTTGTGCGCTCGCAGCTCAGTCTCAAGAGCTGAGCTATCCGGAATGTTATCGACAGAATGCCGTGCACTAATGAATAGCGTGGGTGAGTGACATAGGTTGGCGACTAGCTCGTCTACACTCCATAGCCAGGGATCATTAGTGGACATGTTGATTGCTTGAGAACACATATGGGCGTCAAGGTGTTATTGAAACTGATAAGGTAAAAGACGTGAGGATAAGTATTAGCGTGGCGTGTGCCCAATGTTGTGTATCGCGCCGTTTACTCGCCACTTACCTGGGCACACGCGGTCATGTGACAGCGCGAGGAGGGGTAAAGTGCATACATTACAAGCGGCGCAGTGAGAACACAGTAGGGGCACTCAAGGGCAAGAGCATTAGACGCCCAGTATCACACTCAAATATTGTTAGACAAGGCGTCGTTTACCGATCGAGTGATGTAAGCAAGTGAGTCGGTTCGCGACCGTAGCGGGGCAGATGAGACTATCGCTTTAGCGCCGACTGCATTTGTAAGTTCCTCAAGAGGTACTTTCTCTAGCAATCCATCCAGCCTCTCCACAACAATCTAATCATACCAGCAGCCATGGCCTCTATAGCGAATGCAGAGTACCCGCCAAAATTATCTCAGGAGGAGGAGCAGTACCTGCTGGAGAATCTCAAGGACTGGTCCATAGCGCATGGCCTAGCGGTGCGTCCTGCGCCCTCGTTCATCAATCCCTCGCAGGACCCGTCAGGCGTATTGGCAAGCACAGCTCCGGTCACCTTGTTCCCCAGTCTTTTCCCACGCTCTTGTTTCGAGCAGGGACTCGCCATACAAAAGGCTTACAACGAGTTATACTCGGCAATCGCAAGGGACGAATCATGGTTGAAGAGCATTGTGGAGCAGCTTTTGGATGTAGACGACTTCGTTGCAAAGCTATGGCACACCCATCTCGAAGTCAAGAAGGAGGGCTACGTACAAGACCTCTCATTGGGGCTTTTCCGCTCAGATTACATGATACATCAAGACTTGTCACAATCTAAGTCTCCACCCGGATTGAAGCAGGTAGAGTTCAATACCATTGCTTCGTCATTTGGTGGTCTCTCGAGCCAGGTGTCGGCGTTGCACAAGTATCTACTCACTATTGATGCTTACCCGAAATCGACACGCTCAACCATCAAGGAGGAGGCTCTACAACTGAGCAAATCTGCCTCTTCCCTAGCAAAAGGTCTCGCTGCAGCGCACAAGGCATATGGAGCATCACGCACTGGCCGACCTCTCTGCGTTTTGTTCGTTGTACAGGACCCTGAAAGGAATGTCTTTGATCAGAGGCATCTCGAATATGCTTTGCTAGAAGAAAACGGCGTCCGTTCATTTCGCTTGCCGTTTGGCCAAACCTTGACCCATACGAAGCTTGACTCGGATCGCACATTAGTCTATACGCCACCAAATTCGCCAGCGACATGGTACGAAGTGACGACTGTCTACTTCCGAGCAGGGTACTCGCCAGACGATTACCCAAAAGACAAGGACTGGGTAGCACGCCTTCACCTTGAGAAGAGCCGTGCAATCAAATGCCCCAGTATCTTGACCCACCTCGCTGGATGCAAAAAAGTGCAACAGGTGCTCGCAACACCACACTCGCAACATCTCAAGCGCTTCCTTCCCGATGACCAGGTCGCTGCGCGCATGCTAGAGACATTTGCGCCCATCTACCCACTAGACAACAGCGAAGCTGGCCAGGAAGCACAGAAACTTGCTACGGACGCTTCGACGGCCGTTAAGTATGTGTTGAAGCCCCAACGGGAGGGAGGCGGGAACAACGTTTACCGGAAAGCCATCCCGCCGTTCTTGGCAAAGCTCCCCGAGAGCCATTGGCCAGCGTACATTTTGATGGAAATGATCGAGCCGCCTCCGCTGGAAAATGCTATTCTGCGAAACGGAGAGCTACAGAGAGGCGGTGTTATTTGCGAGCTGGGCATTTACGGCGCGTGTCTTTGGAGAGATGGCAATGGAGTCGACAACAAGGGCGAGATACTAGAGAATTGGGAAGCCGGTTATCTTCTCCGCACAAAAGGCGACCAGAGCGAGGAGGGCGGCGTAGCGGCAGGTTTCGGAGCAGTAGATAGCTGCTGCTTAGTGGACGAGTGATGGGCAGTATACTGGTACCGAGGACGCAGACGTATTGGAGCACGCGGGGCAACGGTAGTGGAATAGCGTGAACCACAAATCAATATGGAAATGACCAACAGAAAAATGTATTGAGAAGATGGCGCAGAGCTATCTCAAGGCCACTGGCGTGATCCAACAAAAACATCGTCGCATATCCTTATGGCAATGTATGATTGAAGGTGGTGAATGTGGTGCCATCATGTAACGTCATGTCATGAGTGCGCCTCAGGCCTGCAAGGCTTTTGCCTGTATTGGCAATCTTAAAAGGCCCACCCGGGTTTCGGGGTGAAGGCACCTGCGTTGGGTGACATGTCTACACAGTCAGATCAAGATCAGATGCAAGATCAACGTCGTACTCGGGAGCGATGTTGACACTGACGGTCGATGAGAATGGGGGATCGGCCATGGTAGGTGAGCAAGGGCGCTGGTGGGCTGGCATCGGGATGGCGAAGGTCATAATTGTCAAAAGAGCTGTCAGTGCAGTTGGCGAAACCCGTGACAAGCAGGCTGACAGGCGACAGCTGGATTCGCTACGTCAAACATGAGCGCACGGCCACGTGTGTATGCCAAAGGCAGAACTGGATCTTCGGCGGCTCGCACGGCTCATGGTAGATCAAGTATTGGCGTCTTTCGCTTGTGGGATTGGCCCGGCCCGGCGTCCTGGTCACATTATCTGCTTTCGGGCGACGCGAGAGCAATTTGGCGGCGCGGCGAGGAAGATGCTTCATATATACCCAGTTATACGCTGACTGTATGCTGAGGCTGTGAGGCTTTTGCGGTGGGACTACGGAGGTTACACGTCGACGTTTTATGTGAGGAGGGGGCCCCCCTTCCCTCCTTCGGTGGATGTGCTTCATGCAACGAGCCGCAGGCTTATGCAGGCCGCGTAGCGCAACCCCAGCGCTCCAGTATGGCGGAAGAGCAGCCCTAGGAATAAGCACTCTTCCTCGCATCGCGAAGCACTCCTCTTGGTCAGCTTCTGAGGCGTCAGAGGACATCCTAGTCTCGATGCCCTTGTGAAAAACAAGTCTGACATGGCATACTCTGTTTGCATTCAGACAGAAGGTGATGAGCAGACTGTCTGGGACTAACCGCTGCCGCATCAGGAAAGCTGGATGAAACGCTGTTTACTTTTTCTGCAACTAGCAGAGGCGTGGCTAGATTCTTGAGCCCGTTAGAACGACTGGTGGCTGGCGTACCAATAATAAAATGAAGAATTTCGAGGACCAAACCACTCCACTTGCAGTATGGGTCGTTGAGACGACCCACGCCATCCCGACGCCGCCAGCCAGGTAGCTCAGCATCATCCATATTGCATTCATGCGGCCGCGCCAGCTAAGCCCCTCGCTTCCTGGAACTTATGGAGGGAGCGTCGATCCCGTCAGAGGATCTCATTCCGAGCCACAGCTTTTATCGCCCGGTATGCACTGTGCAGCACCGATTGCCAGTTTACTGCACTTCCTTCTGCAGGTCTTGCGCACCCCTCCTTCCTAGGCTTGTATGCCAACCACACTCTTTTTTCAGCCACTCACTTGCACTACTACTATAGTAATTAGTATCCGCTCTTTGAAACACTTTATACCGACCATAGCATTCATTCCTTGCCCATCAGTGCGCGCGTCGCCATTGTCGAGAGACATATCCAAGGCCGCGCCTTTTCCCGTTTGAGTATTCTCGCGGAAGTCATTTGTTGCCTTCTTCAGGCAAGGTAATTGTAATCCTTCTATGGCAGTTGTCCGCTGTTGCTAGGGCACGTCATCTCTGTGTACCGCCACCATGCGCTTTTCTTACCGCTTTCTTTTAATATGTCTTGCGCTGCTAGTCTGTCTTCAATCGACAGCTGCAGCTCCTCATGCTGCCGTGCGCCGGCAGGATGACAATTCTTCAGAAGACTCGACCCCTTCTACAACACTAGACAGCGCTTCTCGGCAAGCCTCAATTACATCGACGCCTAAGCCCACGCCTTCTGCAAGAGCATCTTCACGGATCGAGTCCAATGGCGCGTCATCTGCCATGCCTTCTTCTGCGAAGCCTTCAGCTTCAGCAACCACCCAAACCGAGGTTCCCTCAACGGCTTCTTCTGACGAGCCTGTACCTTCTAGTCCTGCCGGTGAGTTCAATCGTTGCACAGGTCACAGTATCGAAACTAACAACCGATTGTAGTTAATAAGAAGAGCCCGCTACCCATTTACCCTAAGCTCACCCCAGCAATGGGAATCACTGGTGTGATTTTACTAGTATCTGGTTTAGTATATGGTATCATAGGGATCAAGAAGAAAATGTAAGTTTGAGGCAGTGCCCAACAGAGTCAAACTAACAGATATCAGGGTGTATGTCTTCGGATCTGCAGCTTACCTGTCTGCGCTCGCCGTCACGGTTCTTATAATCTACTTGATGAATCCACCTGTCTCGGATGCCATCCAGGGCGCCTTCTTTGTGGCAGCCTTCTTCACAGGCATCATCTTCGGTGTACTCTCACTGGTCTTTGTGGATATGACTGAGGGCTTTGGCTGCCTGCTCGGCGGTTTCTGCCTTAGTATGTGGTTCCTCAGTCTCAAGGATGGTGGCTTGATCAGCTCGAGCACAGGTCGGGCCATTTTCATCGGCTGCATGGCTGCTGCTGGCTGGTCACTATCCTTTAGCCACTACACCCGCAATTACGGCCTCATTGGATCAATCGCATTCTCAGGCGCCACCGCGTCGGTTCTTGGAATCGACTGTTTGGCAGGCGCTGGATGGAAAGAGTTTTGGCTCTATCTCTGGGGTATGTGTAAACCCCATGCCTTGTAAGCGTTGCTAACATGTGCAGCTCTCAATGACTCCACGTTTCCTCTGGACACCAACACGTATCCCGTGACTAAGAACATGAAGGCTGAACTAGCCGGTGTCATCATCATAGCAGTAGCTGGAATCATTTCTCAATTGCGGGTCTGGAAAATGATTCAAGAGCATCGTGCAAAAGACGCTGCGCAGCAACTCGAGAGGCAGCAGGACCTGGCTCGTGAAGAAGAAGAACGAGGCCGCAAGATCGAGGATGAATTTCAGAAAGAACGCGCTCAATGGGAAGCGGCTTACGGCGAAAAGAATCTGCCTGATTCTAGCCCTCGATCATCCGTCACAAGTCCCAAAAAGTCCACCAGCTTAGATACAAAGGAAGTCGACAGCAACGACAATCTTATTCCAGCTGCTAGAATGAACAAGGCGCCAGGAGGCACAGTCACTGTCGGCGTTCTCAACGATGACGAAATCCAAGCAATTGACGCGAAAGGTAACCCGATAGTCGAGACCCGCGAAGTTGCGACTCCTGGAGTTGATGGTGAGAAGTCATTACCAGGTACTCCAGAGGAAACATCACAACCGCAAGTTGTCGAAAAGGAAGGCCAGACTTCGTTAACAGTATGCCCACCACCTGCTGTCGTACCACTCCCGTTCAAGGTACCCACAGAAGAAGACGCGCACAGCAACGATGACAACTCGTCTGTCTCTGCTATGCCTGAAACTGAAGCTGACATGACGGAGCGCCCAGCTGTGAGCAAACGCGTGTCTGACGTCTCGGCAATGAGGCAACGCATCTCTCGCGACCTGGCAGCCTCTCAAGAGGCAGCGTTTGTAACTCAAGATGTGAACGACGACTGTGCTTCGTCTGTTGCTGCAACTTTGGACGACGACAACGACCAGCTATCCATACGCGAACTTTCTCCTGTACAATCACCTATTGGAACAGAACACAACCCCTTTGCCGACGCCGGCCATGCAACAAAAGCCAGTGGTGACATGCCTACCACCGAAGAGTCAACTACCGGGAGCGAAATGACAAAGAAGGACATTACAAAGGAGCATGGCAATCAGTCTTCGGCTGTTGCACGGCAATCTCTCACTCCTAGCACCGACTCGAAACAGTCAGGTGCGGCAAACGCTGGAGTGAGGAGAGATACAGGCGTGTTTAGTTCCAAGACAAGTAGCGCGGACCAGCAGTCCAAGGGTACACAGTCCGATGCCCCTTCTCTCAGCTCACATACCGAGCCAGAGACGCGACGTGTCAGTGTGCTGCGGGAAGGTGCATTGCCAGAGACCATGTCAAAAGTAGCTCTATCGTATCGGACCAACGAATGGGCCAAGCACCTTGAAGCAGCGGAGAAGCCAGATTACGAGGACATTTTCAGACCTTCGTCGCCAGGAATGATGCTGCCAAATGGAACCGAGGAGAAGCCAGCGCCCGTCAGCGAGGAGCTAGCGGCACCGCTCAAGGGAAACCAGCGCAACTCGAGGCGGGTGTCGAATGGCAGCCGGATGCAACGCAACAGCAGTAGTGGATTTGACCGAAACAGTTTGGCTTTGTCGCAGGAATCGCTTGTCGATCCACGGATCTACACGCGGTCTCCACCTACAGCAGTTCTTTCGCGGGCCAGCTCAAAATCTAGGCCTAATGTTCTTGCCCCACTACCGACCAATACGTTGATGAGCAAAAGAGAAACCCTGCTCAAGAGCCGAGCGTCTGCTCTGGTGAAGCGACATTCTTCGGGCGGGCACCTGCTCCTGGGTCGTGGTGAGGACCAAGTTGAGGGGCAGGGTGAGGAAGAAGAGCGAGGAGAAGAAATGACGTTGGCACAGCGTCGCCAAATGCTACAGCGCCAGTCGTCAACACCCCAGCTCCCCTTTGAGGCACCCCTGACATCGCCTCGCCGGGCACCACCATCAGCGTCGCAAAAGTGGCAGAACAAAGAATGGGCGGGTAAAGGGGCACCACCAGGCTTCGACTCGCACCAGCCACAGCGTACCAACAGCGCTCAGTCGAATTCCAAGCGTGAGCAACTGTATGCTGGATGGCGCGACTCGATACGCGATGCGGCGCCAGTACAAACGTCGGCAACATACATTATCGAGCAGCAGCGGGCGGCATTGCTGTTTGAGCGGCGGCAAAAGGAGCTGGAGAAGCAGCAACGCGAGATGGTGCAGCAGCAGCGAGCAAGCCAGATGGACAGCATGATGCGCAGTGGGCACATGCTGGATGCACACCGCGAGGCGATGAGGAAGATGCAGGCGAGTGCCAACCGCCATGCGTAGGTGTTGAGGCGGATGATGCCGACATGTTTTTAGCTGTATTTATGTTGTATTTAGATTTACGTGAGCCGCTGGGCACGTGGTGGGAAAGTATGCATGAACATGGATGAATGGAGAAGGAGCGAGGGATGCAAAAACTTATGGAAGGTGGAACTCTGTCTGGGTAGCTCCTGCCATGTTAAGTAGTAGTAGTAGTAGTAGTAGTAGTAGTAGTAGTAGCAGTTGATAGCAATACTAGAACTCTACACACAAGCCAAGACCAAGATGTACCGATGAATACATAGATAATACATTAGTGAAGGAGAGTTAGTGGGTGCAGGCGCAATCATGACTCTGCTGCGCGTATAGAATGTACGCGTTAACCTGTACACATAACTACTGCAAAGGGACAAGACACATCAAGATAGTAAGCGGTGGCGGCGGCCAAGCACAGCGTAAGAGTATATCTCGCCGTACTGCGACGATGGCTGCATAGAATAAAGTGAGGCTTAAGCGGAGTGTGGAGGGCGCTATGCCGTCGCCACGTGTGCCGCGAGTCGAATGCGGATGCGGATGGCTAGGCACACGTCCCGGTGACGTTGGTGCGAAAAAAGCCTGTCAAATCCTTCTTCCCCTTGACACGCACATGCACACACATTACACATGGGCACACCCAGCTACGCCGTTCGGTGCCGTTGACGCGTGGTGCAGGTATGAAGACGGGGCTTTTTTTGGTGCGTGGTGGTGGTAGTAGTAGTAGTAGTAGTAGTAGTAGTAGTAGTAGTAGTAGTAGTAGTAGTAGTGGGTGGTAGGGAGATAAAGCATGTGTAGGGAGATGGAATCGAAAAAAGGGGTGGGGGCACCGATGATTTACCCGTGAACAAGGCGGATCGGCGAGGCGAGGGCGGAGAAGCTTTGTGTGTGATGCCGAAGAGGATGCTGATGCTGATGCTGCTGATGAAAGCCATAAATGCGCATTGTGGGGCGTGGTTAGGCGTTGATGCGTCGCGAGGAGGGTGAGTAATGTGCAGATACAGTAAGTAGTACATGTAGGTACGTAGACACGTATCAGAGGTGTGATGTGACTGAGCATGGGGCTGGGCACACACATATGTACTACCTAGCAAGTAAATAGTGTATGTACACAGGCACAGGATCGCCAGGTCAGGGCACGCCAATAGTGTTTGTGCTAACAAAGGACCGACGTGGCCGGGTACTGGCTGAGTGTTCGCAGGCAAGCATGTGGTAGTGTCCCGAGGCTGGTAGATGTGTATATATCTGTGGACGCATATGTGCGGATCCAAGCATGGCGGCTTGCACACGCAGTATCGAGATGGGCATGCATCGAGCCGGCGGCGTGGGCGGAAGAGTGAATGACGGGCGTAATGCAGGCACAGTCGTCGATACTGCAGGGGTTACCCGTCCATGTCCGTCCACACCCAGGGCTGACGGCTGTGCGCACATCAGCGCTCGCACACAGGCTCGCTCTGCTCTGCTTGAAGCCCTGCCCTCTGCCCTCCAGCATGGACACGAGCCACATGCGATCCAGTCTTGCGCCGGGGAACATGGCCACGCTGACTGGGGGGTGCCCAAGAGTCGCCGGGAGGAGCGGGCGCTGTGGTTAGGGAATCCGCAGGCCTGACGTTGGTGTCGTATTTCATCTACTTACAAGACAAGGCGACGCCCCCGAGCTGCAACCGCTACACGCTGCCCTCCCCTCTTCTTATTGCCGTGACCGAGGCCTGGTGTCGATGCAGGGCCAAAGTTTATACCGTCGGGTTTTGTGAGACGTCCTGCTGGCTCCAAACAGGTGCATACATACATACACACTACCACGCCCTCCCACACGCCCTTTTCTCCCTCGCCTCATTCCTCCACTCACTCTTGCTTGCTCCCTTGCTCCCTCCTTCGCTCTCTTATCCATCCATCCATCCATCCATCCATCCATCCGCCGCCGCCGCCGCCGCCGTCGGTCCCCGTGACGTTCCCTCGACCCGCACCTTGCTGGCACATCTCCACCGCTGTCCCGCCTTTTCACTCGTCCCATTCGCCCGCCGCTGCCCTTGGTCTCGTCTGCGACATTCGCCCACCCCTCCTTGTTCTCCCTCTCATTCGCTGCTGGTCGCTGGTGTCCGTTACGCTGCAGGCCGCATGCAGGCGAGAGCATGGACCACAGTGACTTGGGGCCCCTAAGGAACCACTACTCATCACCGCCATCACCACGCCATCCGCAGTCACGACGACGACTCCACGCTCGCCCCCCGTTGCTTACCCGCCGCCTCCTGCGTCGCCAGTGCCTGCCCGCTGGTCGCTAACAAACCGCATCTTCAACATCAACCTGCGCTCCTTCTACCAGGGCCCTCCGCGCCTGCCTGCCGCCCGCCTCTGGAACCCAGTTAATTCTTCTCCACGCGCCCTTCAAATACACAACCCGCCCCCAGCTCCAGCTCCAGCTCCAGCCCCAGCTCCAGCCCCAATACCCCCGCCCGACGACTATTACCCGAATCTACCTATCCAAACAGACGCCCCTGCTGCCACAGACGACGTCCGCGACGAGTATCCGCTTCTGACGCTTCCCCAGCAGCGTCTTAGCCGTCATAGTCCCGTGCCAAGCTCCCTCGCCGTCGAACGCTCCACGGGCGACAACAGCGTCTCCGCCAGCGCTCGCACCAGCATCGGCCTGCCTCGCCCTCTGCCTCGAAGCTTGCAGTCGCCCAGCTCTGCAATGCCGCCAGAGCCTGTCGCCACCCAGCATGCCGACAAGGACGTAGAGGCTGGACGTCCTCATCAACCAGGCCTGTCGCGCACCTCGCTGCCCGGTTCCCGACGCTCCTCAATTGGCTCCAGGCCATCAGCTTCTGCCGCCGACGACGAAGACGGCGATGCCGTCTCCGAGTTTCCCTGGGGACCCTCGCACCCCTGCTTCCCTCATCCCAATCCTCATGTCCCACTCGATTCGGAGCTGTACAACACGACGCGTATCATCCGCATCAAGCGTGATTGGATGATTAAAGGCGACCTCGCCCCAACCTTTGCCAACCTGTATCCCGAGATTCTGGATCCCCTCGTCACCGAGGACGATTTTCGCATACTGATCAAGAAGATCAACGATGATCTCATCGAGGCCTTTGACCCATTTACTCTCCGCGCTTGTCTCGATACTGTCATGGGTGTTGCTACCTTGTGGCTATGGGAGGATGCTGGCTTCACAGGCGTCAAAAAAAAGCTGGCTCAACTCGAGAGGTGGATAGAAGACTGGAATCACAATGTCGGCGCAAAAGAAGCCGTCAAAATTATCCCACTAAGGCGGACCGGCTACCTCACAGTATGCATGCACCTTGCCCAAAAAGCAAACAAACGTAAACGAGGTCAACTTTAGCTAATTCTCTGCTCGCAGCTTGACATACAGATTCCAGATCCTCACCTTGGCCCTGATACTGGCTCGCGGCCCCAGACCCAAGATGATGGCCACCACATCGACTCACCACAGCAAACCGACCCATATCCACCATATCCCATCACACCTACATTGCAGGTGAACTCACAACCAGCGACGATCGGAGCCAACACCTAAGCCTCCCATTACACGCAGCTACAAAACAAGGTGAAGCACAAATCAAAAAGGCAACAACGACTTGTAATTTTAGCGGCATGCGAACTGGAGTTTACAGGGTCTGGACTGCGGGCTTCTTTTGTTTTTGTCCTTTTTCGTTTTACAAAACCGAGCGAGCGCATCATGACATGCACCTGTTTCTTTTTTTTCTCTATCTTATCTCACTAGACCATTCGGCGGCGACGCAAAAAGACTAATGTTTGCTTATTTCAACCTCGCTTATCGGTTCTTGTATATTTTTTCCTTCTTCCTCCCTTTTCCTATTCTTAGATCTTGCGTTCGTGTCGCGAGTATTTATTATTGTTCTTTCTTTGTGGTTGTACCTCCGATACCCAAACTTGCATATCTGCTGCTGCTACTGCCGACTGTCGCTTTTGTAGATCTGCGCATGTCTCTTTCTTTTTCTACCCCCTTTTTTATCTGTTTACCCTGTGTGTAAACTTGGCTTCATGTAATAGACTCTATGGCATACGTCTTCCTGTCATTAGCATTCATTCCAAGTCATGTATCCGGGACAGAATTCATACTACATGCCCTTTTAATTAAGGAGGCATGGCTTGCATGTATCCAATGCGCCGCATGACTGTATTGTTGGTTTTGTTTGCTTTGTCAGCTACATGTCCTCATGCCTTCCTGCCTACATCCCACTAATTCCCATGATCATTTCTCTATTCCAAATATCTTCACGTGTAAAACTTGGTTTTTCTCAGTGTAACGTGCCGCTCACTACTCACCAAGCGAAACGTAACTCACTATCCACACTCGACCCTTGCTTTTCCTTTCTTTTTTTAAAACTCGAAACAGAATGACTCGGTGGTGGGGGGAAGCGCCGAATTCTTCGCCTCAGGCTTGCGTCTGAGGCTAGTGCTTCAGACTAGTGGCATTACCGTTGTCCGTCTTGGTACACATACTTTAGCGTTATCATCTTTTTACGCTTACCGCCCCTTTTTGAACCCTTTTCAGTCCCTAGAGGTGTTCTTTGGGTTACAGTACTATGCTGTGCTGACTAATTGGGTTGTTTCAAAGCGTTGTGCTCTAGACGCTTGTTTACTTCGAGAGAGACAGAGTCGTGATGCGAGAATGACTCGACAAAAGTATTACGTCTAGCTAAAGGTACTATCTATATGAGAGAGATGAAGATGATGGAAGAGTGGACTCCACTGCTCATTCCGTCTTATCCAGGAACACCCCGACAAGCCAAACTCACAAAGTTAGACCGCTCTTCCACCACGTCTCCCCAGCATGCCAGCGAATAACCTGACCACTCCAGCACCACCATCCATCCTGCTTGTCAGGACCCAGGCCCACGGCACGGAGGATCGAAATTGGCACAGGCTCAAAGAGCCATACGCCGCCTCTTGCAAAGTCATTGCACAGCAGATGAGCAGTAAGGTAGAACCAAACATGGACATATACAAACGTCCAAGTTTTCTTCAGCCATCCAGGTAAACCCCGTCCTATGCCGGCCGCACGCGCAAGCTGCGTGAGCCAAGTCTCTACAAAGATAGCACCAGCCTGGAGCAAGAAAAACGCCATGGGACCCTGCAGAGGCTGCGTGTCGCCCGCACAAGTCACACTCCCACTCGCATGCACGACGCCACTTAGGAAGAACGCAATCAGCAACTGCAGCATTTTGGCCGCCTTACTCTTTCTATCCAACCGTAGCACTTCACATAGCTTACGGCTGGGCTCTTGAAACGCAAAGCGGAACGTCTGATGCCACCAGTTGCCCCACCAGCCGGCGATGCCGTGGTCGAGCACGACGCTGTAATGCGCCCATGTCTCCGGGTACATCCATGGTTCCGCGCGGGCGCCGAGCAACGAGGGTGACAGGACGCCGCTGAAGAAGAGGGGCGCAAGGGCGAAGACGCATTGCAGGGCGAATTTGATGCCGAGCATCGAGAGCAGCATGCGGTATGCGTGAGTCATGTGCGGTGAGCTAGTGATTAGTGAGGGCAAGTAGGATGGGGGGTCGTGATCGATGTAGCCCCAGAAGTAACGGTCGTGCATCATGGATGTTTTGATGATGTCAAGGGCTAGGTAGCCCGTTACCAGTGTGCGGAAGTTGCTGCGGAGGAGCTCTCCGCGCGTCGCGTACTGCTTCACTTGGCCTGCGTGCGTCTTGAACGAGTGCTTGGGCACAATGTCGCCTGAGTTGCGGTGAAGCTGAGTCTGAATCGCTTTTGGGGGCGGGGGCACGGCCGAGATGCGCCAGTTCCAGCCCATGCCGCGAAAGTTGTACAGGATGTCATTGACCCAATCTAGTCGCTCCAGCATTGGGCTGAGGGGAAAGGGTTGCCACGCGAATTCGCCGTGACGATCCTTTGGACCGGTTGGGCTGTTGACGACGTCGTCTCGGGCCGTCTTGTGAACGTCTGTCTCTTTTGCTTCAGAAGATCCATTGACTTGACTAAGTTTGCTCGATCCGAAGACACCTGTAGTTCTCTCGATCCTCATAAAGTCTGTCTGGGCATCGTTGCACACGAGTATCGTAAATACCCATATCGTCATCCATGAGTTAATCAATCCATTGACCAGTGCTGGTGCCAACCCTCTCATCCGCGTGTATCTAATCTTGTACACTGCACACACGAGCACCCCTGCGAAAGCCAGGAACCGGCATTTCTTCAACCATGGCCGGTTCTGGTGCGGAACCAAAAGGTATATGGTGACCAGTAGCATGTCGATACATGTCCATGGAAACAGAAGCGGTTGGTATTCTCCAGATGCAACCGCCTTGTCATACTGGGCGTAGTGGTACTTTATCAGATTGTGGTATGAGTCAGGCCACAAATCTGGAGGCTCGGGTGGCATCTTTGAAGTCGAAGAAAGGAAAACGGTAAGCTGAAGTGTTTAAAAAAACGAAGAGAAAAACTAAGAATACACTGTTGTGGATTCAGCGGATGCTGACGAAATAAGCGTGGCGGATGTAGACTGCTGTTTTCCAGTCTGCAAAGGGTGCAGCTGGTAGACGAATGAAAAAAAGTGGCAAACTACGAGCCTAGTTATCGATACCAACCCTTCTGCACCGTATTTGCCGTATCTTTGCTTATTTGCTGGTTGCACCCTTTGTACATGACGCACTGCATCTTGCAGTCGCTGGAGAGAAAAGATTTGCGCTAAACCTAAACCAGCCATGGCTCGGGGCATGAGGGCGCTGGCTGCAACACCAAACCTTTCCCATCGTGACATTGCCGGACTACAGCCGCCACACAAAGTACAGCGAAATAGTTACCCCCTCACCCTAGTCCTTCTCTCTCTCTAGCCTGAGCGCATAAATCGAGGAAAGGTCGCCAAGATGGTGAACATTACAGAGAAGATCAAAGAGTGGGACAAGACCCCTCCGAGTTTTTTGATGTGGCCCTTGGGCTAACGCTTCCCCCGCCAGGATTGAGGAGGAGATGCGGAGGACGCAGAGTGAGTTTTGCGATCTGCACTACCGGAAATAATAATTTGAATACTAACTTGTTGTGCATAGAAAATAAGGCTACAGGTATGGCGATTGCCCCTCGTTATGCATGTTTTCACGCGTACAATTCAGTGTCACGTGCTGACATGGACGCACAGAATATCATCTTGGTCTACTCAAAGGGCAAGGCACCAGCGACTACATGGGAGAAGGATATGCGATTTATTAACAGTTCTTGTATAGAAAACTCGCTCGTCTCCGCGCACAACTGCTCGAGCCCGCAGCGGGCGCAGGTGGTGGTGGCGGAAGTGGTTTCGATGTGTCGAAATCAGGTGATGCGCGTATAGCCCTTGTTGGATTTCCGTCGGTCGGAAAGTCGACGTTTCTCTCGAGAATCACAAAGACCAAGTCCGAAGCTGCATCGTACGCTTTCACTACGCTCACGGCCATTCCTGGTGTGCTCGAGTATGGTGGTGCGGAAATCCAGGTCCTGGATCTACCGGGTATTATTGAGGGCGCTGCCGAAGGAAAAGGGCGCGGAAGACAGGTCATTAGTGCAGCCAAGACGAGTGACCTAATCTGCATGGTTCTTGATGCTACCAAGAAGGCGGAGCAGAGGCGGTTGCTCGAGGCCGAGTTGGAGGCCGTAGGGATCCGGTTGAACCGATCACCACCGTAAGTTTAGGTTATGAATGCGCGGTGTGAACAAACCTAACGAGATGGCAGCAACATTTACCTCAAGCCTAAAAAAGCTGGTGGCATGAAGATTAGTTTTCAGGTTCCGCCAAAGTATATCGACGAGAAGATGGTGTACAACATTCTCAAGGACTACAAGATGCTCAATTGCGAAGTTCTAGTGCGCGACGAGAATGTCACTGTCGATGACTTCATCGATACAATCATGAAGGACCACCGCAAGTACATCAAGTGTTTGTATGTCTACAACAAGATTGACAGCATTGGTCTGCCGCACTTGGACGAACTAGCACGCGAGCCAAATACGGTAGTCATGAGTTGCGAGCTGGACCTAGGCATTCAAGACGTGGTGGATAGGTGTTGGGAAGAGCTGAGGCTGATTCGAATCTACACCAAGAGAAAGGGATGCGATCCGGATTTCTCAGAGGCGTTGATTGTGCGCCAAGGAAGCACAATTGAGGATGTTTGCGATCAGGTGCACCGGACGCTCAAGGAGACGTTCAAGCATGCACTGGTGTGGGGAGCGAGCGCCCGACATGTGCCACAAAAGGTGGGCTTGGGCCACGTTGTGGCTGATGAGGATGTAGTGAGCATTGTGGCGAAGTAGATGTATGTGCATATCGGGCGCATTACGTCGACCCAATGTGTCGAGCAACGAAATGTATTTTACAACTCCTGAATATCACGTACGCACAATGCGCTCTACATTATCCTTTCTTGCCGACGAAAACCGCGCACCAGCCACAGCGGTCTAGACGACGGCACGCGTGTTGTTTATAAGTATCAGCGCCATGGTGGCGTGTTGGCGGCGGTTCAGGCATCCGAGCATGCTCCGAGGATCGGATGAGAAGATCTGATAAGGGCAATGCCGCGCTGCCCCTGTCAGCCCACTCTCGGCTTCAACGGATGTTTCATTTCCGCAGTGAGAGATTGTGATGCGAGATCACGTGAGAACACTCTAAACAGGCAGCTGGCAGCGCTGATTGGCAGGTCTAGTGGGCGGTTGTGTGATTTACAAGCAGTCAAGATGGAACCCTGGCAGCCCAGGGCCGCTTTGCCTTGAGCCGAAAAAGTCGTCGCTGCGACCCGTTTATTATTGCTACGCCCGCGCAGCCTTGGAATCGCCATCCTGCGCGCTCATTTGCCTTTTCCCCTCTCCCCATTGCTTTTTGTTGTGTTCTTGTCATCTCGATATCTGGCCTGCTTCAACCACATTGAACCCTTGTTTTCGTTGTGCGCAGCCCGCTTCCATTAGACCCAACGGCGAATCGCACTTCTTCGGTACCTGACTATCCTCCCACTAGGGGGACTCCCCACGTCACACCCACATCAGCCATGGACGTTGTCCTCGAGGTGGCAGACACCTTCATCTTCGACCCCCTCTATGCCAAACTCCTGCCCGCCTATCCAGCCTCCGCAATCGCCAATGCGACCCTTTCCAGCATCCGCGAGGAGCCTACTGCGTATGCCCGCCCGCACGCGACTTGGCAGTATGAGCCCGCCACGCAGTTCTTCTCCACGACGCCATCCAAGTATGCCTACATGAGTCAGTGGGCGCGCGACGACTGGCGGCGGCAGGCACTGTCCTTGTATCTCATTACATGGTATGATCTCTCTCTCTCTCTCCCATGCACCCCAGCATCAACATGTACATACCCTGCTCACACTTCAATCTACAGGCTCTTCGGCATCCTAGTCTACTACATCTTTGCAAGCGCCTCCTACTTCTTCATCTTCGACAAGACCACCTTCAACCACCCGCGATACCTGAAGAACCAGATTAAGCTTGAGATGAAGCAGGCCAACTTTGCCTTTCCCGTCATGGCAATCTTCACCGTGCCCTTTTTCCTTGCGGAGGTCCGTGGGTACTCGAAGCTATACGATACGGTCGACCAGGGTCCGGGATTGTGGTACAACTACATGCAGTTTCCCTTTTTCCTCTTCTTCACCGACTCGCTCATCTACTGGATTCACCGCTATCTCCACCACCCTCTCGTTTACAAGCACATCCACAAGCCACACCACAAGTGGATCATGCCTACTCCCTATGCCTCGCACGCTTTCCATCCATTGGACGGCTATGCCCAGAGTCTGCCCTATCACATCTTCCCGTTCCTGTTCCCGCTTTCCAAGTTTGCCTATGTCCTCCTGTTTGTTAGTGTCAACATCTGGACTGTCTTGATTCATGATGGCGAGTATGCGCACAACTCGGCCATTATTAACGGAGCTGCCTGCCACACCATGCACCACCTGTACTTCAATTACAACTACGGACAATTTACCACTCTCTGGGACCGTCTGGGTGGAAGCTACAGGAAGCCTAACGACGAGCTCTTCCAGAAAGAACTCAAAATGTGCCAGAGCGAGTGGAAGAAGCAGGCTGAAGCCGTTGATAAAATGGTCCTGGAAGTCGAGGGTGGCAGCGACGACCGCACGTACTCATCCGACGAGCCCAAAAAAGTTCGTTAGACGCAAAGACGGAGAGAAGACAGTTGACACGTTGGCAAAGAATTTAGAAATGTCGTTACGAATGAGATTATGGGTGCCAAGGTCTGGTAGGCGATTCAGGCCGATACGTCATCGGCCATGCACTGGGGGCATTTTTTGGCTTGTACATTAACATTCTTCGCCCTCGCTGTTACATCGGAAATTTTGGGTATAATGGTCTCGCTCGGAGCAGCGGGATTGACTTGTAATATGACGGGGAATCGGCAAAGATTCTCTTGTCAAGACCAAATAATTGTAATGAGATTAGCACCTAACTGACCGCCCACGACTCGAACACACTTTTGACTGGACGACGATGACCTGAAACCGACTCAGACCATTTTTTGACGCAAACGTGGGAAATGGCCCTACTCCGGCCCGCCTTTGGGGATTGGAGGAAAGATACGCGTCTGCTGATCTTGGCCGATGCGCAACTTTCCTAATAGTATAGACACACCGCATAGTAGTCTCCCCTTAAATGATGTGGCAGGGACTGATTGGGATAGGATTAAGTCACACCGAGTAGTTTCGGAATCCGGATTTGGACGATCGTCGGACTGCGACATTCTGGAAAAAAGTTAGAATCTCACATCATCGGCAAGTCTCGTGGCCTATAGTGGCTTGACCGCTCTTAAATTGCCTCATTTGGCGCTCTACTTTCCACAATTACATATAAGGCTGACCATCCTCCAACACCACATACCTATATAAACACATATCCACCATATCCACACAATCGCCACATACACACGCACATACAGACACATACACCCCACCGCCCACGATGTTGACCACACCCGACCTCCCCATTTCGATAGTGTGCGTGCACGCCGAGGGCGAAATCGGCGACGTTATTATTAGCGGGATACCAGACCCCATGCACTGCAACACCATGTACGAAAAGCTGGTGCACTTTGAAACAAAAGCCGACCACTACCGACAACTACTCATGCAAGAGCCACGAGGGCGCGTCTCGCAATGTATGAACCTGCTGCTCACGCCGTGCCACCCAGAAGCCGACGCAGGCTTCCTCACACTCGAGAGCGATGAATACGCAACCATGAGCGGCAGCAACACAATCTGCGTCACGACGGTGCTACTCGAGACCGGCCGTATCGCCATGAAGGAGCCCGAGACCAAAGTCGTGCTCGACACAGCAGCGGGGCTTGTGCGCGTCCGCGCCCGCTGCGCCGGCGGCAAGTGCCTCAGCGTGGAATTTGACAACGTCCCATCCTTTGTCTACGAACTCGATGTGCCTGTCTGCGTCCCCGGCATAGGCGACATCTTCGTCGACGTAGCCTGGGGCGGCATGCACTACGCGATTGTGTCGGCCGACGCCGTAGGCCTGAGCATCGAGCATCAGCACGGCGCCGATCTGATTCGCATAGGCGAGGCCATCCGCAAGAGCGTCCAAGACATCTACGAGCCGGTGCATCCGCTCAACAACGGGATCCGCGGCGTGTCGACGATGCAGTTTACAGAGCCTGTCCATGTCGAGCTTGTTTCATCCTCAGCAGCACCAGACGAGCTCCCGGCCAAGGTCAAGACGGCCACAAACACCGTTGTGGTGTCGCCAGGCCGCCTCGATCGCAGTCCTTGCGGCACGGGCACGTCGGCGCGCATGGCGGTGCTGCATGCACGTGGGCAATTGGCGGTTGGCGAAACTTTTACTCACAAGAGTATCATTGGCACTAAGTTTCAGTGCAGCATCGTGGGTACCACAAAGGTTGGTCGCTACGACGCTATCTTACCCCGCGTCAGGGGCCGCGCTTGGATCACAGGGTACAGGCAGGTGGTTGTGGATGAGGAGGATCCGTTTCCCCTGGGCTTCAGGGTGGGAGATATGTGGGGGCCTGACTGCGGTAATGTTGGTATGGCGGTGGATAGCTAAAGGTTTGTGGAAGAAGGGCTTTGGGTGTGGTGTGTCTACTATGTGGTTTGTACAAGAGTTGTGTGTATATGGCTTATGACTTGATATAGGGGGTGGCCTTTTTGTTTTTTTCCCAAGAGCTGGTTCTTTTGGAAGACTTTTTTGAAACTTCTGGGGTGTTTTGGTGTTTGATGAGAGAGGCATACTAGCAATAGTAACGTTATTTTTTGGGGGGGATAGATAAGAATAGATATGTAGATTTATACAAGCAATTGTTATTACTTTGATTGTGTTTTATGCGAGTATGTGCTTTGAATGACTTTCTTGTCGCACTGGTTTTCTATTTTGAACACACGCTCTTAACGGACTGACAGAATCATTCACTGCATCATCTCCGCTTATTACCTACCATTGTTTCCTTTTTCAGAAAGCGCTTACATCAGACTCGTGTTTAAACTTAATTTTCTCACAAACAGAAAATCAATTGCTTGCATGTAGCACATGTTTTTATCCCAGAAACCTCATTTAATGCCCATAGCCATCGGATATGTAACAATGGTATCCTCGATAAGCTTACATTCAACGTGGGCCCAAACTCGATTTACTTACTAGGTAAGGAATCGGCTGGACACATTCGGTATTGCTGTCTTTTTTTCGTACAAATATAGACAATGACTATGTCAACTTAGTCAATGACGATATAATGGTCAGTAAACAGTTGTCTACCTATATTAGTATATCCTCCATGCTGGTTTACGATTCCATCCCTATGAAACTGTTTGTACCGCGAATCAATTTTCCAGCACCGGCAGAAAGGAGTTTTTTTCTTAAAAAAAAGTTTTAGTGCCGAAGAAGCTTTCTTGAAATTTTTTTTCCTTGATTGACTACTGCAAAACCAATTTCCAAGCCAGCTATGCATCTAGTTACTTGAAATAGCTCCGTATCAGTCTATGCATACAATTACTTATTAGCCCATTTTACCAAACCGCCCTTTCTCCGTATTCTCTATGTTTCAAGTCTTGTTTTATGAAGACTAACATATAAGCAAGTTCTCCATCCACCTGAGGTATTTTATTGTACATGTGGGCGTGATCCGATCCAAAAAAAAATAAGTCTAGAAAAGTATCACTAAGAGGAATATCTGTGATTTTAGTTGTTCATGTTTGTTTGGCGTGCTGCATATCGGATTATTCTCCGTAGAAAAAGATGGCAGGTCACACCCCAATCTGTAGGAGTAGGGTATCAAAAGAAGGGGATCTTCATAGATTTCTTTACTATTGTACTTCTTATAGACTTCGGGAAGAGGGAAACTATTTGAAACATAGAATTCGTTGCTTAAGATTAGGAAGCTAAATTTGTTAAGCCTGTATTATTTAGATTTCATATGGATCGAGATGTTTGATATCAGTATTTGATGCGAATTCGATGTGACTGTCAAATGAAATGATAGTAGTTTACTATGTGGCACATATATAACTCTAGAACTGAAAGCTTCAACATGTCACTTGTGGATTTTCAGTGATTTGGTTGGATATTATGGACTGGCATAATGGAAACAAGATGATTCCAATTCAGAGTAACACTTACGTGCTTTGAGTTGTTAATGTCACGAAAATTCTCGAGTGTCAGAAAGGAATCAGTGAAGATAGAGGGTAATTTGTACGGTGGCACTATATGCATGGTAGAAAATGTAGTGAGGTGATATGTTTGGATAGGAACGAATCACTGAATAACTACCTGGACGACAGAAAATTACATATTCCGAGTGAATAATTTCTGAATATTAGAAAAAGATAGCAACACTTTGATCTACGCATACCCATCTACATACCAATAAGACCAACATATCCAGCTCCCAATCACCCGAGGCACATTCCTCCAAACTCCCTCACCATACCTCAACAACAAGCCACGTTCATGGTATCGACGATATTCTCTAAATCTCCCGTTTGCAATATATATACATCCTCCCGCTCCCCGTCAACCCTCAAACGCCATATAAGCCTCAACTCCCCAAACCCTCCAAAAAGCACCCACCACAAACCCGCAATCCAGCGCCAAACCCCTCTCATTCCCCGGATCCTCATTTCACGGTAACATTCTCCGCAGGGAACACAGAAAAAAACAACAAAAACCTGAGAAAAAATCCCTCGTTCCACCCACGCAGTCCCTCACAGCAACCAAGGACCCTCTCATCAAAATCACGCCCCCAACCCCACGACGAACAACAAAAGAAGAACCCCCACATCCCGAATGGAACGTTCGATGCAGCGACACGCAGCGCAGACCAGAATCCTTCACCTTGTCCGGCTTCCTTCCCCCTCCCCCTCTCCCCCTCCCCCATGTACCACATGAAACCCCCCGTTCTGCAGTTAGAATTCAAAGCGGTCTAAACAGGTAACTTCTGCATACCCTTTTTTACCCCTCACCCTATTCGCACACACGCATCATAGGCCTGCATCTTTCCGATTGGAAGACAGATGTGGGGGCGCGATTGCGATCGAAACCACGGGTATTATCGAGGAAGGAAGTGGAGCCCACACATACACACATACATACACATACATACATACAGAGAAAGGGGAAAAGAGGGGAAAAATAAGTGGTTAGCAATATGTATGTATGTATATATGTATGCAAGGCCGAGAAGAAGAAAAAAGCTTACAAGGGAGAAGGGGCGGGAGGGGGAACGGCAGTGTATACAAGGGAAGGGGTAGGCGGGAAGGCAGGAAGTGGACAAGGGGGACAAGGTCCGGCATCCTTTTCCCTATACCCGCCCGCCCGAAATGTAGGGTAGAAAGAGAAAGATAACCCCCCCCCCCCCCACTTTTTTCTTCCTGCGTTACAATCCCCACTTTTGGAAACAATAGCGGCGCATATATGGTTGGTCTATTGTACATGCGAATTTGTGTGAGGCTGGTGGTTGAGTGGGTAGCGTGCATTTTTGTGTTTTGTGTAACGGGCGATACGGATCGGGGGGCTTGAATTGCCTTGCATTCTGAATTGGAAAGTGGGATAGCGTGTATGTACGTTAGGGGCTTTACGGTCTTATTGTGGAGAATCTTTTTGGAAAAAGTAGTTGAGAGTGTCAGGTGTGCGTGTTGCAAGGTGAGGCGAGTTTGCGTGCGTGAATTTTTGGGGGAAAATAAGGTACGTACGTGCGGGTAGGATGGAAATGGAGCATGTATAGTACGTCACATGTAGGAGGGCAATAGTTGGCTTGGCAATGGGTATGGGTAGTGTAGTAACTAGCGGCTTTTGTTAAGATTTTAGAGTGGTATTATACATGCGCTTATCTGGATAGACGTAGGAGAATTTTACTATACACATGTCTTGACCACTGACGCACGCCTAGAATGTAGTGTTTTCTGCGCGACGTTTGATGTCATCTATTTTGGTGAGTTTAGTAATTTTGATGTGTCCACATCTGGCATGGTTATGTGGGTAGGATGAGAGGGATTTCGAAGCGAGCAATTAACACATGTTTTATGCATGATTTTGGGGGCTGGCCGCAGTTTGGAGGGAATCGAAAACGATAGTTTACTAATCTACTGCAGCAAAATATTGAAGGATGTTGACTGTGAAGAGCACGATCGTCAAGGCGCAAAATGGAGAAGGGTCATGGTCGCCTAGGGTTCAAACACTGCCCAGCAATTGCACACCGTTCAGAGATGTGATATAACAAGCGACAGACTGATGTGTCTTGGCTTTGGGATTGACAAGGCTGATTAGTGATCTCAAGAAGGATTCGGTGCTGGCACGATCCCGGGCGATATGGAATGTTCCGCACAAGGGCTTGTGGCCAACCACGGGCGCCGCGTCCAGGGTTGCGGAGGCAAAAAGGCTTGACAACTATGGTGTTTTGGGGAGGCGTTGAGAGGAGCAGCAGTTGCGGGAACAAGGGATGCAGAGGATGGCAACAGCAACAGGCTTGAAGGATGCTGCGGGCAAGGAAGGGCTTGGTTGAGGGTGGGGATTGCGTAGCCACACCCCTTTTCATCATTAAACAGGACGAGTTTTTGAACGGCATGGCAGGGGCCCGGTGCGGGGACCAGGGCCCAGCGTCGCCAGGCGTAGTCGACGGTTTCGTGATGTACAACATAAATGGAGGCTGAGAGTGGGTGGCTAGGCTGGAGCGGTCGCGGGCCTCATGGTCACCATGAGGAGCTGCACGTGCTCTTGGAGGCGTCGCTTGAGAGCCTGTGGATTGCGTATTAGGTCAATGCATGTGTCGATGCAATCCCACGCAAGGCCAGCGCCAGATGGCATCATGCATATATGTATGTATGTATGTATGTATGTATGTATGTATGTATGTACAATCCATAGAGATAGACGAGTGTTTTGTCACTCTGGTTGGGAGATGGGCGTGGAGCTACTGAGATCTAGGTGTAGAGGCACGGCTCAGTAGGCGCGATTGACGGATTGCGGAAGCGGAAGCGGGATCCGCTCACCGATGAGTACCTGGAGCCATGTGCAGGCCAATTAAGCGGAATCGATCTATTATTACGGGCGGCGCGACAGATCTGAGGTTTTCTTCTTGCATCTGCGAGTGCATCGGGGCAGGCGGGTGGAAGGAGGGGGCGTGGTGGGGGAGCGGGTGGCAGAATGGCAGACTGAAGGACATAGGAGAGCAGGCAGCGAAAAGGGCCGAGATGGGGCCGACGGTATCGTTGGGGTGGCGCCCGCCTACCAGCCAACCGCCACCACAGTGGAAGCGCGTTCAAAGCTCGAGGCGACCAATTCGAGCTGCCAGAGGGACGCTCGATTGGGGGGGGAGTAGGGGTGCCGGTAGCCGGTATGGTGGTACCAGACAACTCTCCCCTACACCTCCCGTGGCCAGGCCACATGCGCTTGTCCTATTACACTGCGGCCTGCATCGCAAAGCCGCAGGCACACAGCGCCTCGCCAATCTGCGTCGCCATCTGCCGCACATCGTCCTCAGGGAGATCGTGCATCGTCGTGACGGCTGTCTGGTCATGGTTGCAGAGCAGAGTACCGTACACCAAGAGAGTGCTGTCGTTCCAAACCACCTCTACCTCTGCCCAGGAGGGCACGGCCCCGCCCTGGCCTCGACACAAATGCTGTGTATGCCACACCACACTTGTTGTTGTTCCTTTTCGAGCGCTGTGCATCGGATGCTGTCACGGATTCTGATAACCGTGCCCCAAAAGGTAACAGCAGGGACTGGAGGGTCCTCCCTGGTGGGTCTCCTCAAAATACATACACCTCGGCGATCTCTTTGATACCAGCGCTGCAAGCACTGACTAACCCACCCGTACTGCACACGTCTGTAAAGGCCATCGATGACGGTTGGTTTCCCATCTTGCAAACGCCTGGATACATGGCCGCGGGATACTCTAGTCTTGCTATGTATTTGAAAGGACTATGCTTCGCCCGTAGTTTGGTGGCCGGTAACCGCGACAGGCGAGCGCAGTACCTTTTTCTTCCTTAATCAATCAACCTGTTACTAAAATGTCAGCAAGTGGATATGTCCACACATACACCTGCATACCGACATGCCTGCAATGTACTCGCCATCTCTGCCTCTCCACCCATCCACCCACCATCGTTCGCGGTCCCGCTATTTTGGATCGTTCAGGCACATCGGTATCGCATTTTCAGATCATGCACCTCAGTTCTGTTCAAGTTAGCCTCGTTCGCATAATCCCTGCCCCTCATGCGCCTACCTCGTTGATGTGACACAAACTCGTCATTGTCATTTTCCGAATGCAACCTGCGCCTGCCTTTTGACGCCAAGCGCGCTAGCTTGTAGTCGCGTAATCCAGAGGCCATGTCCTGGGTACACCACAAAAGAATCCCTGATCGATAGGCCGACAGACATGTCCAAGGTGAACACATACACATCTGACTCCACTGCCAACCTGACTCGCGGCACACACACACTACCTCTGTAATCCCACCATGTGGCTCACCTTGGTTGCAAATATTCCAACAGCGCCACCCACCACACGACCAAAATAACCCACACAGCATGGGGCCGCCACGTTGGATCATGCTCTACAGTCTACGCGAGCCGTGATCGTCCCTCCTTTACGGACACCAGCACAGCATCGAGACTTCTGTCCAAGTACGTATGACTATTGCTGTGTCAGCGCAAAGCTTGCTGCAAGTCCTGCATCTAACCGACTCGTCATGTCGAGTTTCAAGTCATTTGGCCCTACCCATGCAATATATTCTCTCTGGGGCAGCGGAACTGTGTGCACCCTGAGGCCCAGTGTAACAAACCTCCGAGCGTAAAGACGAGGGTGAGGGCAGGAGTGGAGAGCTAAATAGGCAGATGGATTCGGACCTTCAGATTCGTAAAGGGTCTGGATGCAGGGATATAGAGGAGGCCTGAGAAAGAAAACTGCAAAAGGAAGAAAAACAACAGATTGTCAGCGTCGTGATTACCTGAGGCAAGTGCCCATGATCCCTTCCACGTGTTGTAACACGCTGCGGCCCGCTGCAAAGCAAAATCTGACCCGCTCCAGCCTGGATGAAATCGAAACAATTACTGCGAAACAGTCTACGTTCAATCCAGCAGATGCAGCACAACTTGCATCTAACACACCTTGGACCGGTCGCGGGAACAGCTGCATGACACTACCATATCTCGCATGAAAACATTGTCGATAACCATACGATGCCGTGCATTGCATCTCAACTGACCGGGACGCTTGTCTCGCTTAATATGCATTTTGGAGTATTTGCGGTGAGAATGGGTTATATGCCCATAATGGCGAGATAAGTGAACTTATTCGGCAACACAGCCGAATGCGAGCCTATGATTGTCTTTAATCCTTCTGGAATCCACCTTGGATTTTACCCGCCTGAGCAAATGTAATGCTCGAATTTTCCTTGCTGCCGGCACAGCCCATGACTGCCAACGATGTATGTATGCAGATGTCGGCAGAGATGATCGAGATGCACCCATGCATGGCTTTGCTGTAGTATGACGCCTGGATTTATCCGGACCATTGTCGTCTGATGCTCATTGTCGGATCAACGTCGGAATTAGGCTTTGTTCCGGAGTGTTGGAAGCAGCAAGGGGTAAGTACGGTCAAGGTCTTCGAGGCCTCTTCCCTGCGCCAGCTTGTCCGGTGAGGAGTGACGCTGCACTGCGCGACAGGTGTGGGTGCGAGATCAGACATGGTTGACATTGGTCATGCAGCACAACATGAGGCCTCGGCGGTGTGCACGGCGTCAGACATGCGGTTGTTGACCTGCACAGCAATGGGGAGCCAAATCTACACGAGGGGTGGAGGAGCGGTGACATCTGGCTTGCCGGCTGGGACGTGGTTGTTGCTACTACTACTACGTCCGGGCATGATGCGGTGAGGGGATGTGTGACCTGAGCCATTCTCTAGGCGCCTAGAGAAGTACATGCGTTTGATAGATGCGACCATGGCCAAGGGCGACCGCATTGTCACCTACTGTTGTATGTAATGTGTGTATGTGTGTGGGTGTGGGTGTGCAAGTAAGTAGGAGGGCGGGGAACATGGTTCATCCACGTCGTCAGCGGGCGGGGAAGGACTCGGGCCTGTCCGTTTGGACACTTGACACTGCCGCTGCCTCGATCGTCTAACCCAGGTGAGCCTGACAGGATAAACAGTGCGCCTTGACGCAGCGGGTGGGAGATCCGTGTGCCCTGGAGAGATGGCCCTAACGACTGACGTGCATGCCATGAACTAGTGGAAAGCTTTGAGCGACCCGCCTGGGGAGCGAGCAAGCCTGTCCAGAGGGCTTCTGCAAGGATGACGGCCATGCTAGTGGGTGATCGCAGGTCGCATTTGCCCGAACAAGGGCCGCGGCTTCTTGCCGATGGTTCCGCGCACCGCCGCCGCTGCTGCCGTCCGCATCACCGCGCTTGGACCAGTGCATGATTGAAACATCGACTGCACGCTATCAAGTCGATTTGGATTGTCGTGATGCTGACCACAACGAGAGCTCGCGCCACCCTAGCTTCCGCAATACTGGTCCATTGGGCCCGTGGCCATGGCCGTTGTGCAATTGGCCTGCCAGCCCTATCCTCTCCATGGCCCCCGACGAGGAATCCTGTCCTTGGGGCGGCCATGTCACTCGACACCGCTGTCCTGTGCTTGTGCTTGTGCCTGTGCTTGTGGCCACGATACTCTACATACATGCATGCTGTCTGTATACTACCCACTAACGGCTCTCCAGCCTCCGCCGACGGCCTGCTGTTGCTGCTGCTGCTGCTGCTGCCGCCGCTCGGCAATCTCTAGAAGGGGGACATGTGGCAGATGAGGCCATCTCGCCATAATTCCAGTGCATGTTTGAGGCTACTGCAGGTCCACCATTCGGGATGCTGAATTTCCTAACAAATTCAGCCACTCATCCACAGCCGTCATAGCCACTGGGCCAGCAATACGCAATTGAGAGGAAGGGCCGTCAAGACAATAGGGACCCCTGTACTTGGTGCCATCGTGGCCAGCACCCGAGGTCCAAGCAGTGCCTCGCTAATCGGGGCAATGAAGGGGTCTCTGCAAGGCTCCCGTGTGGCACAGATTACATATTGATGCCAGCAGCTAGGTGCAGGATCCATGTCAAAGGGGGCTTGCCACTTCCCACGCGCATCTCAACACACGAACGGTGAGGCTAGGCGGACAAGTGAGGGGAGGGGGAGGGGGGTCTCATGCCAGAAGCAGCTTCGAGTGCATGTTATGATGATGTGGATGGCGACGCTACTTCACTGTGACCTTCTCGAAATCGGCATTTGCACAGGTCAAGGAAACTGCGTCTATGTTGCATGTCGCGCATACGCTTCACCATCTCTAGTTCGGACACAAACAGACAGACAGACAGTGAGTAAAAGTAGAGGGCTGGTATGAGCGCAAGGTCGGCATATCGGAATTCCGTGCTCGGTCAGAGCTCTCGCTTTAGTGTACGTCAATGCTATAGTAGAGTGATGTTGCAGATGGTTGAGCGTACATGGCATTAGCTTGGGATTGCAAATAGCCCATAGTAAAACGGTCGTAATCAGGCTGCCCGTGATCGCCTGCGACTATATCGGTACCCGCAAAATCCACAGGTCTGCTAATCGGGTAAGGGGGGAGATCGAGAACTGTGGTACTAGAGGCCGTTGGCTGCGACTTGAATCGCGCAATAGCGACGGTGCACCAGGCAAGAGTCGACGGGCAGGTAGCGGGGCCCTAGGGTATGTCGGCGACGATAACGCCATGAGAGATCTGAGTTCACTGGTGGAGACAGCTGATGGCGGGTTGCGATGGGGGGTTTGATCGCCTGTGATCCCCCGGCGTCTGTCCACTACTGACGCCCTGAGGAAGGTTCTAAACGTGGCCAGGACGCGGATAGAAGGGTGTAGCAGAAGCATTTCGACGTAATACTAACCCGAATCGAGGAGCATGGCTCCGTCCGGCCATGGCAGTGGGATGGATATCGTGTTTCACAGTTGTCGTATGGCGTGAATAAACAAATCGAGTTGGGGCGAGGACGACAAGACGGAGGCTTGGCGCAGGGCACGTGACGCCACCCACCTCCACGGCTGCCCCATCATTCCAAAACTTTGTCTGTCCGCGCAAACACCCATCTTCCAAACACCGACCAGTGCGTCGAGCACAGTTGAATTGCGCAACCAATGCCTTGAGCATCCGCGCTGATGGCGTTGTACGCCAGGGACCTCGACCTAGCGCCCAGGTGGGGCGGTACGGCCATCCACTGCCCCGTATGACAGTCGGGGGTTCCCATACAAGCTAAAGGCAGCTAACGTCAGTCGGGAAAGTTACAATCAACTTTACGTCCGGGCGGAACTACAGATTACCTAAGGTACTTCGCAGCCCGGGTGTGCAATTCGCGGGTGTCCTCTGATGAGCTTATTCGCTTTCTCCCATGATTGGCGCTCCGAGGGGGGCTTCATATGCGGTCCCGTCAACGCCCCGGGAAGAAGCGTCGACCGCCACGACGCCGGCCAGTGTTCGATGCAATAGCGCAAATCTGCAACCACGTGTGGTTGTACGGGACACCGAGGGCCGCGCTCGACACTACGCTGCCACACCAAAACGAGAGGCAAGCCACGATAAGCCTGCAGGCGATGATCCTCACTGGGATTCCCGACCAGGCCTGCCTAATTCCCGTGCCTGTCAGAGGGGTCGAACGCGCACACCACTGTCGAAACAGAGTGGCAATGTTTCGACAACCTCATACTACGCGCTGGAAACGTGTGTCAGAGCCGTGCCAGAGTCGCTGAGCGCCGTTGACCCTCCCTCATGGTCCACCGCCCCATTCAGTGCGTGGTTCTGGAGAGCTACCATGGCGATCTATGTTTCGCCCAATCGAGCGTGGCTTGGGCGGCCTCGATGGGACGACCCCCACACTGCACATGAGACGGCGACGCCATGGGTCTGTTCACACCTGGGACAGTACCCCGGTTCTGCCCTGAGGCTACATCCTGGTCGCATGTCGTGCCCCGTAACCCCCCCATAGCGCCCCCTGCCGGTCAGCTCTGCACTAGAACCACCATCCACCACTGCTTGGCCTGCATGCGAGAGCGATGTTCCTTGTCTCTCCTGCTGCAAGCATGTCCGCTCCAGTCTCTAGGCCACACGGGCTCCACAACAATCACCATCCTTGCTTTGCGGGATGCTCACAAGTGGTAGTGTATCGGGCTGGCCCATCCATATGTAAAGACCAAAAGGCTCCCCAATCCCAACCAGATCGATCGAACAAATCTACAATACTCCCACGTCATCCGATCTTGTATCTCCATCTCATCACACTGTTGCCATCTTGATACCCTCTTTTTTCAAAAAAGCTTCCGGCCCAAGCCGTACTTCCCACTTTCTCTCCTGCTTTGTCACCGCCCGTCTCATCCGCGGACTATACCCTCAGTACCTCACCGTCTACTCTGTGGTACCAGCTTCTTTCCCTTAGCATGGCCGCTGTTGTTGCATCTCATCAGTCTGGTCTTTGGCAAGAACGACGGGAACCTCCCTTTCAAATGCCCAACATGCACAGCTCTAGCATGATCTCTCAGTACGACACTTCGCGCGCCGCCACCAGCGCGCCAGTCTCGCGGAGCTTTCAGCCCACCTCCACACAAATGGACATGAGCATGCCTCTATACTCTTCCAATGGCCTCGCCACCTCCGTCCCCTACCAACCGGGACAATTCGCATACGACACTACGTCGGTGAACCCATATACTATGCAACAGCCATCATACTACCAGTCGAGTATCCCACATCCCGTGTCCTACCCACCGTCGACCGATGTTCAGCAACTTCCAACAGTACGAGATGGCCGAAATCTCTTCAACCCTCTGGTCAAGGCCGAAAGCACATCGCCTCTTCAGTCGAATCCGATATATGGCGAAACATCCTACCCAGCTGATGCTAAGCGTTCCAACTCTGTCCCGACAGAAGGCACTTCCGTTCACTTCTCTACCGATGTAGACACTCTGATGAAGGCCATCCAAGCAAAACAGACCACACCTTCCGAGCCAGCGGAGCCCAAGGTACGTACTCAGCACCGCTTGAAAGTCTATTGGCTAATCAGAAAGCAGGAGGACACCACCAAGCCTTCTCAGAAACCTCGCAAGCGCTACCAATGTACTGTCCCTAACTGCAACAAGAGCTTCTACCAGAAGACTCATCTCGAAATCCACATCCGCGCTCACACTGGAGCTAAGCCATTCGTAAGGCTCTTGCCACGTTCAAACATTTGCCCCGATCTGACCTCGACTGTAGAACTGCAAGGCCCCAGGTTGTGGACAGTCATTCTCGCAATTAGGTAACCTCAAGGTGAGTTCTTCCACTGCCACTCATCCACGTAACATACTAATATGACCAGACACACGAGCGACGACACACTGGCGAACGACCCTACAGTTGCGATATTTGTGGCAAAACCTTTGCCCAGCGGGGCAATGTTCGAGCACACAAGATTGTGCACCAACAAATCAAGCCCTTCACCTGCAAGCTTGACGACTGTGGCAAGCAATTCACTCAACTGGGTAACCTCAAGGTGTGTACTACTGAGAACACCTCGATCCTGCAATCAGGCACTAACAAAACGTAGTCACACCAGAACAAGTTCCACGCCACTACCCTCAGATATCTTACGACAAAGTTTGCAACCATCAGCATGGGCGATTGGGTGTCCAAAGAAGACAAGGAGCTCTGGGAGTACTTTGCATCTCTATACAAGAACTCCAACAAGGGCATCAAAGGTCGTGGCAAGGACAGGCGCATCTCAGCCATGTCATCGTCCGCCTCGTCTTATCCTTCATCGTACCCAGCCATGCCAATGGCCTCCATGTCCCGAAGCTATGGTGGATCTTTCCACCACAGCAGCGAACGCAGCAGCCGAAGCTCCTCCATGTCATCTGATACTATCCAGCGAGTGGACAGCGGATATGACTTCAATGTCCCCATGCCAACAGGATACCATCAACCTCCAGCCAGTGGATACGACGATATGGTGTTCCCGGAGCGCAAGCTATATTAAACATTTTCACGACACGGTTGCCGACTTTTACTATGGGCTGGGGGTTCTTGGGCACGGTTCAGGCGTTATGGGACATTGGCGCTGGTTTACAGTTGGGATTGGAGGCAACGGGTGATCAGTATCCCAGCTAGCGCAGCAAAGGGCACTGCCTTTCATTTCACATTGGTCTTTAGACGGTAGTCTCATGGCATCGCTACGTATTAACAGTAATGTCTTTCACGCATTTCCATGTATTCTTATGCGCTCATCGCAACCAAAAAAACCATGTATACGTATCAGAGCTAAGGGGTTTGCTGTTTGTAGCAGCGTGTATGCGCTCAACATTGTATCGATAGTTTCACAAGTAGGATAGCAATCAACTTGGGGTCGAACAAAATACCCTGTAGTCTGTTTGGTCTGATGGTGCGTTCCAGTCACGAGACTGGGGGCCCAGATGTTGCGTTGTGCAAAGACACTCACCGCTTGATGAGCAGTAGTGAGCTAGTTAAAGCCTACATACATACATTGCGCATGCTTGCTGCAAGACAATCCTTCGACCTCACCACAGCTGGCTTCCAGTCGCCACACACCACATCGTTTCTAGGGGGGGCATATGCACTTGGGATGTCGGCAACGGGAAGCGAGGTGCGCCCGGGGAGTTTAATTGTAGGGGGTGTGGCAGGATCAGTGACCTTGGGTACAAGAGTCCCGATTTCTGAGGGGATTGGACAGCGACAGGACAGTTTGCCGCGATGAAGTCAGCCAGTGTCAGTACGTGATTGGATGACAGTCTGTCCGCCTGTTCCGCGACTAAGACACAGCCTTGATAGGGAGAGTCACGTAGCGCAAGTTACATGGCAGTGCCTGACCAAGCCGCACGAAACGACCAGGTGGTCAAACCTTGCGTGAGTAACTTTGCAGAATCTGAACAGCTCAGCAGCAGTACGGATGCAGTCATCCGGTCATGTAGCAGAGACGCTGATGATAAAAGACACTGACTAGCAATCTCGTAAGGCTGGTAGCGAGGGGACTTTAGTAAGAGGGTTCCGTCTCCACCCAGAGTTGTGTCGCGGAACCTGGCATCAACGAGCTTGTTGAGCGCTCATTGGCCCGGCAGAAAAAGATGCTCATCCCGCACTCCCGGTGACAGCCAGATCTCAGACTAGTCCGCTTCTTGCCTCCAGTTTCAGGCCGACATGTACAAGCATGTCGATGGAGCCTTGCTAAAACGGCTGCTCCAAAGTGTGGCCAATGACTAAGTCTTACACTCTACGCCCTGGGAGCCGTGGAAAAATATGCTCCCCTCGCCTCCCCTAGTCGAGCAAGAGGCAAAAAGGAGGGTTCGATGTCGCCATCGTGCGGAGCATCGTCCTCACGATACGTCACGTTGGCGTTGTTATCTCTGGACCATGACGTTGGGAAACGTGATGACGATGCAAACGCCCAAGGGATTTGGGACAAAAGCCTCACTTTTTCTTATTTTAGCTTCAAGGCCTAATGTTCACGACCAAGGCCACGAAGCCACCGACAAAAGTCGCTCGACGGGTTGACACTTGATGCTTGACATTTGACACCTTGGCCCCTCCTAGCCATGATCAGCATCTGTGCTAGCTGTCGATCTCTTTTGTCTACGCAGGTCCAGAGCCTTTTGCTACCTGAGAGATGACGTCGTCGTCTGCGCCAACCCAGCCAGTCGCCAGCCTGGACATGGGGCGGGTGGGGATTTTTCCGCCTTTGGCAAGATAGATGACCATGAGTCGGGGTTGCGCAACGCGACCAGCAATCACAGGTACGTACATACTTACACATGCCTACATACAATAAAACGGATAGCAAGCAAAGTTTGGACCCGCTGTGGGGCACCGGGGCGGAGGGGCGGCGATTCAGAAGCACCACTAATAATCTACCTGGTCTATAGTTTAAGTATGCTCTACCGAAATCCTACTAGTGGTCAGCCTCCTCCTACCCACGTCCTTGCCCAACCTCACAAAAGTTACGCAAAATGGACGCGAAAGATATGCCTCAACCCGCCTCATCTACCAAACGGGGTTCGCGATGATATTTGCTCTGACTTCGTTTACGGGTGGGGGTGGGGAGGTTTGATTACGGTATTGGGCGGCTTGGCAGAATCAAGTATGTTGCGTTGCCCCAACCAAGTGTCACTGCTGGCGTTCTATACGCCACCTCGTGTCTCTCTCCTTCACCTCCTCACCCTCGACCTTCCCTTACCACCCACGCCTGATTACGCTATACGTACGAATAAACGCGCGTCCCCTGCCCTCTGCTAATTCGCCACGATTTTCCGGTGATTTTCCTGTAGGTCGTGCTGAAGCTCCGCAGCGGGCCGCTGTCGCAACCGCCCGCAAAGGTCGCCGGCAGCGCACATGCCGTCTGGGCCGGTGTCAATCATCAACGCTTTTGTAGACAAAGTCGCCGTTGGCCTTGTCAGAATGCCAGCCTTTGGCCTGCGTATCCCTGGCCGTTGGGTTACTTGAAACCCTTTGATTGCGGCTTACCTATTCGTCGGGCTCTCATTTCGCCCTGTCCCGTACCGAACCTAGTCCACCTGAAAGAGGGCCATCCGAGTCAGTGAAGGTTTGGTCCTGGGCACCTGTGAGAAAAGCCCAAGCCTTACTCGTGACCGCGGGCCTCACTCCGCTGACTAGGTATTTGAGTCGTGCCACAGGCGGGGCGGAACGGAGACCGAATGCGCTGAAGGCGAATGCGAACAAAAGGTGGGTCAAGTCCATCTCGAATCGGCTACGCAAACATCGCCAGTGTCAAAGTATGCAAACCAGTTTGGTTGTCACTAGTACTCCGCATTATGAACGCATTGCGCAGCCGGAAACAGCTGCTCCATGCACTGTGCGCCGTTCAGAAAACATGCACCGCTTGCAATTCAAAGGCTTTCTCGCAGCATTCGATCCATCACCGATCGCCCCGATCCTAGCAGCACCCCGGCCCCAGCTACCAATACTCTACTACATTGCTCTGCCTCTGCTTCTTGTTTGGACGTTGACCACTACACCGCGTTGGTACCCGCCTCTAGGTACATGACTCTACAACTCCACTCTCACGCTGCGAACCTGTGGCCTGAAACCTATGTCAAAAGTCACACGACGCCCATCGCCTTGCCAAATTGGTCACCTCTGGACTCTTGGACAAATTACAGGCACCGCATGCAATGTCGTTCTGCAGTACTTCTCCGGAGAATTGCGCGCAAAATGCAGGGTTTGTATGGCGGCGGAACAATATATCTTATGCATACTCGTTGCAGCGTGCCAAACCCTAAATGACAAAGGCCTCGAAGAATGTAGAAACAAGACCGCGCGCTATGGAAGCATCGTGATCGTCTTTGGTCGGCGAAGTGATGATCGTGGTCTGATTCATGAGCGCGTACATTATGCTCCCGACCATCTTGGTACGGACCTCCACCTCACTGTCTATGCACGTCTCACTTTGACAGTAAAGAAAACCTCCACCTCGACCCTGCCAAATTTCTTGCTACTTAAGTAATCAAGTGTTCGCCTTACACGTGGGCTTTGTGTAACGACTTTTCCTGCTTGGGACGAACCATGGCCGTTTTGGGACCGACGTGCAGTCGTGCGACTGCTTCATCCAACATGTCGGACTCGGAGGTTCACCAAGTCCAAGCTACACCACTTCTGGATTCCAACCCAACGTTAATTGGGTCACAGGCATAGATGCGTCATGCATCCATTTCCCTTCTTCACTGTTACGCTATCGCGTATGCGCTTTGCACCTCGTACTCGCATCTCCAAAAAAAAAGTTGAAGATGAGTTTATTGCTTCGGCCAAGTCCGCCTGTGTGCAGCTTTCCCTGCATTGTGGATGTCCCCGTTGTCATCGTCTTTTTGCGGACATTGCTGCGACTTGTCGACATGCCGACCTCAATTTTCGTACGTCTTGGCCTCCTATCCGCCTTGTCCTATGCTCCCGAACAGTTCCATTACCAATATTTCTGTGACTAGTGAAATCCTCTATAGTTCCAAATACATCCGGTTGCAATGCCCGACCTTCCTAGCAAGAACGGTGGCGGTCACACAGCATCTGAAAGCACGCCTGATGAATATGTTCAGGTACTTGTGAAGCAGGAGAACATCGGAACTAGTCTACACATGAAACGAGTGGCATGTACCTGCAGCACTTGTACAAATGAGCATGTGCCTGTCTGACAGTGGGTTTTCGTGGAATGATGGGAGCCGGGGCGTGGTGTGACTGTGATCGAGGCCTGCATATGATGCAGGAAGACTTTCGGAACGGGAAGCCTGAAAATTCAAGCGCAAAATTGTGGCTCAGCAACGAGAACAAAATAGGGGAAAAGAGAACTGGGGCTTGGCGAGAACGTGAGTGGAGTTACTTTGACGAAGTTTGACGTTGATGATGACGAAGGACTAATAGACCTACCGCCAACTGGGGCGGGAATCCATCGGCCGCTGCTGCCAATGGCTGACTATGAATTTGAAAGCGGTTTTGCGCATACAGACATCATCATTTCCTTGGACATGACGGTCACGTGGAAGAACACAGGTCGCAGCGCGCACCTCTACAGTCGTCACTGCAACATTGAACCCACGCGTTAATCATAACAAACCGACTTTCTCTCATGACCTTGTTCGATTTTGCTGGCGCTATCTAAGGGCCAATTGCACGATAAGCTTGTCACGTCATACTCACGACAGACAGGTCTTTCAGGCACTGTATGGTACCGGCCGTGCTGTCGAGCACAAGGAGCATGCATGAGCGGAACTTTCCATGTGTATCTCTAAGACGAATACCCATACCTTTGGTGCTCTATGTTCTGCAGCCTCTATGTCTATTCCTGCTGATACATCTGCTCTGCGTCGTTTTTGCCGCAGCATCATGACGGCACACGATACACGATACACGACACCCGACGAAACGAGACGACTAAATCGCTGTACAAGACTGCATCGCAATGCCAGCACTTCGTACATCTGTATACGTGGACCGTACATAGGGTATGTGATGACAGGAGTGCATTGCATACGTGGTTACCAGCACCACTCGACCAAAGACAATGCCCAAGCATAATCCCTAACAACCAGCATATACGAAATCAGCAGACCTGATGCCATGTACTACAGTAGATGCGTTGTCTTGCTCAGGCTGCAATCCCATGGTACGAGTGCACAGGGGCAACATCTTACTACCTCGGGAAGGAGCCATATGCCATTCTTGAGGCAAAAGAAAAAGGAAAAGGCAGCAAATCACATCCTAAAGGATACATGGCAAATCATGACTGGATGAAACTGGATATTTGAGAGACCAGGTACCCTTCCTATGCCTGGGCCCCGCGGACCTCTTTTCCGCAATGACTGTAGATCACAATGGGCACCACAGCAGCTCACTAGAGCAAAGCGCACAAGTACAACCCGCAGGTCTTCGGGTATGTACTCGTGCGTGTGCATGTGTGGGTGTGGAGAATATGGCGATGATGACACGCTGCATGCGCGTTGACATGCAGTAGCTGAGCACGTATGTACATGTATGTAGCAGCGGGGAAGAAGGGATCCACGCTGTGTATACAAGGCTCACTGCAGAAAATTCCCTTAGTCGCGAATCGACTGCATTCCATTCGTCTAATACTGCCAATACCTGCATCCTTTACTCTACGAAAACGCGATTTGGCCACACGAGCTGCAGGCAAGGAATCCTCACCGGACGAGATCTTCACTGCGACGTTTCCTGTCAAAACTGTCCCTGTTTGCTGCGTACCACACACATGTGCACTTTCCCCCTGTTTAGAGTTTGTAACTAGGGTACGTACATAGGACGTACATGATACAGCTGACCCTGACCCAGAAACTTTATTCCAAGATGAACAAGTCTGATCCTTACAAAGACAGGTAAGAAAAGAATAGCCTCCTTTTTCCACTTCCCCCCACACACACTTTCCGATCGGTACCGCCGATGGCCACCTGACCCTCGGAACGAGTCCCTCGATTGCCCTGCCAGCCGCCTGAGATATCCAAAAAATGGCGTAGACAAAGCTGAGTGGCCCCATGATCGCTGCACTGCTGTTGGCCACCAAGTTTTCCAATTTCCCTATTTGTATTATCGCCACTACCAGGCCTTGGAATCCATGGTACCGCTCGCCTGGGCCCCCTTGAACCAGTGCGGTAGTCAAAGAAAAGGCCTTTTTTTTGCGCATGTACATATGGAGGTAGGCTGCAAGCAGGCGCTTCTTACTTACCTATCGCTTACACATGTATGTACGTCTTGCCCTTTACCCGTACCAACCGCCTCGCTTAATACGTAGCGTAGCTCTTCCCACCTCCCCCCACCCCCCCTCGCCCATTCCCCACCGCCGCGTTTCCCCCCGCCGCGGCTGCCCAACCCCCTGCTGAGCTGAACTCTCTGTTCAACAGTTCCAACAGCCCCTAGCACGGCGGCCGCGCTTAGCGGCACGCCTCGGTACATTGATGCGACGAGCTGGGTAGAATCGGCCAACCAGGGACATGAACAAGTTTTCTTTGGTAGCCTAACGTTATAGCTGCATGTTTTGCATGCTCTGCTTGCTTGCTTACATACTTGCGTGCTTTGCGCACCTCCACTGTCTCTCTCTTTTCTACTAGCGGTGAAAGATTTACCCTCCATCTCGACTCTTTCGATCTACGTACCAGAAACTTGCAAGTGCCTGAAAATGCTGAGGTGTGATTGGATGAGATCGTTGTGGTGGTGGTGGTGGTGGTGGTGGTGTGGGGATAAGACAAGAAAAGCATCATTGGTCGTTTTTTGCTTTTTCCCCTCTTCTCCTGCCTCTCTCTCGCCTCTTTCCCATTTTAGCATTCGCGCGACAGGCGTTTGTGGCGGAGAACCAGGCTGTTGGAGCCAAGTCCTCCGATTAGTTTTCCGTAGGGATGGGGCAAACGAAGTGGTTTGCGTTACAAGGCTTCACATGAAGGTAACTGTTGCTGTTACATCTCTCTCTATCTCTCTCTCTCTCGTTTTTTTTTGCGCTCTTCACAAAGCAGAGTAAGATAGATTTCAGTACCGAAATAAGGATCATGCCTGTTACATTCCCAACTTGCATCTTACATGATATTACCTCTCTTCCTTCGTTGTCCTCGCATGTATTCACCGCTGATATGCATGGCGTTGCCAGACCACATGACCAGAAGCTTTGCTCTACATTACACACATATACGAATTTCTTACCCGCGCCTTTTTTTGTATGGATTGTTGAGATGGGTGTGTGGGTTTCTCAGCATTGTAAAATGTCTTTTGATTGTTTGGTTTTAGATGCGCGCAAACTGGCGGTGTAAAAGGTCGTTGTTCAATGGTTCGCTGCGGGATGTGGTTGGGCGTCGTTCATCGGTAAGGCGCATGCTAGGGCGCATAATGTTGCTGCGAGGAATACATATGTACGTGTGTATGTATGTACGTATGTATGTACACCTGTGTATGCAAGTGTCTTGCAGGGACCATGGTACTTGGGGTTTGGTGGGGTAGGTGTAACTTGTGCGTCCGGTGAGTAGGATGTTTGCGGTATTATTCGGTTTGTGGGGAGACGGTGTAGCGGTATGCCATGCAGTGTGGAGTGAGTTGGTGGCGGGTGGTGCATTGGGGTATGCTGGTAAGGCAATGTTGGCAGAATATGGGTTTTGGGTATGGCTTTCTTAGTAGCATGTGATTATGTGGGAGAGTGGAGGTAGAGTACGATTTCGGGACAAGCCGCAAGTGGGTACTTAGTTGGCGATTTGATCTCCTTGCTTTTTTGCTTATGTGGTTGATGCTTTTCTTCTTTTTTGATAAAGTATAGAAAAGAAAAGAGAGCAATCGTTAGGTTGTATTTGGAGGCAATGATAGGCTGTGCATTCTCTCTATACACGAGATTAGAAACATGCGTTAATATGCGTTTTTTATGTTGGGGGACTTTTCGTACCGTTTTCCTATCTTAACAATACACACAAAAAGCGTCAAGTTTGACATAGTGATCACAGAATTCTTATCGTGTGAAGAACGTGGGCTATACATCTTCACATATCACATTCGGGATAGTCATATAGTCATCTGGACATATGTTCTTGCATATATGGAACAACATCAATAGAGAAAAAAACACAACAATGTCTTCTTGATGCTAACCACGTTCTCGTGATGTTCATGTCATTGCTCCTTCACTTTATCATCTCGTACTTTACAACTACCCAACATACACACTATATGTACTCTTCACTTCTCCACGACATACTCTCATATCCTTCTATCCAGTAGATATCGTCTATGCCTTCAGCCTAGAGAACGAGAATACAATCTGAGGAAACCAGATTTCTCGTACATGTCTTGCACCTTTCTTCTAAATGAGATCAAACGCCCATCCACTTCATTGGAAAACCCATTGCGGCATGTTATTATCTTATTCTCCATTGCTGATACTCCTTTGAAGATTACTCCTCTTATGATTTGCGCATTGTGCACCATTCTCCTCTTCTCGTTCCCTCGAACTCTTCCTGCAACTCTCTACCATCTCGCACATCCACAATTGCTGGATACCTTGGCTCATAACCCACTCTCACGATAGTCCTTAACAAAAAGACGGCACACACAAAAGTAAGAAGTCTGCACCGCGCATAACCGTAAAATAACACATAATCAAATTCAAGGGTATCATTCCACTTTCATCACCATCTCACCTCTTCCCCTTCTTCCCCTTGCCTTTCCCCTTAGCCCCTCCACCACCAGTAATACTTCTAACATCCTTCTTACTCAAACTCAACGTACCGCCCCTAAACTTGCCTATACTCGGCCCACCGACACCCCTCTCCCTCTTCTTCTCCACCTTCTTGCCCGTCGACTTTTTATTTTCCCTTTCCAGCACAATACCTGCTTCCCTGGCGTCCGCTCTACGCTTTGCCTCCGTCGTGCGTGCCTTAAGCTCCATGTGTTTGCGCTGGGCCATGGGCATCTTTTTCTGAGTGAAGATGGAGCTCTTTGCACCGAGGGATTGGAGGTGCAGGTCCATTGATTTGTGGCGGTCGACACCAGTGGTGGTTAGTGTGTTGGGGGTTGAGGTTCCGGAAGAAGAAGTGGAGAGGAGGTGGGATTCGCGGAGTAATTTCTGGAGCGCGAGGTCGTTTTTGAGATTTGTGGCTTCGGTTGTGTCGGTGTCTTCGGTCTTTTTGTTTCTCTTCTGGGATAATGAGGTACTGGTAGATTTCGAGGCTGAGGTAGGCGGTTTGGAGGACATGAAGGCCTTCATTTCTGCGCGCTCGGTGTCGTCGAGTTCGCGATGTGGGTCGTGGTATTCGATTACTTCGACGTCGTTTTCGTTGTCGCTGATGCCTGACCAATCTGACTCTTCCTCGTCTTCTTCTTCATCCTTCTGTACAGGGGGCTCTTCAATCTTGAGTTTCTTGGGATCTGTCGGTAGAGGCTTAAACTTTGCTTCGAAAGCGCGGCGAAATACTGCTTGGAGATCCTCTGCACCAGAGTCGTCGCTCGAGCCTGACGAAGGCGATGGTGACCGCGATTCTTGCTCGAGTTCGGCGCGTGTGACGCGCTTTCGCTTTCCAAGTGCTGGAGCCATAATTTTATCGTGAGGTGTCGTAATTTGGCTCTGAGAAGGCGGTGATGGCAATGCGACGCGGTGCGACAGAATCTCGAAAAGTTTCGAGCAAGGGACCTCACTAGCGCCAAATTCGGTTCGGACCTCCGTCTCTCTGAACCCCTCCCCCGCAACACCAAACGGAACATATCCAATTCACCTTTTTCTTACTCGCAAACACATTATGACGCGCTTCCGCCCCTGTATCGACCTGCACGCCGGCAGTGTCAAGCAAATTGTCGGCGGCACACTCAACACCACGACGCCCGACGAACTAAAAACTAATTGGACATCATCGCACCCCTCAGCATTCTATGCCGATCTCTACAAAAAGCATGACCTAACCGGCGCACACGTCATAATGCTCGGTCCCGGCAATGATCAAGCAGCGCAAGAAGCGCTCGAGGCATGGAAAGGCGGCATGCAAGTTGGCGGCGGCATCACCGAGCAAAACGCAGCCGAGTGGATTGCAAAAGGCGCGGACAAGGTGAGCGGTATACGCGCAATTGGCCAGAGGAACGGGAACTTGAGTAAAGACCCTGAGGCTAATGGAAGCGCAGTAGGTGATCATAACATCGTACCTTTTTCCCTCGTCAACTTTCTCCATGGACCGCCTGCAAGCTGTACTGAAGGCCCTCGGCAACGACAAGTCTAAACTCGTCATTGATTTGTCGTGCCGGAGGAAAGATGATAGATGGTTCGTTGCCACGAATAAGTGGCAGACGATTACTGACTTTGAGCTGAACAAAGGTCAGATCTGGATTCTCTCCATCTAATATTAACCTGAAGCTGATGGAAAACTACAGAGTCGATAGCCCTCCTCGAACCTCACTGCAGCGAATTCCTTATCCACGCCGCAGATGTTGAAGGTCTACAGCGAGGCATCGACCACGAACTCGTTGCTAAGCTAGCAGAGTGGTGCAGCATACCGGTCACGTATGCAGGAGGAGGCCGCTCACTCGACGACCTGGAACTCGTAAAGAAGCTCAGCAACGGCAAGGTCGATCTCACCATTGGCAGTGCCCTCGACATTTTCGGCGGTTCCAGCGTCAAATTTGAAGACTGCGTAAAGTGGAACGCCGCGCAGCAGTCGTGAAGCCAGTATGCTTCCGACTCAGAACATCTAGAGAGACGCATCACTCTTACACACAAATACCACTACACCAAAGGAATTGCAAATATCATACATTCTCCTTTTATCACTCTAGAACCTCAAAAGACACTGAAAGCCTTGTGGTCCACAGAAAAAGAGGGGGGCTACAAAAGCTACCTTTGAAAAAAAGACAGCCTACAGTAGCCATGCAATCAAAAACTCCATTCAAGAGAAGAAGAAAAAAATTCCCAAATCCCCCCCCGTGCTGCACCTCCTCCCAATAGGACCCCCCTTTAGAATCGTGTCACTCAGTCAAAGCGTACCAAAGCCCCCCTTCATTCCTTTGTTTCCACCGCCCATGAGCTTGGAAGTGAATAAAAAAGCAGTTTATTGCGCCCGTTCTCGTGCAAAAGAAGAAAAAACGTGTTCAGCGTCTTAGGAAGTTACCCAGGACACTCTGCTTTCTTCTGTCCTTTTTTGTTTGATTTGATTGTCTGTGATGTGTCCCCCAGAGATCCGTTTTGGCAAAAACGATACATTCCACGCGTGTAAAATCTCAAGAAAGAGAGAGAGAATAACGACATAGAGAGAAAAGTGTAATGGAATCGAAAAAAGGACGTTGGGATATCGAGCCGGGGACATGGGGAGGAGCTACGTGTGTATGAAAATTATGCCCGTTTTATCTGGGGAGGAGAGTCAGCAAATGTGTGCGAGAAAAAAAGAGTATATATTGCTCAAGTATTAACGTACCATCTTTCCTTTCAAACTCCAGCCCGCGGTGTGCCAACCGCGCTCGTCATTGCCGTGCTGAGGCCGCCCTGAACACTGCTTCCATCATCATAATCTTGCCATTCTGGATACTCTGCCGTCACCTCCTTCAGCTTGTCGAGCGCAGTCTGCTCAATGAGATTGGCATCCGCAAACAGCAGTGACGTGTCCTCGTTGTAGGTCCGGCAGTTGTTACAGAGCAAACCCAGATCTTGACGGAACTGCTTGACGGACTGGTACTCCTTCTTGTTGATCTTCTTCTCAATCTGCTTCATGCAGATGGGATTCTTGATCAGTTGGTAGTAGTCTGGATAATCCCATTTGTCTGGTAGCTCAATGAAGGGGTCGATGATGCCACGGTTTGGAATATTGGGATCTGACGACTCTTCTTCAAGATCGTTGAGCGCTTCGTAGACGACGTTAACAATCTTTTGAAGAGATGCTCGTTGATCAGGCTGCAACATGTCTTTGCTAGGCGCCGGTCGTCCTCGTTTCCGTGGTGTGGGTTCAACGTCGAGTGAGGCTTCATCTGCTTTGCGCTTCTCGGCCTTTGGCTTACGGCCTCGCTTCTTGGGTGCAGGCTCCTCGGAGCTGGCTCGTGATGGTGCTGGCGACTCCTCATCGCCCCGCCCACCCTTGTTCCTACCCCGTTTGGCCATCTTCGCCTCCTTGCGGGCAATAGCTGCTTCTATTGAATCATCGTCATTGTCAACAGCCTCCAGCCATTGTTCTTCCGTCAGACCGTCGTCATACTTGACCCGTGTACGCTCTCGAGCACCACGGCCAGCAGGTGTATCATCCTTTTCGTCGACGATGGGTGCCTCTTCGTTAAGATAGATATCTGGCAGTTCGCTCTCGCCAATCAAACGACCTAGAGGCTTACCAGGGCCGTATGGATCCTCGGCAATACGCTTTCGGTCCATTTCCTGGAATACCACCAACTCATCCTCGTGTCGCATCATGATCTGGTTCAGGTCGTCATCGTCCATTTCCTCTTGTTCAAGGCTTTCGGCTGCTTCAGCGGATTCCAACATGATACGCAACATGGCGTCTCGCTCGTCATCTTTAGACTTGTTGTCGAATTTACCAGCTTGAATGACCTTGCCGTCCATGTCCAACTTGTAGTTGGCTCGCTCGAGAATCTTCTCTTCTACCGAGTTGGATGTAATCAGACGTAGAATGCGGACCTCGTTCTTCTGACCAATACGATGGGCACGATCTTGGGCTTGCAAATCCTGGTGAGGATTCCAATCCGAATCGTAAATGATGACGGTATCAGCAGTCTGAAGGTTGAGACCGAGACCACCAGCACGCGTGGACAGTAGGAAACAGAAGTAGGGCGAATTGGGCGCGTTGAACAGCCTCAGCAAGTCTGAACGATCGTCTGCCTTTGTCGCACCGTCCAACCGCAGATACTGCATGCCCCTGAGTCGTAGGTAATCCTCCATGATGTTCATGATCTGAGTCATCTGGAAGAACATGAGAACACGATGACCGGTAGCCTGGAACTTGGGCAAGATTCGATCCAGAAGCTCGAATTTACCAGCCGAACGCCACAGGAGATCATTAGTACCTTTTGTGGGGTTCATGACATCCTCAACCTCTTCAAAGACGAAAGGATGGTTGCAGAGCTTTCGCAGTTGCATAAGCATATTGCTCAAACCACGCATACCAGTCTTTCCACCTTTGCCATCGCTGACCATAAGGCGGTTGTGAGTGACGAGTTGCTTGTACAGCTTCGCTTGGAGAGTGGAGAAGTTACACTTGATCACACGTTCGGTCTTGTCTGGGAGGTCCTTTTCGACATCGCGCTTCAGACGTCGGAGCAAGAAAGGCCTAAGAACCTTGTGCAGACGACGAATAACGAGCAGCTGCTCTTCTTCGGTGAGCTCCATCTTATCTTGACCTCCGGTATTCGCAAATGGCGTGTTGAACCACTCGTCGAACGAGGTAGCTGACTTGAAGATGGTAGGGAGAACGAAGTTGAGCATAGCCCAAAGTTCCGTCAGGTTGTTCTGCAGGGGCGTACCTGTCAGAATGAGACGATACCGCGTTGAGTAGTATTGTGTGATGGTCATGCTGAGCTTGGAACCAGCGTTCTTCATACGGTGACCTTCGTCGACAATCATGTGAACCCACTTGATCTTGCTGAGAATCGGTCTGTCCTTGATGATAAACTCGTACGTGGTGAGCAGGACCTGGAACTGACCCCAACGAATCTGTTGCTGGTACTGCTTACGCGCGTTCGGAGGACCCTTGTACACAATCTTACTAACGCTTGGCGCCCACTTCTCGAACTCGTTGGTCCAGTTGGTAAGCGTACTCAAGGGGACAATAACTAGGTAAGGTCCAGGTTGTCGCTTCTTCTCGATCAGGTATGTGATCAAACTGATTGTCTGAATGGTTTTTCCGAGACCCATTTCGTCTGCAAGAATACCGTTCAAATTGTTGTTGTACAGGGATATCATCCACTGCAGGCCCTTGAGTTGGTATTCCTTAAGTGTACCTCCGACGAGGTTGGTGGCCTGTTCAGTGACCTCCTCCTTGATGCGGTGAGCAATCTCATAGTAGTCGGTCTTTCTCTTGCCCGGTCGATCTTCGTTGTCGGACTCTTCACTGCTGCTCTCCTCCTCAGGCTCGTATGAGTTGTTTGCAGATCGCTGCTGCGCCTTGACAGAGTTGGCAAGCTGCTTCAAGAATCCATCGGTCTGCTTGAGAAGGTGCGAAATACGAGTATCCTTGGCTTGGCCCAAGAGCTTGAGGTAAGTCTCTTCGTCGTTGGACTTGAGCGCCTGCAGACGCTGTTTGGCCGTTCGCTCGATACGCTTTTGTTCTTCCTTCTCGATGTTCTGGTGGGTCGAAACCATGGTACGGCCGAGCTTCTGCAGACGCATTCGCTGAGCCGCGCCAGATTCTTGTAGTTCGGTGCGATGCTTCCGGATGGCATCGATGAACTCGTGGTGCTTCTTCTTTTCCTTGGTCTCGCGCGCATCGCGTTGCTGCTTCTCGAGCTTCTCGGTGAGACGGGCTTCGCGCATCGATTGCTTCTTGAGACGGCGGTAGACAGTTCGGTTAGCAGTCATGGCGAGGTTGTCAGCGTGAATCATTTGCTGGGCAATTTCTCTCCGCAGTTTTCGTTGCTTCTCAAGCAGATTCAGCTTCTTCTGCTCAATAACAAGAGCCAACTTGACCTTTCCGTCATCTTCGGGAGTGTCGGTCTTGCTGGTATCCCATGAGCCGATGTTTGCATGCATCTTCTCCAGCTCTGCTTTTCTCGCGGTAAGGCGGTTGTAGAGAAGGATTTCGCGCTCCTTGCGCAATTCTTCCATGCTTTGCTGTACAGCATTGATGTCAACACCTTGTGGCATGATTGTCGCGAGGTAAGGCCGGTTCTTGCGCTGTGTGTGGGAAATGTAGTTTACGTCTCGGAAGACTTCGCTACTCCAGGGGTCGATGAAGGTATCCGGAAGACGAGGCAGTGTGCGAGTCTCTTGTACAGCGCCACCCACGGCACTTGAGGTGCTGCCGGCGCGAGTGGCGTTGTCGAGCATCTGAGAAGCAGCTGCCACAGCCTCAGTCGCATTCTGAGGCTTCTTTGTCTGGTGGTGGCCAAAGATTTGTTGCTGCATATTTGAAGGCAGAGGGAGACCCTTGGAGAGGTGTTTGAAGGCTCCAATCTGAGCACGTAGCATCAGAAGCTGGTCTTTCGACAGTGCCATCGAAGCATTGTTGGCCGATGTGGGTGTATGTCCATCGACTAAAGGGGCCTGTCCTCCAGTAGTTGCAATCTGCATTGTAGACGTTGGTCCAGTCGAGGCTGGTGCAGATACGGCAAGTTTGCCGTCAACAGGCGCAACTGGCTTTGCACCATTGAGCATGCCCGTGGCAGCGCCGTTTTGTAGCATAGCCTGTGGGTCCACCTGGCCTTGCTGACGCTGCTGCATCTGCTGTTGTCGGAGCATCTTCTGTTGCTGTTGATACTGATTCTGCTTCTGAACCATTGTGAGGAGGTTGCGCGCCTTGATGAACTCGGGATTGGACTCGGAGACGCCTTGTTGCTTCATCGCAGTATAGCGCTAGAGACGGTGTTAGCAAAGCCGACATGCGTGTGAGAGTGTGATGGATGATGGCACTCGAGCTGTCGTGGGCGAAGTACGTACCTGGAAGACATGCTGAATCTGCTCGCGGGTGATATTTGCCGGGAGCTGGCCCTGGCCGGGCATCTCAGGGTTAGTCTGAACTGAAGCCATGGTGGGCTACGGTCACGGTGTTTGTGCAAATGCGCAATCGAGGGCTGATGATAAGATGTTAAGTCTGAGACGCGGTCGCCGCACGTGGTCTGGGCGCCGGAGCTCGCGCAAGTATGAGGGAACGACAGTCGAGGGGTGTGTTGTGGCGCGTGTAGCGGTGTTCTATGACATTATCGGGGGGAGTGGTGGTGGCAGAAGCCCTTTTGAGGATGAGGCCGATGAGAGACTCTCGGGAGTCCGCCCGTCGCAGAGTCGCGTCGTTCCAGGAGGCTGAAGCGGAGCGCGCAATTTGCGAGTGGCGGGTGGCAGGGGCGCAGGCGCACTCAAAAAGGGCCAGAGACCGCAGTACGCGTCAGGAACAGCGTGTTGCGGGGATGGAGAGATGCTGGCGCAAGTCTTGGTGATATCGGGATGGGTGGTGAACGTCTGCGAGGTCTCTCTAGCCTGAGCGTTTGTCCGCGCGCAAAGGGAGTTAGCGGCTTGGCAGGGTCATGTGATAAGGATGCGAGTGGGTGTGGCGGCCGTAGGGCAGTGGTGTCGTCGCTGCGACTCTTCGACTTGATCTCAGTCGCTCTGTTCACGCTCACGCTCACTGCACGTCGGGATTGTGGGGTTGAAGACAAACAACGCGCTTGACGTGGGCTAGTGCCGAAATGAGCCACCGCTTCGGAGGCGCAAGGAACGAGTGGAGTGCCACATCCACGACCCCTCCAAACTTGTTACCACGGCCCAGCCAAACATCAAACTCGTCGTTCCACGCTCCGCTGATCTGGTGGTAGGAGCATATCTACTCACAGGGGCCCTTGCATGCTTCCCGCGCACCCTCGTCCTCTATCGCGCTCCTCATAGTTACTTCACCGGCCAGATGAGCCTTGGTGGTGAGATCTCAAAATTTGCCCTGTGCGACAGCGTGACATACCACATGCATCAACATCTATTCCTTCATCGAAATATATCGCCTGAGCATACAAAAACACGACTTTTGGTTTTTTGATACCCTTTCGCTCCTCTGTCGCCAGGTGGCGTTTGCCAAGAAATACTGCTTATCCCACGCTCCCGATATTGCAGCTGACCAAGCTCTCGGCACCCAGTATTTGGTTGTGGGAGGAATGTTATTAACTTTGCAAAACTGGCCATTGAATTGGAATTGTTCTACATGAATACATTCATATCCCCAGCCCCAGCCATCTGAGTTCCCACCCGTGCATCCTAAGTGAGCGTAGGTGCGGTCCAGTCGATGTATGTCGCAACATCGGCACCGGACGGGCCCTTTTCGATATTAGTATTGGCACTCTGGTTTAACAGAAACTTGTTTATAAAGGCAGTGAGATCAGCCTGTTGGTTGGACGGAAACTGGCAGTGGTTGTGGTTGCCAGAGCCTGTGAAACCCATGTTGTCCGGTACACCAAGAGCCCTGTAGATGAGGCGGCCAGCCTTCATGCAAGCCGTTGTCGCAACCGGGCCCAGCCAGTCGATTTCATTCTCTATAACGAGCAGGCCGCGAGGAGCAACCATACCTGCAAGCTGATGGTGGTCGGTAGCGAGTGTGTTGGACCGTGTGCTAAATGCATTGAATCTGGGAGAGAACCAAACATTCTCGGTAACAATCTGGCTAGAAGTCTGAATGTTCTTGCCCTTGGCTTTCTCCGAGTCAGAAATGCGCCAACAGGCAGCACCGCCAGATCCAGATTCTTGGGGTAGCCCGAGAGCGATACGGTTAACGAGGGCGGCGGCGACAAATGCACCCTTGCCATTCCGGGAACATCCAGTAACCCCGACGCGCTTGGGGTCAATGCCGGCGCCGGGAGTCGCCTCAAGAGCATCTATGATACGATCGACACCCCAGGCCCAGGCAGTAAGAGCACCTGCACTGTGGCTGGAGCCGTATAGATCATAAAACTTGCCTTTTCCACGACTGCTTTGGCTCTGCTGCTGAGCGATCTCATCGTTGTTGAAGGTGATGGTAGCAACCTGGCTGGGGATGGGGATACTGGGAGCGCCATAAGCGATAATGGCGGGGAAGGGACCACTGCCACTGGGTTTCTTGATTGAGACAGAGAATGAGACAGATTTTCCGCCCTCACTTGAAGTGATAGAGAGGGATGATCCCGAGAAGCTAGCAGTGACAGTTGAAGGCTTCTTGGGAAAATCACCAAGCTCTTGGTTCTGCAAGGCAGCGCTAACCTCTTTGTTCTTGCAGGCAAAGTCTTCTTTGGTGACAACAGACCTTCCGTCGAAGAACTTGAAAGGATTCGGTAGTTTGGAGTTGGCGGTGCTAGGAAAAGTCGATGGGACGGCGCATGCTGCCTCTTGGCGTTGCTCAAGCAGAGGCGTCGCAAGAACGGCACTAGAAAGGAGTGAGAGGGCGATTAAATACTTCATACTGAATTTTGAGGGCGCGCAAGACTCGTTTGTTCTGAACGCGGGCCTTTTCGAGAGCCTCTATCTATTATATATTGACTATTCGCTCCACAAACACTCCACATCCCCGCAGGAAGTTGACGATCTTAAATGAAGCGATATAAATGAGCAGGTCATACAGGGTTAATACGATGTAATTAAGGATACATATCTCGTTGAATGTCAGTAGCCATCCTTACTGTCACGCAAATGCGGAATCGTGGTAGGTGGCATGGGGGGGGGGAAGCCTGGGTGCGAGTCGTGCAAGATCCTGTTCCTTGAATGATGGAAAAACCAATAACGCCCTCTATATTTGGCGTCTTCCATTGGTATGTAAAAGCTCCTTTGAGCCGCGAGGGGGCGGACTCGCACTTTAGCATCCTTGGCTAACAGTTTTCCCGAAAGGGAAGTGTCTCCACTTGACATGTTTTCGGATGCGGGTGTCGAAGACCAATGTAGGGAGAATGCAGTTTGCATAATGCCCTTTCAGGGTTTAGAAATGGGGTATCGCCATAAGATGGTGCTTCATTGGGTGTAGGATGTAACAGCCACTCTACCAACCCTAGCTCGCCCTGAAGAGATGATGGATATTATGATGCCGGCTCTCCATGACCTTGTGGGGTGCGGTGGGGCATTTGTTGAAGTGCCGTTTAGCCTGTCCATCACCTTGCGATTTTTCCGGCAGTATACGATCGGTATTCTGAATCCTCTCTTGAAGCTTCTGATGTTGTTCTGAGGATGTTCAGAGGCGGGCCAGGTCGGCAGCAGATAGTATGTATATCGTATGTTGCATGGTGCCTCGTTTCAATCTTGATAGGATCTGATGCAGCGTTGTCAGTGCGTACAATATCAAAAATGTGCCGACATGAACATGTGGAAATATTGCGGGTGAATTTGTAAATGCTCGCTCGCTAGTATGAAAAGTGTTGAGCGCAGAAAATATCGAAGGAGGAAGGAAGGAGCGAAACGTGAGAGATAGCCAGTCCGTCGCGCTTACCAATTCTAGTGCTAGTGGTATGCTGGACTTCGGCACCCCTCTCACGTTCAATCGGATGTCTCAGGCCGGTACATTGAGACCCGTAGACGAACAAATGAAGCTTAGTTATAAGATAAAGCCCTGCATTCTTACGGGAAACTTGTCAGAAAAATCATCATCGATTTGCCTAGTCAGCATTCAGGAGAAAGAGAAGGAAGCATACTGTGCACTCTGACTGGATAGATCGAAACCTGGCTTACCAAGCTGCCCAGCCCTCATTGGCTGGCAGCCACCGTTCTCTGTATACATCTATATATCCTGGCGAAGTGGTGTTTTCCCCACTTGACAAAACAAATTCAAAGTCGGCCAAAATGACGGGCGAGCGACAAGCAGCAGATGCTATTCGATTTTATGATTCGAAATCATGGGATTACGACGCGACATGGCATAACGACTTTACCAAACGGTTCATATCCTATCTGGACATACAACCTGGGCAGCATGTACTGGACCTCGCATGCGGAACTGGACTCCTTACTTTTCGCGAAGCAGAGGCTGTGGGGCCACAAGGTCACGTTGTAGGAGTCGATGTCACGCCTAGTATGCTTGCGGTCGCTACGCATCGAAAGACGCAAGGGGGGGATAAATATGCAAATACTACCTTTCTCAAGGGCGACGTGTTACACTTGGATGAGACGGAAGAATTAAAGGGGAAACAATTCGACGTCATCACAGTAGCTTCTGCGCTTGTCTTGTTTCCTGACCCCAAGGCTGCTATGGAGCACTGGACGGAGTTTCTGAAGCCTGGGGGTGTCATGGCAGTGGATGCGACGCATCCGAGGAATTTAGTGTCAGGCATGGTTCTCGAGAGGGTGGCGCGCAGACTGCAGTTGCCGATCCCATATAACCGCTCGTGGAGCAAATCAGAGGACACTCTGAGGAAGACAATGGAGTCAGCTGGTCTAGAGGTGGAGCAGGTATTTACAGTCGAGAACCAAGCCGGGTACGGCCGACGCTCGTATGAAATGGAGCAATGGGACGACTTTTTTGTCGAAAATGTAATTGTCAAGGACGTTGCCAGGACGTTTGCGAATAACGACATCAGGAGAAAAGCACAAGGGCTTTACAAAGAAGAGTGGGAGAAGCTGGCGATAGACGGCAAGGTCGAAGAGGTGGACTCGGTGTTTCTGGGTATAGCGCGGAGACGTAAGTAAAACCCATGCAGCTGCACTTGAGCCAATGGCGGGCTGACGCGACACTGAAGCTGCCGACGGATCTCGATATGTCGCACAAACAATTAAAGACGACGTCGTCTTCTCAGGTGGGTGCCGGTGCGGTGGTGTACAATACACATCGAGCGCGGCGCCTTCGGGCATCATCATATGCCACTGCCGAGCGTGCCAGCAGCTGTCAGGCTCTGGATTTCTCGCGTTTACACGAGTATCGTTGAAAGAGGTTAGGTTCAATCAGGCGAGCACACGCACGAGTCTACAACTTTCTAGCGTTGCCGAACGAACCTTTTGCTCGGGGTGTGGGGCACCGATATCCATGACATATTCTTCAGACCCTGAATGGCTCTATCTGTGCATGGCCACGGTCGATCTGGAAAGCCTAAAGACGGAGACGACGCCAAAGGTGATCAAGCACATCTTCCTGCGGGAGAAGGCGCCTTGGGTGGTGCTGCCAGAAGACGGGACCGAGCGTTGGGGCACGTCAGAGGTAGCACACTATCTGAACCAGAAGTCGTAGAGCCGCATGTGTGTACTGCACACACAACTAGCGAGGCAGATGGCGGTAAGGGAGATGGGGAGGGATGGTGGAGTAGCTGCGCCAAGTGGGACTGGATGGATCCATGATGAACCCCTACTTCGGTGCAGGTAGGGAGTGTAGACATGTTGAGCAGCCGGAATGCAAAAGAAGTCGTTTTGGTGTTTGCGAGAGGATGCTACAGGCAGGGTATGAGGGGGCCAGGCCAGCAGCAGCAGCAGCTGTCACAGAAATGTTTCCCTGGAGAAGAATGTTTCCAAACACGCGTTGCGTGTCATTGGCCGGCGACACGTTGAAACCGAACGGCGGGCCAAGGCATCGAGGGAACCGGCAGAGGGCCAAGGCAGATGGTTACAAAGACGCCCTGGAGAGAACCGCAGAGTTTGAAGGCGGCTGCAGCGTGACTGGAGCGGCGCCGTGCATCCAGGGTGCGCGATTGGTGCGAGGTGTGTATCGCAGGTGGGTAAGCCTTGTATACGTGTTGCGGTGTGCGAGCATGACGGGGCGGGCTAGCCGTCCCAGCCTCACAAAATGCGACTCCCGGCCACCTTAGTTTTCCTGCCCCTCGAAACATTTGTACGCTGCACAAAATCCTCGCCTGCTTCCTTTTCCAAACCCTGAATCCCAATTCCCTCTGCTTTTGGTGCGACTGTGTCTGTAGCGACTCGTCGCCGCTGTCCTGCACCAGCTGTTGAGCCCTTGTACCCCACCCACCACCGTCCCTCATTGCTCCTTCATCGGCCCTATCCGCCGCCCATCGCTCGGGCTGCCCGCTGCCCTCACGCCCTCACGCCCGTCCCCTTAGGCGACGAGTCGAGGCAGTGTTTCGCAGCAGCACGCGTATAGTCTCGCTGCCGATCCGGACCATCTGCCGTCGTTGCAAATCTCCCTTTCCCCAAACAACTAGTCGCTCCAGTGGGCCGCCGATATGAGCCGCAATTCATCTCATGACCGGGACCTGCAACAGCCCTCTCACCCTCCTCACGCTGCTCAGGGCCCGCAACGCGCTGCTATACAAGTGCAGCCCTACCATTCTCGCAAGCACTCGGCTCCCCTGCCTGAGCATGACGCTCGCGCTTTTGACGACGTCGACATTACTGGACTTCAGCCACCCCCCTCTGCTCTAACACCCACTTCCCCCACCGCCTACGACCCACATGCGCCCTGCCCGCTCGACGACTTCCCCAGGTCAGGCCGTAGCAGTCACCAGCGCACGCTGACCGGCACCGTATTCGAAAACCTTAACCGCGCCGCTACTACAATCCAGCAGCATACCTCACGCGCCTCTTCGCCCTCAAAGTCACTTGCTAGTTTTATGCCCTCGAGAGGAACCGTTGAATCTAGCGCCAGCCAGCCCAAGATCAGGGCTATCCAGAACTGGTTCAGTGGCTCTTCGCCCTCTAGCAAGGCCAGCACCTCTCAGCACGACGATTACTCAGACTCGGAATCGGCATCAGGAGAAGAGTACGACTCGGAACCAGAGTCAGAGTCAGAAGTGGAAGAAGAGAGGGGCAACATGATGGCCAATATCTTTACCCGTGGCTCATCCCTTACCGGGGGCGCTTCCGAGAGTCCCCAACCCTCTAGCGCTGTACCGGCGCAGACCAAGGCACCAAGCCAGCCGACTGCGAGCAGCAAGTTTGCCTGGTTGCTCAAGACACAAAAGAGCGCCGCAGTCCCTCCCCCACAGCCGTCACCCACATACCACAACCCCGACGATGAGCTGCTGAATCTCAACATCTCGCAAGCTCTCTTCCCCCACGGCCCCGCCGACCCCCTCGCTGCGTCATCCTTTCACGACCTCCTCACTAATGCCGAAGCGCTGCTCTCACGCTACCAGACTGCCTACCGCAAACTCTCTACTGCTCTGGTAGACGCGCACTCGGAGCAGAGCGCGCAGGAAGACGAGCTCGATGAGGCCGAGACACGTGCCCGCCACCTCAAGATGCAACTTGAGACCATGGCAAGGCGAGCCGACGAGCAGGACGAGCAGATGCGATCGCTCATGGAAGACCTTGCGTTTGAGCGAAGAGCAAGGCAAGAAGAAGAGGCAGCCCGCAAGAGGAATTTGGCGCTCATCAGGGGTTCGGCCCAGTGTGAGCATGCTTCGTGCCAAGACACTGCTGTCAGACGGCACAACCGTATTTCTGGGTCCGGACTCAGTGTCGATTCTGGCTTCGAGTCGGAAACGGAAAACGATGGAGCAAGTGTCACGTCGGGAAACTGCTTGAGCCCAACCGCCACTGACCGTTCCTCCATGCTCGACAACGACTCTCATGTCAACCCAACCAAGGGCAAGAAGCCCGCGTCGCTTCAACAGAAGACCACGCAAGAAAAGATTGACATCAATCGGGGAGGATGGGGATGCGCAAATTGTGAAGGCGGCGCACAATCCTCAGTATGGGGCCGTCTGGCCAAGGAGCGAGAGGAGAACCGCACGCTAAGACTTCGAGTCGAGACGCTCGAGGAGGCTGTCGACGGTGCCTTAAACGCCGTCACTGGCGCTTGGGGAATGTAAATAGTATGTGTCTAGTACAATTTTGTGGAAAGGCACTGGCGTATGGCGAACTGTGCTTTTACTTGCCGTCTTTGGCTTTGTTCTTCGCTTCGCAATATTTATGCACTTGAGCTTTAGATGGAACGGAATACCACTTTTGCACAGCATTGCTGTGTTGCGAGCATGTATGTACTCTAGGGATTTGTTATTGTGAAAGACATTTTACTTCACAGGCAATGTAGACCGAGGTGATGCCAGGTTGCACAAAATAATTAACAAGCGAATACTTCCGATATTATCTAGTGTCACCTGTATACTAGCATAGAGTGGTCATTTGTATACATTCATCCTTTTATCCATTACATCCATTCCTCATACATATTCCTTAATCGTTATCTCATCGCCAAAATGCTGAAATAGGAGGAAAGGAAATATTCCATCACATTACTACACCATCCAAACCTCAAAGCTTACCCTCACAGCAATCCTTGGCCACCAGGACCGAAGAGTTGTTCTTCGTATTCGGGACATCGATCGCAGGATTGCGGTCGAAAAAGTCACTTGGCTTGTAGTGAATCTCGTAAATCTCGACGGGCATAACGGGCCAATCTTCGACACTACTCACTTGTTAGCACTTCTCCTTCCGAAAAAAAAAGCCGACCCACTAGATACAACATCTGATGGGCAAGCAAGGAAAGGAATACGCACCGAGGGTTATGTGTCAAACCGAAAACATTCCAAAGCACCAAATCCTCCTCGGCAACATCGTCCTTGCGAGCAGCCATATCGTGCACACCGCCCACATCAAGCTGACTCTGCATTGTAAACGGACCCGCAGCGAACAGCTCGTCATCGCGGTACTTGGTAACCCACAAGTGGTGTTGGGTAAATAGCGCGCGGTTCGATTGAATGCTACCCGGAGCCGCGAGCAGCTTCTGTGTTGGCAGCGGCGCGAATTTATATCCAACATTGTTTCCAGACTTGGGGTTCTTCTTGTACGGGTTGATGACCTTGAAGACACGGTGGTCGATGGGGTTTGCGTCGATGCCCGTTGATTTGTCGACGATGGTCTTGCGGATCTCGTACCAGTTGCCGTTGGGGTTTGTTTCCTTGTTCCAGGGTGCAGTGTGGGATTCCTCGTAGACGAGGGTGTTTTTGTGGCCGTCGATGGCCGGGTCGACGCGGACAGCGAAGATGTGCTGGTGGTTTTGGGCGAGGATGCCGTTGGCGACGATGTTGCCGTAGTTGGAGGTCTTGCCGGGGTCGATGTTGACGACTGAGACGATACCTGTCGCGCGGGTCTCAATGGTGATGCCGCCGGCGTTGTCGAGCTTGTAGGCGAAGATGTATTCGTAGTTGGCGAGGGTGATGATGAATTGGACGACGAGCTCGCGCTTGCGGGTTACGATAGCGCGGCCAGTTCGCCAGTTGGTGTGCTTCCAGCCGATACCATCGTCTTGCTCATGCAGGCAGATGACGTTGGGGTGATCCACGGGCTCACCCTCTTTGTTGATGATAGTGGCATCAAAGTACTTGATGACACCCAGGCAGTCACAGCCGAGAGAAAGATTGTTGGCGCAGTTTCCGGCACCTCCATCACCAAAGTCAAAGGCTTGCTTGCGGTGGTAGCCTGGACGGGCATCGGCATAGGGTACAGTCATCTCGCTGATGCTCATGCGGTACATGATACTTCTTCCATCGTAGTGGACGTCGTGCAGAACGGCTCCTTCACGGGGAGTGAAGGATACCCTGAAGCGCCATTTTTGCCATTCAACGAGTGATTCATCGGTAACTCTGAAGGAAGGTCCCTCAGGCTGTACGATGTTGATGGGCTTGACATCCTGTCGGAGTCCACCACTAACCATCTCGGGGACATATTCGGCCGGCTCGCAGTGGTCAAGGACACGCGGAGAGCATGTCTGAGCCGTCAGGCCATCTTCCTTTCCACCCGTAGCCAATCGGTCGACACGGACAATTTGCTTCGTTGCTGCGTCCATAATGGGGACCAGGGGTATTGGGTATGAGTAGAAGTTGGAGTCTGGGTTTCCGTTCCTCAAGTCTTGAGCAAAGCAGAGACCTTGGAAGTATCTGCTACTCTCGAATTCTGGGTCAACTGGACCGTGTGGCCTAGAGCAATTAGTATGTAGTCGAAGAGAAGGGTACAAAATATTCTTACCATGGCTCAACAACTAGTTCAAATCCTTCAGGTAGTTGAAACTCGGCAACAGCCTTTTTGAACATGTCGCTCTGCTTGCATGCTTGAACGAGATCATCGAACTCCCACAAGCACAGGCTGGCCTGGATATCCTTTGGAAAGGCCTGGTGGCGGATTCTCTTTTTTTGCTCAACATCAACGACCGACTCGTTATATTGAGGAATCTTATCCGACCCAATCACGTCGTACTGAACCTTGGCCAGTCGTGGCGGTCGCTTGGTGGCCGCAGAATGACCTGGCTTGGCAGCATGTTCAAGTTCAAGAAACTGCTTCATTGCCTCTTTGTTTGGTTCTTGGATAAAAATTTCTCGAAAGTTGATGAGAGCATCTTTGTAGAGTGAGCGGATGACATCGCGAGCGATGCGTATCTCATCTGGAGAGATACTCTTGAAAGGGTGAGGCGCCATGATGGTTGACGATCTGTGAATTTACGAAAAAGGAATTGGTCTACCTTGACAATGCAAGATGAGGTAGAGGGAAGATGGTAAATGAGAAATAAGAAATTCACCCAACACACAGGCTACGCTTCCCTTTTATCATCGCATATTCCAGCCTATACATGGATCATGCATTCCGCGATTCTCTACCGCGACAGGTGGGGTTTCGACTAGTACAATCCGCTATCGTGGGTTAGGAGGAATCGCATGGACCTCCTGCAAGCAGTTTAGTGCGTGTGTTATACAGAGCATATGACAGCAACACTCGGCTCGGCAACTTTTTTATACAAATAGAAGTGTTATCTTCTGCCAAACGATGGATCTAGACGTTTACCAAGCTTGCTGATTTATAAGTTGGTTGCACTATGCCAAATATGCGGGGAACGCGTATGTTTCAATGGACGGAAGTATACCGCGGTGAGATCCGCACTTTTGCTCTTCTGCAGCGCGGACAGCGGTACATCGCCGCTTCCGGCATTTCAACACACGAGAGATCCTTACATCGACAAGGGTATCATTCGAACCACAGCCGCGTCGGGTGACTTTACTTCGAATTCGGACCGTCGATTCCTTACCGCCTGTCTCTTATTTGAAATTAAACGCTTATCGTGTAGATCGTCAGAGCGACAAGAATGATAGTGTAATACTGGCCAGACGCACCATTCCGGGCATCTGTAGACTCTTGCAAATGATGATTACATGAGTCCTCTTGAGAATGGTTTCGTGGCACTACATGTTGTATGCATGCATTAGGTATGTTAGCATAGAGAAGGAAGAGCGAGGCTACTGTTGTTTGCAGATGTTGTGTCTGCGTTGTACAGCTCACCGCATTGAGCCACGATAGAGCTACTAACGCTGATCCGGTGAAATACAAGAGAGTCGAGCTGGTTAGGCTTGGGTGCTTCGTCCATCCTTGTAATCTAATACATTTTGTGACCACGTTGCTTACTAGCCCATACAAGCGGCCCTACAATCGTTCTTAGTGCGCCATGGTAGTCTCGACTTGAGAGACAGTCTCCCATTGAGCCTTACCGTTTACAGCTATAGTCTGGGGTTGATCCAGCGCATCTCGAGACGGTGATTATGAGAAATATATTGTATCTAAATCCTCAGATTTTCATCAGAAGAAGTACCAGCTTCTATCACCTTGATAACCCTAGCATCGGTGGTTTAGTGGTAAAATTAGCCGTTGCCATCCATCTGTTCCTCACAGTCCAGATTGGACAACGTCGGCTAGCCCCGGGTTCGATTCCCGGCCGATGCAAGATTTCTTTTTTTCTTCTTGATCCTGGACCTGGTGCTCGGATTCTGGATATATTTTTGCTTTTTCGTTGGTTCTCGCTGTTGAGGTTGGTTCTCTTTTTGCGCTCTGCGCCAAGCTGAAGATGGAGACAGTTGCTGGCAGTAGCAGCAGCGACAGTAGCGCGTTTTTCTGTACATGTTGTCACTACTTCTCTTGCCACGTGTGCGTGTTTGCACAAGTCTTGTGGACAATTGCTTTGGAACGTCTGTGGCGGTGCGCTTTTTTACCTCTGCCACTTGGTGAGGCTGCGCCACAAACACCGCCACAAACGGGCCTAGTCCCGCCATTTCTTAGTAGGTACGCGCTGACACGGACGCTATGACTGCTGGCTCACAATGCGCTGGCTGACGACAATCTTGGATGACAGAGTGGGCCTCTCTGTCGTCACACACGCTCCACTTGACATTTCACAGCCATGCGCTGCCCTTGATGCTTCCTGAGACGATGTGGCTGTGAATTTATGGACGCGCCGTGATGGACGCGTCGAAGCTCCCTACCTTTTAGAAATCTACAGCTTTTTGTTACCAATTCAACTTCCAACATTCAACATTCCTAGATACGGAACCGCATTTCTACATCAGCATGTTTACCGGAGTGACGCCGGAGTCACTTATTCCTCGCTCAGACTCACGAAACCCGGCGACCACGTGCAAAGGCCTTACACAATCCGGGCGACCATGCAAACGACCTATTGACGCGAAGGAGCCTGAAGGCGATGGTGTTCTCGCCGTGACGTCCGTAGCTGGCGATGACAGCGGGGAGGAGATTGGCGCAGCAGCATATTTTTGCTGGCAGCACAAAGACCAGGCGGAAACGTTGGCAGCAAAAGAATCGACGGGACCAGCGACCCAATTATACCCGCTGAAAGAGAGGAGCAGCATCGATACACTGGTGCAACGGCTGGGTGTTCTGGATATTGAGGAGCAGAATGAAGTTGCTCCACGCAAGAGGAGGAGCAGTGGCCATAGAAGAAGATCTGGATCTCGACCACCCAGGCGAATCAACCGGCCACCGACATGGGATGCTGTCCAGGGCCCGTTAATGTCTGTACCTAGCGATGTAATGGCCGACAGGAAACGAAGAGACAGGCCATCGAAATCGGCGCCACCAGTAAAAAAGCTAGGCTTCTGGGCATCGCTATGCTGTGGATCTGCAGATGAGGAGGTCACAGAACCCACCCGGCACAAGAAGAAGACAGAACATCAACCGCCAGTAGAACCGACTCAAACAGAAACACCCATGCAAGATATTCCACAACCGCAATCACAACCACCACAACCACCCCGTGTACAAGGCCAATCCCGAAAAAGCAGCAGCCAGCACTCCCGCCCCTCGAGCTCCCGCAAACCGCTCTCTGAAAAACCCGCCCGCCCCGTCAACAAGTCCAACAACCCCAGCTCCGACCCCGAAACCGCCGCACTCCTGCGCTACATCCCTACCTCTGTCCCCCCGAAACTCGCCTCAACCATGCTAGCCGAACTCTCCAAGCCAATCTCCCCCCACGACGAAGAAGGCTTCATCTACATCTTCTGGCTGACCCCCGAGACGGCGGGCCCGGCGCCCGCATCCGCAGCCAGTAATTTACTGGCGCCAAGGGGAGAAGGGTCGAGGAGACGGACGTCGGATGTTATGCGGCAGTATTCTATCAAGGACAAAAAGGGCGGAGGAGAGAAAGGTGGGGAAAGGGGGGAGAAGGGAGGGAAAGATACGATTCTCCTCAAGATAGGCAGGGCGAATAATGTGCATCGGCGGATGAACGAGTGGACGAGACAATGCGGGTATAGTCTTTCGCTTGTGCGGTACTATCCGCATGTTTCGTCTGCGACGCCATCGCCTGCGGGGTCGAGGCAGGCGTCGCATCAGGGGCGGGGCCCCGCACAGGCACAGGCACAGGCACAGGCAAGTAGTGGTGGATTGCAAGCTGGGGGCGAAGGGGCGGCGGCGGGAGTGCGCAAGGTACCGCATACGCATCGGGTAGAGCGCATGATTCATTTGGAATTGGGGGAGCAGCGGGTGATTAAGCAGTGTGAGGCGTGTGGGAAGAGTCACAAGGAGTGGTTTGAGGTCGAGGCTACGAGGGAGGGGGTTAAGAAGGTGGATGAGGTTGTGAAGAGGTGGGTTGAGTGGGCGGAGAAGAGGAATGAATGATGTGATAGTTGGATGTATTTGGATAGCTGGCATATCAACATAGGACCATTACTATTAAAGATTCACGCACCGGAAGACTCAAGTATTCCACATCCTCGCCGTAGTGTTTCTTTTAAAAAAAAGTGTAATTTCATTTGGGGAATTGGGGTATCTTGTGTAGCTATAGCAGCAAGCAGGTAATAAACAATCAAAACGCCCATGTTCTTGGGACTTTCCGATACAGGTGTTTCGCAAGGTTTACTTTGGGGGAAAGGTTGCCCGACATGACGGACACTGTACAGTGAAGCTTTTGGGAGTGGTGGCGGCGGCGGCGGCGAAAGGGGGAAAGGAAAGGGGGGTTTCGTAAAAAAGAAAATGCCGCGGCCCATCTCTAATACGGCCGGTATATGAAATCGAGGGCTTTTCCCGTCTCTTTTATGTCGCAGTGAGCGACAAAATATTACATCCTACTCGTGTTGAACTTGGTCTTGCCCGGTGGATGGTGCAAGGTGATACATATATACAGTTGCGCTTCCTTTGATTTTTTTTTCTTTCACCGCCAGATGGTTTCGAGGTTAGAAGAGGCCGATGCGGGGCCGCCAGTCGTTTTCAGCAGACTTTGGGTTGACGACAATCTGGTAGGGGAAGGGATTGGCATCGGTAGTGGTGATGGGAGGAATGTGGTCTTTGTCGCGGTTGACGATGGCGATGATCTTGTGCGCGGCTTTTTCCAGCGACTTTGTCATTGCGCGACGGACCTTGAGGACGTCTGTCAAGGGTATTAGTAGGTTGGGGGGAGTTGGAGGGTTGGTTGGGCTGCTACGTACCAGTCTCGGTCCGGGGCTGGGCGAGAGTCACGTCAAGCGTCCACTGCTCCCAGCAAACGTCTTCGTCTGCCTTTCCGAAAAAGTACGTCTTTCTCCGCTTCTTCTCGAAGAACTGGACGACAATCTGACCTCGTCCGCGTGGCTGGTGGGTGCTGTCTATGGAGCGCACAAGCGCAAACGTCTTCTGCTCAATAAGGGTTTCAAGGTCGACATCATCGATGGCGGGCAGCGTCAGGTCGAGCAGGTCGCGTGTCAGGGGCGATATCGAGGTAAAGTACCGGTGAAAGAAGATGGTATGCAGGATTGCTGTCGGGCGGTCAGGACATGCTCACGGGGGAGGGCGGGTCATCGGACCAGAAGGTGAAGAAAAACAAACAGCGGAAAAGACTTACCCTTGACGACATCCTTGACAAAGGCAGCATCTGCGAAGATGTCGAGGTTGTACTCTGGCCGCCGTCTTTGTTCCATGGTGGCAGCAGCAAAGTGCTTGGAGCCCGAGCTGGAGACAGGGAGCGCGGGAGAGCGCCACACGGCGTTTGGCTGGGGGCGAGCCGCAGGGGGAAGGGTGCGAACGGGGGGAGAGACAGCAGGCGGGGATGTGAGGCGGACGGGGATGGTGGCAGCAGCAGGAGCAGGAACAGGAGTAGTAGTGAGGGTGTCTGGGGTCGAGCGGCGGCGTCGAGGGAGTCGAGAGTGGTGGAGTGGCAGAGGGCGTGGTTGGGACAGGTGTGGAGGTGAAGTTTCGGGCTTGTGCGGGGCAGTTGCGGATGAAGACGACGGAAAACGAACAGGCGCGGGCAGCGCCGTGGGTGAGATCATCAGCACGCCTATGTATGGACGGATCGTCTGCAGCCCAGCACCGTCGCATCAGCCCGCGGCCGCCTGGCCAGCTATTTGTAGCCTCTTGTCTCCTGTCTCGCCTGCTGCGTGACGCGACACCAGAGCACCACGCCGAGACAGACGTCCTGGAATGCTGCACATGAATCTGTCATCTGCCCGCCCACCTGAATCACCCCGTCATGCTTGCGGCCAGCCCTCCCCCCTCCCGGGATGCTGCGCCCTGAACGCTTGCTTACAGACGGCCCGCCGAACACGTTGCGCGGAATCTGGACGGCCCAGTTGCAGCATGCTTAGATATCCTGCATACAGCTCTGGCCAACAGTTTCCTTCCCACCTAACTCCTTACATGCATATGTACAAACACACACAGGCAGTGTGCATGGCGATGAATGCACCGCCCGTCCCGTGACGTCGACCCTGCCCATCGCAGCCATGCCATCGTCACATGTCAATGGTCTGTCTGCAGCCCTGCCAGGAGCACGCTTGCATACTACTAAGCACACTGTGTGCGGCCACAGGCGCAATCTGCACCCTCCCTAGTGGCCATCAGATGGCTGCCTCGACTGCATTGGCCACTCGCTTCCAACCAAGGGGTAGCATCCGCCGTCGTGGATATCCGTCCTCGCCCGTGGCACATGATGCTCGCGCCCTCTGGTCCCCGCACAGTGGTAGGCGTTTGAGCCTCCGCCGCGCGCCAAGCATCGCTGTCGCGTAAGTCGCGTCACCATCAACCCATCTCGCCAAACCATTTCATCACACCCCAGACATGGTTGGCACAAAGAGAAGACGCGACGACGACGACAACGACGACGACGAGAATGACGACGGCACCCCGCAAAAGCTGCGCGCCCGCATAGCCGACCATGTGCCAGACGACCAGGATCCCCTCGAAGCCCATACGCCCTCGAGAAAGGGGAGGACATACCTCGCCGAGCATGGCACCCCTCGATCCATCTTGAAAAAGCCCGGCTTCCCCAATGCAGTCGCTGCCACCCCAAAGTCGGCGCGGAAACTTGTTTTTGAAACCCCGACAAAGTCTGCCAAACGTGATTCCCCAGAGGGCACCCCAACCCTCGTCCGCAATGCCGATCGAAGTGCACGTCGGAAGAGCAACAGGCGCATGCTCGAGCGGACCTTGAATGGAATAGACAGTGACGAGCATGTCCTTGACGAGGAGGATGAGCTCGCCCAGCAAATTCTCGACGAACCTGCCGACGAGGTAGAACAGTCCACTGAAGAGGCGCCCCTAGAAGAAGCCCCTGTGCCCGAGACTCCCTCGAAGCGTGGAAGGGGCCGGCCAAAGGGATCAGGCAAAGTAGGCCGTCCGCGAAAGCAACGCTCGCCCACCCCACCCACCGAACTGCCTCCGCACGAGGAGTACTTTTGGCAGAACCGCCCTGCAGGCACAAAGACATCCAACAACACTCTTTCCGCACAGAGCCTCCTCAGCCACGACGAGTACTTTCAGTCAATACAAGCATACCAAGACCCTCATCAGTCTGAAATAGACTTTTTGCTACAACTGCATGGCCGCGCGTACGACCAGTGGACATTCGAACTCGAACAGGGTTTCAACATCTGTCTCTACGGCTATGGCTCCAAGCGCATCATTACAGAACGATTCACGGCCCACCTCTACCACTTCCTCCTCGATCGTGCGCCCTACAAGGGAACAAAGAAGACGCCAAAGATAGTAGTTATAAACGGTTATGCTGCCGGCACTACTATCAAGGAACTCCTGACGACGGTCGCATCGGCTGTTGTGCCGGCAAATTTGAAGCTGCCTAATCAGCCCACGGTGCTGCTCGATTTCATCTTGGAGCACCTAACCAACAATCCACCGTCCCATCCAGTACCCGTCGTCTTGAACTCTATCGACTCGCCCTACCTTCGAAAAACCCCACTGACGTCCATGCTCGCCCGATTAGCCAGTCACCCCTCTGTTAACCTCATATGTACAGCGGATACACCAAACTTTTCTCTGCTATGGGATGTTGGTCTCAAAACACAATACAAGTTTCTGTTTCACGATGCAACTACCTTTGCACCCTACGACGCCGAGATGGATACTGTCGAGACTGTCAACGAGCTCCTTGGGCGCAGCGGCAGGCGAGTAGGCGGCAGAGACGGTGTGGGCTTCGTCCTGCGCTCTCTACCGGAACAAGCGCGAGAACTGTTCCGCATCTTGGTCATGGAGCAACTCGCTCTATCCATGATGGAAGGCATGGACCTAGACGAAGACGACGACGTCACTGCCACACCAAAGCCAAAGGGCGCACAAGCAAAGAACGCCCTGCCAGAATCTACACAAGGCGTGGAATACCGCGTCCTGTACCACAAAGCCGTCGAAGCTTTTGTATGCACTAGTGAAGTTAGTTTTAGAACCTTACTCAAGGAGTTTCACGATCATCAGATGATTGAGAGTCGGAAAGACGACATGGGCACAGAGCGGTTGTGGGTTCCGTTTAGACAGGAAGAGTTGGAAGGTCTCGCTGAAGACCTCGCTGGGGAGGCGTTTTGATTGATACACACTTTTAATTCGACTACATTATTGGATGCATCTTGGTATCGACGTTTCTCTGCAAAGACATGCGTGTTGGATGTTGATTTTGGCACACTAACCACTTTTCAAAGTATGTCTTTTGGCTGACCAGATATGAGTGTTGGACCTATGAGTATCTTTCGACATGAACTGTACTAACCCCTTGCGGCTGTTGCATCTGCCGATGGTGGGGTCCTTTGGCATCCACTTGACCCTTGTTTGGTTCTGATTCTGTTGTGCGACCCCACCCTTACTATCAGTTTTCTCTAGCCCCACCAGTCTAATCCTACGTACCTGCAAAAACTTTGGGATTATATTCATTGTAAATTTGAAAACTTCCATCAATCATTTCCAACAGCGCGATGTTCAGCCTCCAGCTCGTTCGAGCAGGCAACTACAACACCCGCTCCTTCCAAGGAAGGCACAAAGGTCGCTTAGCTCAGTTGGTTAGAGCGTGGTGCTAATAAATCGAGATCGGGAGCTTTGCTCCCGCGAACGACATAGTAGACGCCAAGGTCGCGAGTTCGACCCTCGTAGTGACCATTCTTTTTTTGCGGGCGTAAGGGTTAGGGAGAGAGAAGAGTAGAATGTTTTTTGTTGATAGGAGTTACTCAAATACGCTGATGGTGTCAGTTTAACCCTCAGTGACTGTTTTTTACGGTTCTAGATGTTCTATAGATTCTTTCTATGAATCTAGGCAAACCTTCTGCAATGTAGAATAGTCAAGCAGCACTCGTAAATTCTTTCTTACAAGTACGCACATATATCTAGCAGCTTGATACATCTACAATTCATTCAATCACCAACAATCTACTACTTCAGCTTCCACACACTAATCATGTCTTCACCACGGCTCTGCTCAAACGACTCAGGTGGGCTCCAGTATACGACTCGTTCAAAGCTGCCCTGGTCTTTCCCACCACTTACAAGCTTCCCAGACTCATCGACTGTGCCATCTCCACCATCAGCGAGCAAATTCCAGTGCACGCCATTGAGACCCCAGGGCGGACCCTGTGCTTTGAGAGGCTTCCACATGGGAAACTCGAGACACACAAGCACGCCCGCCGGCGCCAAAAGGCTCTTGATCCGCTCAGCCCAGTCTTTGCGCATCCCAGGCAGCAAAGCACAGAGAAACTAGCATCATCAGCACGTGTCTTTGCAATCCTCATCACGCGACCTACCGTGTAGTCATAGATGAGATCAAAACCCTGGAAGTCTGGCCCAAATCGGTCCTCGTACCCCTTTTGGAAAAAGTCCCCGAGAACAACTTCTGCAGTACCATGGGAAGTGGAACCGTTCAGCTGAGCCTTGATGTTTTCATTCGCGGTATCGACTGCCGTTTGCGAGACTTCCAGGCCCCATACTTGATAGCCGAAGCGTGCTAGTAGAGCGACATCGTGGCCTTTACCGCAGCCCTATGGGAATTTAGTCACTTCTGCTCAAGTCGTCTGTCTCGACGAGGGTATTCTACATACAGGGACAAAAGCCTTGAGTGGTCGCTTCTCCCCCTCCCGGAACAGCGTCTCACGGTACGAATGCGTCTCTAGGAACGACTGCAATGCAGGTGAAGGTCTACCGCGATCCCACAGGTGCGCTTCGTCTTTCTCCCAGAGTTTGGTCCACCCGTCGCTTTGCGCATCGCGGGTTCTGACTCAGCGTTAGCCTAATCCGTAGCAGATACCCATTGTGCCGTGACGTTACTTGTAATCATCAAAATGCGCAATCAGCTGTGTCCTGTTCTGCGCAGAACGAGCTTCGGTAGTCATGGCTGTGATATGTGGTGCAAGGATGTGGGATCAGACGGCGAGGCTTGTACGGGAATGCGGGACCCTGAGAACTGATCGCGTGGGTCGCCCAGGGTTGGACGGCTACGCGGACGCGAGACGGCGTATCCTTGACGTCACCCTGGCTCTTTTGTTCACGACACCAAGGCACTTTGATGCCGCCAGCTTATATGGTGCATGCGCCAGAGACTCTTAGGGCTTGCGGACGGCATTGACTATCCGCGTCAAGCAAGATGCGGACTGCTTGATTGGTTCGAATCAAGATATGACACTCTGTACATACACATATGGTGCCTTTTTAGTATCGTGGTGGACCTCAGTTAGTTAAGGCCCACTGGCGCAGTATGACTGACCTCCCATTATGGCAGCACATCAAAGCGCGCCGGCTATGCTGTGGCTGAGCCGACCCAACTCTCTACTTCCTTGCTTCCCAGAGCCAAGTCTTACTATCATCAAATGGTTCGCACCCAATCACCGACGTCACAAGCGTAATACCCTGAACCAAAACAATTTCTTTGGGTAAAGTTGTGAATTCCAGCATGCTGTATAGACTCACGATAGCCACTCCTTTTCTGATACATGGACAATTTGGGTCAGCATATCATATCACGGACTTGCACCTATCGACTTGAGCAAGCAGGCAGTGACTACCCAAGCAAACATTCAGAAGCTGCGCTTTCCCCTGTTTCCTCGAGCGTTGAGGGTACACTTCTTCATCCAGGCCTCGCCGCCCCAGTTCCACAACTCCCTCTTACATCAGTATCCATGGGGCATATTTTTCTCAGCTTAACATCCCCCAGAGTGCGAACGTTTTACCGTGTACGCCACCGTCTTGTCATTGTATTATTTATCATTGCACTTCTTCACCAGCAATACCTTTACCTAGTCAGCCGAGAATCTCTACGAGCGAAATACGTCCCGACCAAATTCAACCTAGGAGCGAAATGCGTCGCGACCAAGTTCAACCTACGCATTCACAATCGTCACACGCGCTCATGGGGACCAGAAAATGAAGATCCGCAGTTAACAGCCAATCTCTTAGACAACCGCGAGCATTGGAAGCTTCTGGGAAATGGCTGGGAAGGACGTGTGTATGTCTACAAGGACTCTGTTATTAAGACCTTCAACACTGTACGAAGTCCTTTCCGAAACTGCGCTCCTGCTAGCTATCCAACCGACAGATGGCCGACAGAAATACCCGCGACCCTCTACTTTGGAGGCTCCACTTCGACTGCTGCCAATGGAACTGACGATACTGGAAATGCAAAGCCAAGATACAATGGCTTCCTCCCCGTCAAGGCCCACTTCATAGCATCCAACTCCCCCGGAAGTCCAGAAGAATGGCACCTAGTTACCCCCCTAGCAGAAGGCGGCAACCTTCTCACACTCGCCCAGAAGCTCTCCACCGACCCAATTATCACATCCTACCGCACTATCGACGCCCGCTACCGTCCCGCTTTCAACCGCTTCCTCTCCACCCTAGCCACCATCCACAACGCAGGCTACTGCCACGACGATGTCAAGCCCACCAACATCTTCATCCAAAGCCCCTCAGACTGGCTCCTCGCCGACCTAGGCAATGTCCGCGAAGTGGCCCATCCCTACCACACATCTCGCCTCTGGAGAGACAGCAAGCAAGTCGCTGATTGTCGCTCCAACGATGTTGTGAGGGCACTGCAATCATACCTCAAGTTTCTGCAGATTTCAATGTCTAATCAAGATGCGTTCAATACTGCGCTGTTCCAAGGCGAAGAACCGATTAGCAAGCTCTTTTGGTGGGCGATGACGGATGCCGAGGGTATACGTGCGGAGGAGTTGCGGCGTCGCTCGTTGGCTGAGGATCCGGAAGCCATGCCAGCGCCTGATACACGGAATCATGTGCATATTCCGGCGCGGACGTCTGCGCTGTTGAGGTGGGTGGCGAATCCTGGGTTCACGAGATTTGCGGTTAATTACTCACTTTGGACTACGTTGACGGAAGCAAGAGCGAGGATTCGGGCGTTAGTTTGGTTGATTGATTTGCCCGGGATGCAGAGTTGTGAAGCTTGATACCCAGGTGTTGAGAATGCATGGATGGATGGATGGATGGATGGATGTGTTTGTGTTGTGTAGTTTTTCAGGTGTGCGACGTTGTTTTGATAGGACCCAATGCGAATACGACGTTCTTTCAGAAGTGAGAATTTTGGATACTGGATTGTTTCTGAAAAGACTGGGGGGTTGTGTTGCTTATAGAATTTCTCACAAACCTACTCTTGATGACATCAGAGCAATGATATTATGAAGAAGTATAAGTAACTAATCACGCAACGCAGGTAGATGAATCTTTGCACGGTGATGGACGCTAGTTGTCTTGTTATGAAAGCAGTATGAATAGTGACTTCACTGGAGGTCTCTGGGAGCTCAATCTATTGCTGTTATCAAAATCTTTTAGGTGAAACAGCGAATTGTATTGCACTGCTAGAAACGATCCTGTCAATCCTCACACGTCGTACTGTATACTTGCTATCCCCCTACCACGCCACACCCAAAACTCCTTCACCCACACTCCAACCCAACCCTTTAGCACCATACCCATATATCACTTCCATCTTAAGCCTTAAACTCCTCCCTCTTGTTCTTCTTCTCGGGCGCATCCACACAAGTAATAGCCCCAAACTCATTCTTCGTCGCCTCCCACCTATGTCCCCCGTTAGTCTCTATCCCTCTTGCAAAAAAAAACCCCCCCACGAATTGAACTTACCAAACCGACTCAACATGCCCCCTCATACACCCCACACTCGTCGTAAACCTCCACACCATCTCCCCATCCTGCCCATTACAATACGGATAAGAAGGATTGCACAGCCCACCCCATCTGTTCAGGTTATCCCAGAGTCCGCCGCACCAGCCGGAGATACCGTAGACGCCGCTGGCTCGGACTTCCCAGTGGTACGCTGCGGCGCTGCCGTCAATGGTGCAGCTTGCGGCTGATGCGGTGGTTGCGAGAAGGGGGAGGAGAATGGAGAGGGAGATGGGAGTGGAGAAGTGCATTTTGGATTGATGAATGAAGAGGTTGGTAGATAGGTAGATGCAAAGATTGAGGCGTAGAGATGTGCTGTGGTTGGAAGGTGATGAAGTGATTCTGCTACGAGACTTCGAGGGAGGGGGATTTATATGTGTACTGGCCAATATAGAAAGTCTAAGGTTGCACTGTTCCAGGTGAAGAAGATGGTCCTGATTCATTCTCTTTCAGGACAAAACAGGCCAAGTCCTCTTGTCCTTCACGCACCTTCTTCACTCTACTCCCTCAGGCCCCAACGCCGAGATCTCTCAAGTAATCCCCGTAGAAAAATGACAGACATGGCATACCACCGAGCCCATCACTACCCCTTCTCTCTTCCAATAACCCGAGCCGCCCAATCAAAACCCCACGAGTAGAGACCATTAGGGCAGGAGACTCGTGTTGCCCATGCAAATCCCCAAAGGCCCGATTTCCCATCTGAGTGTCTTGTATTTACAAAGGCAAAGATCTACCCAGGCGTCCCGATATCTTGTGGGGAATTTTGAGGCGGAGCGCAGGTTGGGACGCCTTTGTCTTGGTATCCCCCCGGGTGGAACGCCTTACCCTCAGCGGACGCTATGGGTCTCGGTACCGTGCTTTCGGACCCCAAAGTGCTTGGGGTCTTGGAGTCTTGGGCTAAGGCGGCGATGCGTGGGCGAATCGCATTAGGGGATTTGGGTGGGTAGATCGATGCTTTTGTGGGTAGGGGGTGTATGCAGGGTCGTGGGGGGTTTGTTGCTAAAGAAAGGTGATGGGGAGAGGTGCCAAGAGGAGGAGATGGGGAATTGATCTTCGGTGACATTGAGAGTTGGAGTTGGGTTGCGGTGCGTGACTTGGTGGAAGCGTGAGGCGGGATGTTGAGTGCGCTGGGAGTTTCCGGATGGGGAGTTACTGAGCAATTTTTGTCTTTCGTATAGCTTGGTAATTGGAGGAGATGGTGGAGCACTGCCGTAAAGCCAAGGGATACGATTCTCGTGTATTTGATTGCACAGAGTGAGTATGTGAGTTATTCGTATCTATGAACAGCTCAATGATCTTGGCTATGTGTATATAAACCCAAGTTGCCATTGAGCAGATAGAGTCATCAACGCATTTCAACACAACTTCCTTCTTCATACTCTTCTACTTATCAAAATCAAAACCAAATTACGAATTACGTTACTGAATCTAACTCAACGCTCCATCCCCTAAAATGAAGCTCACAACCCTCGCCCTCACCACCCTCCTCCCCGCCACCGCTCTCTCAGCCACCTGCGGCTACGAAGGCGGCTGGGTCCATAAATGGCGCGTAACCGCCGACAACGTCTACGGCATCTCCGGCTGGTGTGGCGGCCTCTGGGACAACATGAAGAGTTTTCAGGGCGACTGCCCCATTTCCGATGCGTGGTGCGGAGGCGAGAACGGACTGCTTGAGTGGAAGTTTACGACACCGAGCACCTGCGGTCCTGGTGCAGTTGAGGCCGCGTGGTGGGAGGCAACGAAGAATGAGTTTGGGGCTATTGTTTGTGGGCTATGAGGGAATCGTTATGGGGGAAGGGGCGGATGCGGAGTATGAATTCGTGGAGGAGTCGATATGTTGGTTAAGAACGTTATGCTTGAATTTAATACTGTTCTAAATATTCTGCTCTATTCCTACAGAAGTATCATGAAGCTTCGGCTTATTCAACTGCGTTGCAAAGGGCTTGGTCGTCTTTATCAGATTCTTGATGGGTTCCGCGGCTGTAGCCTCGTCTACGTTCTTGAACTTGTCAAGAATCAAAGTACAGCGTGCAGTTACGGAGTTCCTGGAATTATCGCTGGAACAGTCTAAAATTTCCCTGATCTCAGTGAGAACAGTCATCCAAGTGGCCTACACTGCTTCTAAAGATGCCATGGCTCCCAGTGGAGGTGTTGCGTATCCAGGTAGCAAATCACTTCTAAGATTCATCTCAATGGTGTTGATATTGACAAAGCGACATTCATTACTGACATATATCTCTATGCAATATAACTGAGGTGTCTCAAATCGTAAGTTTATTCATGAATACTACGAATCCTTGTTGAATACTAACCTAGAGCCTTTGGTTGACATATCGACCGGCGAGTATTGTGATACAACGGTCTCGTCGTAGATGAACCAAAGCAGCAGCACAAACGGGACAGTGGCACATAACTACTCAGACTGTGAACTTGGGGGTCAGAAGCTGCAGCTTGCTTCGCCCTTCAGCTACGAAGATGATGAAGCCGCTAGGTTCGCCTCGTTGACTTCTAGCTGCAATGTAGGAGGCATGAGCGTTCAATCGGATCGGGCTTGCTTCTGACCTCGTCTATATATACCTCCACGAATTATTTCATAATCGCAAAGTACTCGCACTATCAGCTTGCACAGTATTGACATGCACCTGCGGGTCCATAAATCAAGGACCCTTGCTTGCCTAAGCTTTATCGAATATAGTCGAGCGTGATCTGCTCTTGTGCTTTGCTGCATACGCGTTTATTATATTAAGAGCTGTTAGTCGTCGCCACAACAAGGCTTATCTGGCCAATGCCAATGCGGCGTTTGTTTGTCCAACAAAGTTGACAACAATTCCCACGCATCAATCGTTCAAGTCTTATCCTTCACTCGCGTTCTTGGTATCAAAGTCCTGTTTTTCTCAATTTCAAGACATTGTTTCACACATCTCCTGTGGGATATCAACATATCATGTCAGCAGACGACTCACCCTCGATTACTGAAATTATCAGACAATTGAGAGAGTCAGTTTTAAAACGGATACCCAGAGACCACAAACAACACCATGCTACCGAAACCAGTCTCACAAACCTATACTTACGACCAGACACCAAATGGGGTTTCGTCATCGTCCGCGCAGCCTATAGTCCTTCCAATGATAAGCTGTGGGCCCAGTTTCTCGAAATCTTTCGCGCCCATGTTGAAGAGACCTTGGAAGTGCACGATGAACTGGACCTGTTCCCGCGCCATGAGTTTACAATTATTGAAGACGGAGCAACACTTGGTAGCGCAGATTCGTACGCCGCACGCCGCGCATTTCGCGCGTGGGTAGCCAATGACCTACCCCAACAGCTTCGCGATGAGTGCCTGGAAGAACTAGGCGGATTCGCGCAGGTTCGTGAAAAAATTATTTAGCAACGATGCACACAATGTGCCTGGCACAACGCATCCTACGAGTCTTGTGCTGCCTCGATGGAAGTACTGCGTCTTCGTGGATGAAGACTGCTTGCACTCGGTAGAGAAATGGCCCTATGACCCTGAGTTGAGAGACCCAGCGATGAAGATTCTTACTACGGATTAGGAGCGCGAAGAAGTAGAGGTGCCCAAAAGGAAATTCACTAGGGACTGGGAGGGCGGCGAGACGAATGATGATACCGAAGAAGTTGGGTGGATGTACATGGAAACGTCAGATTATGTTGACATGTACGACCGTTTGACTGATGAATTCGCTTGGCACGAGCATTACCAGTGGCCGCACAGAAACTGGATCGAGAATTCTAGTCAATATGTTAACTGGGGCCGATGATGGGAGAAGGGGAGTGCCAATGTAATTAAACAAGCGATTGGATTTGCAGATAGTCGGCGTGTGTGTATCAAGGTGCCAAATGAAAGTCAATAAATACTACCATTCGTGCAAAGAAAAGGAAGGTGTAACTCCAGTGTGTATCACTCTTTGATACTTCCACACCTCTTAGTTAATTGTTCTCATTTGTCCTGACCATAGTACAGAGTATATGCGGCATTTATGCTCTCATCGTGCTCATTGGCATGGAGCCTAATGAGATTCAGATGCTACAAGCTTTTCCTGATAATATAGACGAGATGGTAATGGTGGCAATGGTGGACTACGAGTGCTAACAATGGTAAAGTACAGGGCAGGGAGCTGACTCAGCCCCGACGCGGTTGAAGCACAGACTGACGTCGTGCATTGAACTTTTTTTGGTCGTTTCACAAGCACTGTGCTGGACCGCTTTCCAGCAAATTCTCCTTTTTCACAACCACCACAGTCTCTGTACTTTACCGAGTCTTTTGCGGAGGACGTTATGTGTATGTACGAATGAAGATAATAGAACAAGTTTTAGTATCTCGTCCATTGCGCCCGATCGCTCTTGCTCGCCTCGTTCCCTCGCGCTTGTCCCTAGTAACTCATACAAAACTCGGCTGCTTTTCAACAGCCCCCCTTAGCATCTACAACAGACACCACACTCAAACAACACAACTATCAACGATGCCTCCACCACCAAAGCGCAAGTGGCCTCGCGGCCGAGGAGGAGGCGGTGGCGGAGATCGTACAAACGGGGGTGCAGCAACACCCGGAACGTTTACGCCTCGCTCGACAATGGCGCAGCAGCCCAAACGCCCGAAGATGGAAAACACGCAGCCAACTCCCGATACGAGCGTGGATGTGCGACAAATGTATAGCACGGCGGCAGGCGATGCGGCACCAAAGCCGTTTTCCGAGTTGAAGGATAGACTACACCCAGGATTGCTTGACGGCTTGGACAAGATGGGATTTCAGTAAGCAGGATACGTGACGAGGCGGGAGATTGCTCCTCACTTTGAATGTTGGCGCTGGAAGCTCAGCTAACGACAATAGGTACATGTCTCCGGTTCAGCAAAAGGTTCTAACAGAGCTCCCCTCACTATCATCCGACTGCGTTGTCCAGGCAAAGACTGGTACAGGCAAGACAGTGGCTTTCCTCCTTCCCGCGATTCAGAACCTCCTGGCAGGCAACATGCCCCCAAGAGGCAAGGTCGCTATCCTCGTCATCTGCCCCACGCGCGAGCTGGCTCTGCAGATTGCCAAGGAGTGTAACGGTGTGACGGCATGTCTGCCACAGAAGATGGAGTGTCACACTGCGTTTGGCGGTACCTCGCGTGCGTCGAATCTCAAGGCTTTCATGAATGGCAACCCAACTGTTCTGGTAGCAACACCCGGAAGACTGGACGATATTCTAGGTGAAGAGGAAGTTCGCGACAAGTTTTCGCACTTGAAGACGGTGGTGCTGGATGAAGCAGATCAGATGCTGGATGCTGGCTTTGCACCTGCAGTCAAGAAGATTCTGAGACGCATCCCACCAAAGAATGACGGTTGGCAGGGTATGTGCTTCTCTGCAACGCTGCCCAAGGAAGTGCTCGATATTGCAAAGATTGTCTTGTTCCCCGGCTACACGCACCTCTCGACGGTGGATCCTAATGAAGTGCCCACGCACGAGCGGGTACCACAGTTTTACATTACTGTTCCTACCGTCGGTCAAACGTTTCCTGCACTGTCTGCATTGATCGAAGAAGAACACAACCAGAACCCTACCGACTTCAAGGCTATTGTGTTTGGCACGACGGCAAACGGCGTGGGTCTGCTCTACGACCTGTACCGCAACGCACTACCTCAGTTCCGGCTATTTGAGCTGCACAGCCGCATGTCGCAGCCCGCTCGAACCAAGACGACCAAGGACTTCAAGGAGGCGTCAAGCGGCATATTGTTTGCATCTGACGTGGTTGGGCGCGGCATGGACTTTCCCAACGTTGGGCTCGTAATCCAAGTGGGGCTCCCTTCGAGCACCGAACAATACGTCCACCGTGTGGGTCGCACGGCGCGTGCAGGCAAGGATGGACGCGCCGTCATCATCCTATTCGAGCAAGAATCCTTCTTCCCACGCGTCAACAAGACGCTGCCCATCCAACCTTACCCTGTCGACATTGTGTCGCGACTGGCTGCTCACCAGCCGAAGATTGAGCGCGCGTTTGTCGACGTGGAGGAAGTGTCCAAGTCGAAAGCGTACCAGGCTTTCCTGGGCTACAACAAGACGTTTGTGAAGAAGCTGCAGCTTTCGACGGCGGAGCTGGTCAAGCTGGCGAATGAGTATGCGTATACGATGGGGTGTCCTGAGCCGCCGATGCTGGAGAAATCGACGGTGGGCAAGATGGGGTTAAAGGGGGTGCCTGGGTTACGGATTGGGTCACGGAAGTAAATGCGATTGGAAGAGATGATATCATGGAAGTAAATGGTTTTAGACATGTTTCCTTGTTCACCTGGGTACTATAGAAGGGGGAGGCAATGATGTTTCTTTGACCACTCAGTGTCATCACGATGGAATGGAATGGGAATCTCAAATCACGCATTCTGTAGCAAGGCAACAAGGGCAAGATGGAGGACAGTTAACTCGGATATACCCCTTAGAAAAATCAAAGTTTTCCTTTCTCGGCATTTTGTAGATGGCAATGGTCACCATGGATTCGTCTTTCTCCGTTGGTTGACCGCTATTAACCGTTTACCGTTGATAGAGTCTAGACCATGCGGTTATGGTGACTCACTCAGGAATACACTGACTCGTACCTTTCTCTCTTCTTCTTTCCGATTTGCTGCCTCACGAACAACCCACAAAAAGGGGGGGGGGTTTGGGATGGAGGGTCCCTACATAAGGTTTCGAGCGACATTGACGACGAATGACGATAGTGAGCACTTGTCGGGACATTTGCGAAAATAAGTTGAGTGATAAAGATGAGTATGGGTGGACAGTCTTGAGCGGGAATACGGATACGGGAATCTTTTGTAATACCATCCTTGTTAGATTTCTAGGTTTCTTTGGTGTAGGGTAGAGGGAGAAAGGGATGATGCTTGCTTGGAGTGACAGTGTGACATGTCTTAGTTTTGCAAAGAAGTTGACAACGCAGGGGTAACATGGGTTATCTGAGGGAGAAAGGTGAAAGGCCGGGATAACGTGGTAGAAGAGTTGGCCGATTGTAATCGAGATCGAAGAGGCCCCTCCGTACGGTGGACTACACCTACGGGACGGGTAAGGAGCGAGTCAGTGAGGAAAAAAAATATGACGTCGTTGGTTAGAATTAAGGCTCGGTGATGAGCTATGCTAGTGCAGATAAAAAAAATTGAAATAACTAGCTCGATACTCGGGTTATGAACAATTTGCACTGGATGCAGACAGGGTTGGTGCTCAGATAGTGAACAAAGAGAGGGTGATCAGCAATGATGCGCCCGCCGCGGGGCCCACAGTCTGGTAAATCATCGGAGAGAGGTCCGGCGGGTGGGTGTGCGGACTGCGGGCAGAGCGGGCGGTGGATCGTGATTTGTGTTGCTGGAAAGGGCAAGAGAGGAAAGCTGGTCGCTCTCGCTTAAGGGGATATTAAAAGAACCACAGACGTTTTTTGACAACTGGCTAGCGTCGGACTTTGAAAATCAAGGCAGACTGACGAGCAAGGGTATATGGAGTTTTCAAAGCCCGGAACGAAGGAGGGGGAACAAAGATATTGTCAGGTTTTCGGGATGGGAAAGACAATGATAGCTTATGGCAAAGATAGATGTAACCCGGATAATGGGAACAATGGTGAGCTGCAGAGACGGCAGTTAAGTGGGGTGCATTCACTGGGGCGCGGAGATAGTTGGTGGTAGTCGACCCAAAGTCGGGCAGTCGCATGAGAAGACGGAAAACAACGGAGAGAGGGGGGCACTAGGGCAAGCGTATTGCCCAGTTAAGGATGAGATTAGCAGCATTGCGCGATGGGAACAAGAAACGGTGCCTCGACGTTGGGCGAGCGCGCATCTCCCTTTGTGCATGTTTGCGATTGCCGTCGTGTCTGGAGAGCCGTGCGGCAGGTGTTGTAGCGATCGAAATGAGCATCATGGGCGGGAGGGAGGACAGAGAAGCGTCTGGACTGGGCGGGTAATGGGCAGACAGGCAGGAGTGTCGTGGGCCTTTTCTGTCAGTGCAGGGTTAGGGTAGGGCAGCGGGCTTGTGCTGTGGCTGCCTGCGGTGGGCGAGCTGAGCTGGGCGCTATGAGCCAGGGTCGGTGTTGTCGAGTTTCATGCGCCCCTAGCGGCTAGATCGGAAGATGGCTCTATGAGGGCGAGGATAGGCTGCGGGCGGCAGACATGTAGGAAACTAACACACGGTAGACAGATACTATCCACGGGCTGGCCGCCGCGACGTTGACGCTGCTGGAGCGCCTGTTTCACCGGGCGCTTCGTCGAGGCGTGCGCATGTTTCCACAGGGCCCGTGGCTGTGGCGGCGACTGGCCAGATGGGCTCTGATTCAATGGTAGCGGTGCATAAGGGGCGTGTGGTCCAGATGTCGACAGAGGGAAAATTGAGTGTTTATGCGAGCGGGCATGGCGAACAGCTGGCTAGTGTCAAGTGCCGGCACGAGGATGGTGCTGGAGATGGGCGAGGATAGACATCGACGGGGGGGGCATGACGTGGGCCGGATCCAAGGGAACGCGTGCTTGGGGGCGTCTATTGGCTGGAGGCCCTTGCAGGTCCTGGTGGGCATACTCAGTACAGTGGCAGCCAAGCATAGTAAGCTGCACGAAGGCAGGCCGTGATTCCTCCCAACCAAGACAAGGCAAGGCAGGCCAAGCTACTATGTACGCAGACACGGTACGAGTAGACACGACAAGGTAGCGTAGACAAGGCGGGATTGGGATAGGTCACGGTAATGGTAAGGCCAGCCAGCCAGCCAAACACCCAGCCAGACCCGTCCACCGCGTCCACGTCCGCGTCTCTCGCTCCCTCGCTCCTCTTGTTACCTGCCTGTTTGTCCGCATCTCTGCCTTCACCCCCGCTTACCCTCTCCCTCTTCTCCTCTCCTCTCCTCTCCTTCCTCATCCCACCACACAACCCTCCCCCCCTTTGTCCCCCTTTCACCTGCTCAATTGCCTCCCATTGACGCTCAATTACCTGCATACCTAAAAGCAACGCTACACCGCTCCACCCTGCGGACCCGCCATTACTCCAGCACTCGTCGCAGCTTGCTTGTTAGCGCGTGCAAGCGAATTGCTCCGCTGCCTCACCTGGCCGCACGGGATTAGACAGTCCACGTCCCACCACCCCCCAAACGGCCTCCTTTCTGCCCTCTGTCGCGTCAAAATTGCCTTCTACATGCTACGCTGCACCCATCCGCCCATAGTTGACAGCCTGCACTTTACCGCTTCTTCAACCACGCGCTTGGCAATCGTCAGCGCAATCTCGACAGTCACCTCCCGCACCGACCGTGCTCAGTAGGCCCGACGCCTCCATTTTGCTTCCCGACACGCGACTTCACGCGTCATAGCGTCTGGAGAGACTATACAAGGCTGTCGGAGCCCTTGCAGCTTGGTCTCGCTATGGCTGCAGCGCGTCGACACCCTTCCATGCAGATTTTTCAGGACCCTGTGCAGCCTCACCATCTACACCACCAACCACGCCCAGCTAACGCCGCTGACACCCGCCACACCCACCCTGTCACCCACATCGCCGACGTGTCCAACGCTGCGAACACCCTTCTCGCTCCCCCCGTTGCCCACACCGCCAAACCCTCGCCCCGCAAGGCCCGCCAAGTCTCCAGTTCTCCACCTCGTACCGCACTCGTCCAAAAGGGCCTCGACACGCTCAAGATACCGCCTCCCAAGGAGCAGCGCTTCCGCACCGACGCGCCTGCAAAGAAGGACCAGCCCGCCCTCTCGCAGCAGCAGCAGCAACACCAGCACCACGCGCATCCAATGGCGGGCCACCTCCAGTACTGGCCTAGCCATGCCTCCCACATGGACAAAGAAAACGCCTACTATTCCGGACCCGTCCTGTCCGCCACGTCGCCAGCAGAACCACCAATCAAGCACGCGTCCAAGCAGCCGCTGATGACCCCTAGCGCCCCACTGCGCGACCGAACCAACTTCACCACCACCACCACTCACTCTGCTTCGACCACCAAGAAGCAAAAAGTTATCAAAGACATCAAAACCGAGGAAACCGACGGACCATTGCCCGATCCCGACCAAATGCCGAGCGTAGAAGACGATGGGAACAAGCCCTCCTACAGCTATGCCATGCTCATTGGCATGGCCATTCTACGCGCACCAAACCGCAGACTAACGCTTGCCCAAATCTACAAGTGGATTTCAGACACCTTTGCCTTTTACCGCAACTCACAAGAGACTGGGTGGCAGAATAGCATCCGCCACAACCTCAGCCTGAGCAAGTCATTCTCCAAGCAAGAGCGGCCCAAGGACGATCCAGGAAAGGGCCATTACTGGGTCATCAACGCCGGATTCGAGAAGCAGTACCACAAGGTCAAGCCCATCCGCCGCCCGGCCCCGCCAGAGTCCTTCGCACCAGTATACACCAGCGACCTTCCCCGTCCTTCACCATGTGCCACAGCCAGCTTCCCACCTCTAAGCTCTACAAAGGGCTTTGACTCGAGCAAGTACCCCGAAGACAACGACCTGCCTTCTTCAGAAGCCACTATTCCGTGTTCGGATCCAGCTGCGCACGACGGACAGGATCCACTAAGCATGCCACCGCCCCGCCAGATACCATCCTCGCCCCCACCAGCAGACATTCACTCATCGCCGCCTCCTCCAGTCTCGCGCTCGGTGCGTGAGGACACGCCGCCGCGTGCACCACGCTTCCCGTCGCACAGCCGTTCCGGCGGACGAAAGCGCAAGTTCAACGGCCTTGGAGACAGCGGCTACTACTCCTCCATTGAATCCTCAGCAATCAAGGGCAACCCGGCAGGCCCATTGCTCACATCCGAAGCCGATCTCGATCGTCCCAGCCTGAAACGAGGACGTGCAGAGGAAGAGATTGCCCGAATTCGCGGTTCCTCCTACGATTCTCCCACTAAGACGCGGACCCACATGAAGCAAGCTGGCAGTACCCACATGATCTCGTCACCGCTTCGCAAAGGCGATAAGATTCACAACCCTCTAACCCCTGCTATCGTCTTCAAGCGTCCGGCCCTACCCCCTGCGTCAGCGTCGCCCAACACTAACCTGCGCAACCACCGCAACAAGATGCGCGAGCTCGTTGGCGGCTCGCCAGACAAGAGCCTCGCCATGTGGGTCGACACTTCCTTCCTTGACAACAAGAGTTGGAGCCCCGCCGTCGCCATTCCAAATGAGGAGCACGTCAACCTTGTCGGACATGGCTTCGAGAGCACCTTTGACATTTTTGGCGACTTTGGCTACAACGAGAGCCCCATCAAGCGCTCCGCCAAGCGTCCTCGTCTCGAGCGCGCCGTCACTACCAGTGGAATCCTTGCTGATATTACCGGTTCCAAGACCAACTCGCCCACGCCCAACTGGAAGATGTCGTCCTCCTTCCTCAACATCCCTGATCTGTCACCTGTCAAGAGCCTGTCGCCTATCAAGGCTCCTGTGCTCAAGCCTCCCATGGACACCCCAACCGCTGAATTCGTTCATCCCAGCACAGGCAAGAACAAGGTTCACAGTGCTCTGATACCCCCTCAATCATTCCCTGTACCTGCAAAGTCCGAGTCGCAAAAGCAAGACGACGAAGACATTTTCCATCTTCTCCATAGTGATGAGTCTGAGCCAGGCATTGACCTGCTGCAAGGCTTCGAGAAGATTGGAGCTAGACAATTGGCTGTTGCCCCCAACGGATCCCCTCAAAAGAAGGGACCGAGACCCAGCTTAACCCGTAGCTCAACCACCCGCTTCTGAGCGATACACACATTAGGCCGTTTTGATTGGCCTTCTTTGATTCGCACCTTACCTTTGATACGCCCCCTTCTGGATCTCAACACTTGAATCTGGGTACCTCTTTCTTCGCCATTCTCGATACCCCTCATCTTGCGACTACACTTTTTAGCTCTTCTCTTGCAGCCTTTTATATTGCAGTCGCCCAGATTATCACTTTGGCTACTCTTTGGATCGTCCTCTGGACCATCCCTTACCTCACGACGTAACGACAAACGATACCCACGAAGCAACGGACAGGCCTTTTTAACCTCTTGGCGTCTAATTCGATATTCAGCCTCGACTGGAAGAGGTGTGCGGCAAGCCCGGCGGAGCCCAACGTAGGGCGTACTTGACTACGCTTGTCACTTGCGTGTCACACACAAAGGTGTTTTTTGGAGGGTTCTTGTTTTTCTTGCCTTTTGCCCAGCGACTTACATACATGCGTAATGATATACACTTATTTCGGGGGAAGTGAGCAGTGGGAGACCGTCGATTAGCGGACGAACAACGACGAGGTTGAGTGGGTCATTACTATATGGCTTAATGATGAAATGCAGACGAGAACATGCATGCTCAGATGTAGCAGATTCGATAGTCTTTGTTTTTGCGTCGAGCGAACTAATGGATCATGTTTCTTCAGATATGTTTTGATTATGAGAGTGATGTAAATTTTACGTGGATGTTCTTATACTAGTAAACGACTACGTGGTCAACTACTGTGCATTCCTCATGTAATGGAGATGTTAACATCACATCTTCTATTCTACAACTACACAGCTCTCTTCAAGAAAAAAAAAGTTCAGCAGACATCTCTTATTGCTTCTTCTACACCCCCTTTTCCACTGTAGCCTCTACACAGCTTGCTTATAGTTTCCCGCTTTCATATGCACATGTAATCACCGGCTCGGCACATGTATGCATTACCGTTTTTCCATCTTTTCTTCTTCCATCCCCACTTTTCACCTTTGCTTTTTTTCAATGCAAAAGGGGGGGTGCGGTAGGGCTGAGATGCCGGACTAACGTGCCTCCATGCGTAGCGAAAATCCACCTGTACCGAAAAGAATTCATTATCTGGCAACTTAGCGCTTTCCCACATTGTTGTCTCAAGTTATGAACAATATGATGCGATTCGCTATGAACCTCTCTCTAGATTCCGTTATGTAGCTCAAAATTACACCGTTACTAATATTGTCGTCGACTGTTCTTTCTAGAATATTTGAAACTGCTTGAGCTTGCACCCCTGCTCTGTCAAGCGCAACTGCAAATTATTTTATTTCGGGATCTTTATGGTTTCTTTCTATGAGAACAAAGTCACGAGTGAATACTTCGAGAACGCTCAGCCGTTGCGCCATGCTCTGCAAAAAAGTTTTTCCGCTTTGGAGTATAGATTCCCTGATTTAGCGCGGAAATCTAGCTTGCTTACATGATACTCGCCAAATGTAACTACTTTATTCTGCGCTTTGCAACAATTGGTTAGCGGTGGTGCCAGCATCTAGAACCTTCTCTTTTCGCTTGAACGATGAGGCGCATTGGCTATTCAGGTACAGCGGCGAAAGGCAAGGGAAAGCGTGGTTGCCTGCGCAAGGTCTTGTGCTAGGAGCTGCGATAGTTATAACTACTTTAAGCTTAGTTAGATAATGTATTGCGACAGGTTGCGTCGGTACGTACTATCGCTACGGTGGCAGCGTTCTCAGCCTTGCCGCACTCAAGATGGATGGCAACATCTTTGACACCAACTCGACGACCTCCCCAGCTCGCGAGCCTACATCGGAGCCTCTGCAGAACCACGTCCGCTGTAGACGGCCGCGCGCCGCATCATGGATCCCCTTTCGGGAGCGGCAAGTGTGATAGCTGTTATCGACATCTCCGCCAAGGTTGCATCGCTCTGTTTCCAGTACTCAGTCGAGGTTAAGCACGCAAAGGGGGACATCGAGCGCCTCCACCAAAAGGTGAACGATATCTATAATGTCCTCGAAAAGCTTCGACAGCTTCTAGGCAAGCAGCACAAGTCCCAACTCTCTACCATACGCTCATTGCTGGACCCGCTCCAAAGATGTTCTCAAGAGCTAGAACGGCTTAAGGCTACCCTCCAGGCCAAACTCAAGCCCAGTCAAAGCCGTAAAGCGATGCAGCGATTCGGGATCCGAGCCTTGAAATGGCCATTGACGAGCAAGGAGGTGGAGAACACGGTTCGAAATCTTGAGACATACGGGAATACTTTCAGCCTTGCGCTTCAAGTTGATCAGACGTAAGCTTTTTTACACTCAGATCTGTCGTGCACAGACGCAGCGTCTCACTGATTGTATAGAGTCCTTGTGGTTGATATAAATCAGAAGCTAGACTTGACCAAACTGCCTATCGCAACAGGCGCTTCGTTCAATGCGCACACCGAAGAGCACAACGCACGATGCCTGCCGAATACCCGCACCGTGCTGCTGCACACCATTGCAGAATGGGCGAAAAGCAAAGATAGCAAACCTGTATTCTGGCTGAGCGGTATGGCTGGCACAGGAAAGTCAACGATCGCGCGGACTGCTGCCCGATCGTTTGCCGAAGCTGGTCAGCTGGGAGCGAGCTTCTTCTTCAAAAGAGGCGAGGGCGAACGCGGCAATGCCTCACGGTTCTTCAGCACTATCGCCGCTGACCTGATTGCTCGCGAACCGGACATGCTACCTAGTATCAGGAAAACACTCGATGAAGACTCGGCTTTACCACAAAGGGTACTGAAGGACCAGTTTGAAAAGCTTATACTACATCCACTCTTGGAGGTGCAAAAAACAAGCCCAGCTGCACGTACATTCGTAGTCGTCATTGATGCATTGGATGAATGCGAGAGGGAAGAAGACGTTCGAGTCTTACTCCAGCTTCTCACTCGGACCAAGGACATGCGGCCAGTATCATTGCGAGTCTTAGTAACAAGTAGACCAGAGCTCCACATTCGTCTTGGCTTCAGGCAGATGCCAAACGGAACCTACCAAGACCTTGTCCTTCACGAAGTCGCAAAGAACACCATTGAACATGACATACGTCTCTTCTACGAGCACGAGCTTAGCGCGATACGCCAAGCACGCATGCTATCTCCGGATTGGCCAACCGAGGACCAGATCCGGGCCCTGGTCGATCTAGCTGTGCCATTATTCATCTTTGCTGCTACCGTGTGCCGATATATTGGCACGAAGGGAGGCCACCCTGAAGGCTATCTAGACAAGGTACTACAGTATCAGAAGTCGACCTTCTCACAGCTTGATCGAACCTACCTTCCTGTTCTAGAGCAGCTACTTGTTGAGCAGGAAGAGGATGAGAGGGAAGCGTGGCTGCACGCATTTCGAAAAGTCGTCGGCAGTATTGTGGTTCTGGAGAGCCCGCTCTCTACCCGGTCCCTTGCACACCTTCTGCAAGTCCCACAAAAAGAGGTAGAGTGCCGGCTAGACGCTTTGCACTCTGTCCTTAGCGTTCCTGAAGATGAAGACGTTCCTATCAGGTTGCTCCACTTGTCGTTCCGTGACTTCCTAGTCGATCGCCAAAGACAGGGAAAGAGCCAGTTCTGGGTGGATGAGAAAGACAGGCACAAGCAGCTCGCGTCTCACTGTGTTGTGCTGATGTCAAGTCAAAGCGGCCTACGGCGGAATATATGCAACCTGTCAGGACCGGGGGGTCTAAGGAGTGAAGTCGATATGGGTACAATTACCAGCAATCTACCGCCTGAGTTGCAGTATGCGTGTCGTTACTGGGTCAGTCATTTTGAGCAGAGTCAGCAAAGTATTGCCGATGGAGACGCAACGCACTTTTTTCTCCAGACGCATCTTCTACATTGGCTCGAGGCTATGAGCCTTATAAGAGAGCTAAGTAGATGCATTCACTTACTTGACAAGCTTCAGGCTTTTGTAGCTGTAAGATCATCCCAAAAGTTTTGTCTCTGTGGGATGCTAACGTGCGATACAGGCTTCTGCAAAGACCGTTTTGAGTTTTCTTCTAGACGCCAAGCGATTCGTACTGCGGTTCCAGTCTATAGTAGCAGATGCTCCGTTGCAGGTATATTACTCTGCGCTTCAGTTCGCGCCAGAAACAAGTTTAGTACGGCAAATTTTTGAGACTCCACAGGAAGTCGATTTGGTGTCAAAGAGGGACACCGATTGGGATGCGTGCCGCAGCACGCTCGAAGGCCACTCAGGCTATGTTAACGCGATCGCCTTCTCGCCAGACGGCCAGCTGGTCGCGTCGGCCTCTGACGACAGCACGGTACGGCTATGGGAGACGGCGACGGGGATGTGTCGCAGCACGCTCGAAGGCCACTCAGACTATATTAAAGCGATCGCCTTCTCGCCAGACGGCCAGCTGGTCGCGTCGGCCTCTGACGACAGAACGGTACGGCTATGGGAGACGGCGACGGGGACGTGTCGCAGCACGTTCGAAGGCCACTCGGGCTATATTAACGCACTCGCCTTCTCGACAGACGGCCAGTATCTTCAGACAGACCAAGGAGATATCCCTCTCTACTCTTCTCCTACACCATCACCCTCGTTTCAAAGAACCCAGCCCTCTCGCATCTTCATACAAGACCAGTGGATGTGTCTTGATCAGCAGCGGCTGCTATGGCTTCCTTCTGAACACCGACCGACTTGCTCTGCAGTTCATGAAGCGCTAGCCTGCTTAGGGCATACATCAGGTCGCGTTATGTTTATGAGGTTTTGTACATCGTAGGCTTCTTTTACACTTCTTTTTTTTATTAACTATATATTTCTCTTATAATCTTTGTTCCAGAGAGGGCCGGGGAACAGTGAGTATTTCTTTTACTAGATGTACGTTCCCTCTAGAATGTTCTGGTCATTGCTGGCCTGGATTTGCGTAGTAGTATATAAGGAGATGCTCCTCCATGCGTAGTCTAAGTTATTGCTGATTACTACACAGCCACAGCCTCGGCGGGCTAGATAGATTAGTTACACTCTCTTGATTACGTACATCAACGATACTAGTTATAAAGCGCTAATCGGAATTGAAAACTACACATGCCGGAAGTACCGACAGGGGGTGGTAACACTATGTTAGTTTGCGCGTAGACATCGATGCACGACTACTAACAATCCGTATGCAACTTTGTAGGATCTTCTAGCTTATGTACTATCTCTCAAAACTATTACCGAGAATCCAAAGCTTGGTGGTGGTGGTGGTGGTGGTGATATGTAAAGCAACAAATATTCTGCTACCAAAGAAGGTTCCGAGCGAATCAGGGTAGAAAGTCGGTAGTTAGAGTACTTAGATGTATCTTTTGATAGTTAACTAAATTGCTCAAAATATTGCCAAATATGTATGCAACTCCATGTATATATAACTCCAGTTGAGCCTTACCATGTGCGAGATATATAATGCTACATACATAGTCAAAGTACCCCTGTGATTTTTCGGTACAGGTGGTTTTTTGCTACGCATGGAGGCACGTTAGTCATACCAAGGACGGAAGAAAGAAAGGGTGTTGTGGGGAAGGGGGGCCAATGTTTGTTTTAGCGGGGTTTGACTTGATGGATGTTCACCTAGTAGGGAATGCAGGTGTTCGTGAAGTGTCATGATATTTGTATATTGGTATAGATAAGTTTTTTGTTTAAAAAAAACCAAGTTAACAAACAACTTTTTTTGGGTTTCGTTTCCTTCATATCATTCATCAGTCGCGCAAAAGCACGCTCTCTCTCTCTCTCTCTCTCCCTCTCTCTTCTATGTCCTATAATCCCCATTAATAGTAACATACTCATGACTAAAATCGCATGTCCAAAATACTGCCTCCTCCCCTTCCCTCTTACTTAACCGCACTACAATCTCTAAATCTTCATTTTCCAGTATCTTCGCTGCGCGCTCCTCATCGACTTGCTCGGGCTCTCCGTCCACAAGCAACTTGAGCTCCGCACTGCCGTCTGTGGGTACGAAACTCACGCTCGTCTCGGCAGGGACGACGGAGTCTGCGCCTTCGGCGTAACCCGTCGCGCACAGGATGCGGCCCCAGTTTGCGTCTTTGCCGTATAAGGCGGTCTTGACTAAGGGGGATCGCGCGATGGTGGAGGCAACGCGGTGAGCATCCTTATAAGACGCAGCATTCGTAACACGAATGGTAACGAATTTTGTCGCGCCCTCGCCGTCCCGGACAACAAGCTTCGCCAAGTCAACCGCGAAGTCAGTGAGTACACGCTGGAAGGCTGTGTAATCTGGGCTGTCGACCGAGGTAACGGGTTGGCCGCCGCCAGCACCGTTGGCTAAGACAGCAACGGTGTCGTTGGTGGAAGTGTCGCCGTCGATGGAGATGCTGTTGAAGGACTTTTGGACGGACGCAAGCAGGGCTTGACGTAAGGGATGGGCGGCGATGGGGGCGTCGGTGCAGATTATACCGAGTAGAGTGGCCATGTTGGGGTGAATCATGCCTGCGCCTTTGGTCATGCCTACTATGCGGTATTCCTGTTGCGTACTTGGGAGAGTGAATGAGCGGGAGAGGAGCTTGGGGAAGGTGTCGGTGGTGCAGATTGCGCGGGCGGTGGCGAGCCAGTGGTCGTGGGAGTCGCCTAGGTTGGCGTATGCGGTGGGGATTTTGGAGGTGATTTTTTGGATGGGGAGGCGTTGGCCGATGACACCGGTGCTCATGACGATGCTGCGGCTGCCTTTGAGGTCGTCTTGCGTGCTGCCGTCGCGGGCGAAACATGCGTCGGTTTCGTTGCCCATGGTTATGGCGTCTTCGATGCCGCCACGGCCTGTGACGGCGTTGGCGCAGCCAGAGTTGATGACGACGGCCCTAATGCCTTCACCTTTTCTCTTCTTTAACATGTCCCTACTGACTGTGACGGGTGCGGCTTGGAACTTGTTGGTGGTGAAGACGGCTGCTCCAGCACATGGCTTGTCTGAGGCTACAATGGCCAAGTCATCGAACCGTGTGTTGGATGCCTTGACACCAACATGTGCGCTGCCAGCCTTGAAGCCGCGTGGGTAGGTACCAGAAGTCGGTACATACTTCTTCTTGGCTGGTGGGATGGCGCCGTCGCCAATTGCGGCGTATGTTCGTATTTGGGTTGCGAAGAGGCGATTTGAGCGTGTAAAGAAGCGTGGATTTGAACGCGCAAGAGACATGATGGCGATTTTCAAAGCAAATGAAGCTCAATTGCACTGGAAGGAGCTGTTAGAGGTGACCAGTGTATGATTCAAGGACTAGGCAATGGCTACGATGCAAAGGCAGAAGATGCCCTGTACATTAGACGACCAAAACGTACCCTTGGACCCTTTTAACCCTCTCGATATCCAGTCACTCACTCAGTTGACGTCCTGCGCCTTGGTGGTCTTGCAATAAAAAATGACAAGCAGTAAGCTCTGCGGCCGTTATCGCAGCCCGCCGAGCACCCGCCCCCAGACTAGTCGAGCCCAACCCCTGCGCGTCTAGAGCAGCAGCGCACCCACCGTCGAGCATACCAGGTGCCAGAAGAGAATCGTGTATCGCGCAACCACAACGTGCTCCTTTTGCGCCAAAAACGGCACAATGATGAAGAGCACGGCGGCGGTTGGCAGACTGGCGAGGATGGATGTGCGGAGGCCACGCGAGAGCTGAGTCACGATGGCTGCACAGTGGTCACTGAGCGTAAAAGGCATGCAGCTACCAGCGCTGTAGAGAACAAGGAACTGGAACGCTGTCAGGAGCAGCGTCGCTGCCAGCAGCGCGTATTCGAGGTAGTCGAGGCGGCGCTTCTCCTTTTCTACCACCGCAACCTCCACGACGGGAAGCAGGGGTTGTTTCTTCTCAGAAGTAAAAGCAGAATACATTGTCAAAACGTAAAAAGAGTAATAACTGCGATGCGAATATATCCGGATATCGGAGTTTTTACATCTGGGGGAATCACCCAGACATTATATGCCCACGGCCTCGTCTCCTCTTTGCATACGCGTTTTGGCCAAGTATAAACAGGCAATGTGAGATACATTGGCTTGGAACCTGGTTAATGAAACAACCGGACCCTGTTATCCGACCATGGCAAACTCTTGGCCTCTCCGCTCTCCGTCTCGTTTGGCCTTGTTCGTTTCAATTAACTCTGACGCCGCCCAGATGTCAGCACCGACACGTCTAGTCTGGCTATGCAGCGCTTACTACTGCATAAAACTGTTCATGAATTAACACCTCTGCAGCAGCCTCTATGGGATAAATCGTGAGCTCGTCCGTCATTCGGCCTTGTTCTTTGCCAAAACTTGGCTGACGTCATGTTTTCTTTTGTGCAATCTTACATTATAATGTTCCCGTCCTCTTAATACCACCTCTAAGACGGACGGGGAGCTTGGACAGGTCCAGATTCTGCTGTTGAACGTCATATCTAGATTTCGGAGCAGGTATTGCTTTGAGGGTTGCGTAAGTGTCCTTAGATCCAAGGCAGTTGCGATGTCGTAATGTTGATAGTGCTCAGGGGCATTGAGTTGAGCAGAGCATTACTACTCCACGTGACAAGAGTACAAATGGTAAACAAGTTTTAATTCCAGGCACATGGTACATTAAATGCTTTACCAGTCTCACAGGATAGTAATGGAGCGATTCTAAGCTGACAACTATCCAGTCGTGAACCCTTAACGGTGCAATTTGTAGGTTCGTCAATACCAAGAGTTTGGCGTACTACATCCGGTGCACGTACCGTAGCCCAGACCTCAACCAGTGTGGGTACTCCTAGGCCCAAGGATATCGTATTCCAGCCGCCGCCCATCATAGTAGTGCTATAGTGAACCGAGAGTTTGAAAAAGCTGATTGTCTTTTTGGAATTCAGGTACCATGTACTCACAGCAGTGTTGGAGGTTCTTCCAGTTAATCTTATACCAACGCTTGTTGTCTCGCCAAGACCCCAACGGTAGATGTATCCGACATTCGACTAGGTTGCACAGGACTCCTTATCTCTCTGCCGCTCAGTTCAGACCGATCCTTTCAGGCTGCGCGTTGGTCATTGGTGATGGTCACGAGTTTAGCGGGAAATTTATAAGATTAATAGGATCACTGGAGTCATCAAAAATTTCTGTAGTCATTAGGTATGTTAAAATAACACTACTCAAAGAGCGCAAAGTTATTCTATGGAATATCCCATGTCCGTACTTCAAGGGTTGTTTGAATGAGTCGAGGTATGTTCAAAACTACGACAACACTGTGTTTTGTTGTGAGAAACTCGTCAGTATCTCAAACAGGTAGCCTAGCTAGTTACTAAAGAAAAAGGGTCTAGTCTGTGTAAATGACCGCAATGTCGATTTTGAGATTACTGTAGATATCAAGTTTTATGATGGAGGTTGACTTTGTTGCCGACTGTTGAGAACTACTCATCAATCCTGAAATCTGAGACAAACACCTGTGTAACCTTTATTTTGGGTATGGAATATAAAGGTACTATAATCCAGTTATCTAGTAGAAGCTCATGCCCTCTCTGATAATGTAGTGTTTAGGGGGTACTGAGATAGAGGAGTACATGATCTGGTGTCATGCGCATGAGACGAAACAGTTTCACATCATTTAGACTGCTTCAATTTTCCAGTCTGCTTCAGAAATCGATAGCGAGATTGTAACCAAGCCCGTGTCGCACGTCTATACTTTATCTACTACACAATCGGAAGGAAACTTAACCTTTTTACCCCAATAAACAAAAAGGAAGAATTATCTCCTCCCATCTGTCCAACTCGCGGTCAAAACGCCCCCATGCACGTCATCGAGAACAAGGCGCGCCATAAAGAGAAAGAGATAGAGGTTCTCAATGCTTCTGTATCGAGCACAAGATATCTTCACGTCCTTCCAACTCAGCCACCCGAAAAAAATGCAAGGAACCAAGTTATTTCTCGCTCTTTACACCCACTTTCTCCTTTGGTAATCGCAAGACGACTCGCACGCCTTTTTCTAAGAATGGGAAGTTCCTTCTTTGGCACTTCAATATGGAAGGCTCAAGAAATTTCACGTATCAGCATAGTATGAATTCAGCAAGGAAACGCCATCCCCAGTCTAAATCACATACAACCATTGCCACCCTCTTGCATCAAATCGAGAAGTATCCTACTAATTCCGAACTATCTTAGGTAAAACTCTATTTACTAACACGCATGTACCGATCAAAGACAGCGTACGCGTCTTGTGCTCCGTGTTAAACACAATCTAGGCAAAGAAAGGATAAGCGGGTGCTTGGGCAACTTTGTCTGCTAATTTGGTGCGCAAGCGCTGTGGTTGTAAGAGTGTATGTGCTGCAGGGCAAAAGGTTCATGCCGCGAGAAAGAACGAAAAAGCAAATGTGTATTGAGTGGAGAAAGAAGCAAATATCTAGCGAATAATCTTTGTGGTGACTGTGCAGGGGGAGGCTGAACGGTGACGTTGTATTGTAGAAGAATTCGCAGAAATAATGACTCGTCTCTTTTTCCTTCGTTCTGATGTAAATTCTATGTAACTAGTGTTTGACGTCTTTATGACTACATACCTACTAACGCAAGACTCATTTCCGCTCCTACACGCATCTTCCGCAGGCGTAGTACATTTACTATCCAGAAAGCACGATAAACATACCATCCTCCCTCAGAAACAACCATATCTACCACCTACAACCACCATGCGCTGTCACTCTCCACACCGCGCCTCCCCAGCCACCCCCGCGCAAAGATCTCTCTTTGCCAAACCGTCCGAACATCCAAACCCCCAACACCTCACGTGTTCAATAGCGGTCAGTCCTCGCAGCCAATGAACTGTTGAGACGACAATCCCAATCGAGTCCCCCAAAAAAGCAAAATATGGACAACAGTCGAACAGCAGCGACAAGACAGGGCAAATGCTCACGTGGCACACCGTGCATGCGTTGTTGTTGCGACTGAAGAAAACAACAAATCTTCTTTTAAATACCCCAAAATCATGTCGCGGAGGAGAAAAGCGACAACAACATCAACACCAACACTACCATCATACCCTCGACTTGGACCCTCGCAGCACCGATTCCAAGACTATCTTGTATCGGCTTGCACAATAGTTCCTCAAGAGCGAACATTGAAACACACACGCAATAGAATTGAGAAGTGAGACAACCAAAGAAAAAGAGCAAGCGCGCAAAGACAAGACAAGAAAGAAACTGATCTTTTATTTCCCCGACATCCCACGTGGCTGGGACAGGCGTTGGTTTCCAGGAACGAAAAGAATACAGAAAGACATCTAGGTAAAACTTGGTGTTTGATCGAGTCGACACTTCAGGACGACATTCTCGGTTCCATCGTCTTAAGACGAAAAGCAACAACGGGAGGTACAAACGACAGTCAGAGAGGATGAGTCCTTTTTCCAAGGCATCTCTCATCCAAGCGCGAAATGAGTCAGCGGTAGAAAGCCTACGCTTGAAACCCACAATCATTGCATCGGCATCAAGTCGAGGATCAGGATGGCGGGGATCATATTTCAACATAACCTCCACACTACCCTATTCAACGGGCTTCGCAACAGGGATATCTTCAAGTACACCTTCATCTGCGACACCACCATCATACTACACCAACCACTCGAGCTCATCACGCGCCTCACCCTCCTCAACGCACATACTACCCGACCTCTACACAACAATGAAACTATCGCCAACTCTCCCATCCCCAACACCCGACCTCACACTCTCCACCGTATCCGCAGCGCCCCCGAGCGAAACCGACCAGGAAATGTCCTTAGAAACCAAAGTCGGACTAGTCATGATCCCCATCGCCGTCGGCCTTTGCGCCTGGGGTCTCGTCTTGCTAATCCTCTGGCGCCGCCGCAAAACCCACCAGTCACACCATCGAATAACCTCTTTCGCCACCTTAGGCCCCGAAAAGGTGCACTCGCCCTTACTCTCCTCACTAAGCAGCAGCACAAGAAGCCGCCGCGTCTTCACAATGGCTGCGTTCTACAGCCGCGACAAACAAGGCATGAGCGTGACAAGACCTACGACGCCACCTCCCTGCAACTCACCAGTCGGGCGCGCAAAAACAGATTCGAATCCTGACTCGCCTGTCGATGGGGGCAGCCCATTCCGCCTGCGACCAGGGGAGGGGAGGAAGAGTCTGGGATCGGAAATATCAGAGTTGTGGCCTTCGCCGCCGCCGACGGCGTGGGCGCGGCGCCAAGATGTACTTGAGCAGCTGCCTACGTCGCGATTCGGGCGCGATATGACGGTGCCGCGGTTGAAGCGGAGTGAGAATAGGGGATCGCTGCGGGATGCACGCTATGTGACGAGGCCGTCGATGGGGGATGATTGGCCTTTGATATGAAACGAGATCAAGTTTTTACATGAGTCAACCTAGAGACTTTGTTTTTGCTTTAAGATTAGACAAGTTTGGTGTTTTTTGGGAACAGTTTATTTGGTATACCCCCCGGTAGATTGGAGGCGTTATTCGGCTCTGGCAAGAGACGGCTTCACTTTATGCATGGTTTTTCTGTAGACATGTTAACAATTATATTTTAATCATTTGGTCTGATTGACACACCCTATGCATCAGTTTCCTTGTGTCCCTTTATGTAACCCCGGTAAACAATGTTCCCGTGACGGTCGCGTGGGCCGACATAGTAGCGCCTGGCATCTAGCGTCTACTAGGAATGTGTTGCCCAGTAGGACGGATATCGATCCGCAGTCGTCAGGCCTTTCAGCAAGTCCTGGCTGGTCCGACCAATTCTTGATACTCTCTCATAACTATAATGGTATCTTGGTATCTTGAAATCTTGACGGCGCTCAATCACTCGAAGCGCATCCTCGACAGCCACAGTTGACACATTCAATCTCCTGATTCTCTTTAAGCTGATCTCTCGGGACGCGGCATATGCAGGTAGACCGGAAGTTGGTTTCTTTTGTCTGGATGCAGCGCGTGCAGCATAGCTAAGTTGTGTTAGTCCACATTCCTTGTACCAATAATTCAAGCAACTCACCTTCTCGTAACCTTGTTTCTTCCACTTGGCAATAAGCATGGGATCCGCGTATCCATTCTTGAGCAGATAGTCGTAGAGCTGCTTGCTGATGGCCTCCTTGGTGTAGTAAAGGTCGTAGATGTAGCGGGAGCGCTGGTGGGTGATTTGGAAGATGGGCCACGTCATCTCGTACTTTTTCTTTCCCTCGTGTGAAGCGTTTTCGGCGTCCTTCATCTTGGTTTGGAACTCTAGAAGCGTATCCTCGATGTCGTCGAAGCCTTCGGGCGGAGCCTTGCGAGAGGCGCGTGCCGTGCGGACGGGAGGCATGATCGAGTAGTGTGTGGGTTGACTTGAACTTGTTTTCTGTATATTCGGTTTCGATTTCGCCTCTTGTTTGGTGTTTGTATTACGTAGTTGTGGTGGTGATTGCAAGAAGCAGTCGGCCGTCAAGTTTGCGGATGCGCCGCCAGTCAAATCCGCGCTAACGCCACGGCTTGGCATTCTACTCCACCCGAGCCGCATCGTCACTGCAACTCCAGCCCTGAGACAACTGGAGCTCCGCAACACCGTCAATATGGTCATTAACCCTACCTACCTCGCCCAGCGCACGCGCTCATGTGAGTCGAACATCCGTATCAACCATTGGAGGAGTCCAAGGCTAATTCGGGCATAGCGGTCAACTGGGCCGATGCGAAGAAGAGGGTCATTCACAGCTACCGAGACTGGCTGCGGTCGGTACGCATACTCCCCATACCCCAGAGAGGATATTTTGAAGCCGATGATTGGTTCACTACCAACTGTGGTGTAAACAAGAGACCGGAAGCGGAGGGACGCGTTGGATTCGAGAGAAGCGGGCAGCAGTAACAACGTACAAGCGCGGGAGGCTGACAGGAACCATACAGGCTCCCGAGATCCAGACCATGTATTCGCTCAACATGCCGGTATCCCAACTTCGGACCAAAATGCGGCAGGAGTTCGAGCGGCATAGATATGTGAATCAGCTGAAAACAGTCGACGTACTGTTATTCAACAGCCACCAAGAATTCCAGGTACGGCACAACCGGAGAGCAAGATTCAAGGAGACCTTCTTTGGATTAACACATACTTCAGGAAACACTCAACTTCTGGAAGCAACTATCACACGTACTCAAGTACTTCCGTACCGAAGAGGATCCCAAGGCACGGCTGCCAAACAACTTTATCAACGGCTTTTTGGAAGTAAGCATTCGATTGAACCCTAATAATCAAACTTCAGAATACTAATATGTGTTCCCCAGGGTCGCAACTGAGTGGGCTGTCGTCCGAAATCGGAATTGAAAACAAGTCCAGGATGCGATGTAAATAGCCAAAGACAATACCATTTTCCTTTCCGTTCGCCATTGACCCATGATATCCGTGAACGCCATCAATGCAATAGTGTCTTACAAACCCTGTGTTTACTCCTCCATCTTGTTGACAAATTCATCACGTGCAATGGTGAACTTCTTCTCAACAACATCGCACATAGCCATGAGATCTTCGAGACCCTTTTCCAGCACAGTATAAACACTAACGCCATCTGATATCATATCAGCTGTGCTCTTGACGTGCTTGGAAACTGGAGCTTACCATAAGTCTGGATGCGTAAGTTCATCTTTGCTTCTGATGGATGCGGTATGGAGTAACCACAAAACTCAACGTCGGGGCTAAAGAAACAATTAGCAGTTTTTCGTGTGATCATGTTCAGTTTCTGTTACTTTTTGTGAATAATATAACGCAGCGCGTTACCTAGCGTGTGGTCCTCGCCATCAAACTGGAAAGATGCTGCTGTTTCTGTGGACCCAGAGAGCTACACGTGATGTTAGACGCAGATTTACAAATTTCATCGTTCCATTTTGACATACGACTCGAATCCTGTCGCGGTCGACGGCTGGATCAATCTCCTCGCCAGTCTCGGAAGTTGGGTCCACGATCTGGACTGGCGCGGAATCTTTCGTGGCTCCTGGCATAATTGTTTATGGTTGGTGTTGACAGGTCGAGTAACAGGAAAGAGTGACCAGACGGTTATGCTACACTACTCTAGAGTGTTGGCGTGAGGAAGAGGCGTGGCTTTGTGATATGCTCAGAATTTTGGGGCGAGAGCGGACTTTGGTTCGGCGAAGCGGTGGTTGGCCAGAACTTTTTTTCAGCCCTATATTGCTTGGCGGACATGACGTGGGGCGTGGGGAAGCTAGCACCCCTCTCCAGTCAGTTAGCCTGAACTTTTTTGTGCAACGTTCTCTTTATCCTTTTATCTGGAAATCGACTGAGTCAAACTCCCATAAAGCCGAGACCATCAATCCACCGCCACAATGCCGCGCACTTGTACCCTCAACCGCGATACAAATGAGACCAAGATCCAAGTCTCCATCAACCTGGACGGCGGCGAACTTGCACCCTATGAGCACAGCGACTTCTGGGCCGCCCTCAACAAGGCCAATCTCAATGGCGAAGGCGAGAAGATCGACAAGGACCATGCCACGCAAAAGTCTGCGTCGCAGGAGATTTCTGTCGACACGGGCATTGGCTTCCTCGACCACATGATTCACGCCATGGCCAAGCACGCCGGTTGGAGTCTGCGCATACGATGCAAAGGCGACTTGCACATTGATGACCACCACACGAGTGAAGACACTTTCTTAGCGCTCGGCTCGGCATTCAAGAATGCGCTGCAGGGTAGCACGGGACTTGCACGCTTTGGACACGCATATGCGCCGCTGGACGAGGCCCTGTCGCGAGCCGTCATTGACTTGTCAAACCGGCCGTACAGCGTCATTGAGCTGGGGCTCAAGAGGGAGAAGATTGGCGACTTGAGCTGCGAGATGATTCCACATTGTCTGCAGAGCTTTGCTCAAGCGTCGGGTACCACACTACATGTGGATTGCATCAGGGGTGATAATGATCACCACCGGGCTGAGAGTGCGTTCAAGGCACTTGCGGTGGCGATTAGACATGCGACGACGGTGGTGAAGCAGTGGGAGGGCGAGGTTAGAAGTACAAAGGGCGTATTATATTAGACTCGGTCTGGCAGGATGGGTCAATACAATTCACACAAACATATATAGTCACAAAACTTGAATAGATTTTACACTTCAAAGGTATCACTTGTGCGATGACTGTCTGATATGAAGGAAAAATTGCCAGAGACCGCTTGGCTAAATTCTATAACGTATCTGCTTTCTCGTTGCCGTGATGAATGCTATAGTGGCCATGCTCACTGAACAGCCGTTCGTCCTGGATTGACGGTGCTTCTAGTTCGAAACCAAAGTTTTCCTCCAGCATCCTTGCAATAAAGTTATCAACATAACTTCCATGTGGTTGAGGCGGAAGAACAATAGTCACTGCTTCGCTGGAATGCATACTCTCAGCATCGCAATGGAAAGTCAGGAGTGCTCTCGTCTTGTACTGAAGAAGATATTCCATCATACGTCTTTCCCAGAGCCAAGCGTTGTTAAAAGCGCTGCCGCGAATCAACAGTCGAATGCGGGCTTCTTTGGCATTGTTATGTGCCATCCTGGTCAAGGTGCATGTGACGAAAGTTTCTAGATTCTCTTCAGAGTACCCCAGCTCTCTAGGGAAGCGCTGGTAAACTTGTTCCCAGTGAACTCTTAGCCTAGCCTCGAGACTCCGGTTGGTCCAAGCTCTGATATCATGGCATATGCGCTTGGGAGTGCGTTCAGCCAGCGTGTTACTGACATCGTACAGGGACGAAGTGTTGCCATTGTGCCTTGACAAGAGACCGAACAACTCGTCCATAAAACCATTTCGTGGCTTATACATTGAATTGGCTGGTCCCAAAACGACAACGGGCGGGTATTGCTCGTTGAGATCACACAGTCGTTTTTGGACTGATGCATCTCTGGTTTCTTGATAGATGAGCTTGCTGATCAAGAGCAACGACGTCGGCAGTCTATAGTACGGCCAGCTGCACACACCGGCAGGAGAAGACTTGAAGACTGGCCATATGTACTTGTACACGAGCTCGGGCAGGAAAGAGTAGATGTGGCAGCGCAGCTCAGGCGGCAGGGCCATGAGGCGGGATGCGAGTGCTGGCTGCATTACATTGGGAGAGTGAATGTCGGCACGAGTTACGCTTACCCGGCCCTCTCTTTCTCCTGAGACCCTTACCGAAGCGAGCATGGCCCAAGCTCAATCCCGCGGCGTCGCGAGTGGAGCTCGCAGCATCAACACGCCCGACGCCGCCAATTCGCTGTCGACGCCCATCTTGCTCTCTTTCTACCTCGCCGCCATGCTTTCCGGCATCCTCATATTCAACCAAAAGGGCGAGAACCTCATCTTTCGCGCCTTCCGCAACGACTGCCGTCCACGCCTGGCCGATGTCTTCCGCATCCAGGTCATTTCCAATGCACAAGTCCGCTCCCCCATCCTGACCCTGGGCTCCACCACCTTTAGCCATGTCAAGCACGAGAACATCTATCTGGTAGCTGTCACCAAGAGCAACGCCAATGCCGCTCTTGTCTTTGAGTTTCTCTACCGCCTTGTCGGGCTGGGCAAGGCCTACTTTGGCAAGTTTGATGAGGAGGCTGTCAAGAACAACTTTGTCCTCGTCTATGAGTTGCTCGACGAGATTCTCGACTTTGGATACCCCCAGAACACCGAGACGGACACACTGAAGATGTACATTACTACAGAGGGGGTCAAGTCGGAGAGGACAATGGTGAGCTTCTCTATATGTTTGTATATCAGAAATGGCTACTGACTATGGCATAGGAGGACTCTTCCAAAATCACTATGCAGGCTACTGGTGCGCTTTCATGGCGCCGAGCAGACATCAAGTACCGCAAGAACGAGGCCTTTGTCGACGTTATCGAGGACGTCAACCTGCTCATGTCCGCAACCGGAACAGTACTCCGGGCAGATGTGAATGGTCAGATTATCATGCGCGCATACCTTTCCGGCACCCCAGAATGCAAGTTTGGCCTCAACGACCGACTGACGCTGGGCGAGGACCATCTGCAACAACCCTCGGGTAACAAGGCGGGCGCAAAGGCAACAAGGGCAGCAGCTGGTAGTGTCACGTTGGAGGACTGTCAATTCCACCAGTGTGTCAAGCTCGGCAAGTTCGACGCCGACAGGATAATATCGTTTGTTCCACCAGACGGCGAATTTGAGCTCATGCGCTACCGGGCGACCGAGAACGTCAACCTGCCTTTCAAAGTCCATGCCATTGTAAACGAAGTCGGCAAGACAAAAGTCGAATACAGCATTGCCATTCGCGCCAACTACGGCTCCAAACTCTTTGCTACCAACGTCGTCGTGCGTATACCTACGCCTCTAAACACCGCTAAAATCACCGAGCGCACCTCACAGGGCAAAGCCAAATACGAGCCAGAACACAACAACATTGTCTGGAAAATCCCACGCTTCACTGGCCAAAGCGAGTTCGTCCTAAGCGCCGAAGCTAGCCTGACAAGCATGACCAACCAAAAAGCATGGTCCCGACCACCACTCAATCTCAGCTTCTCACTTCTCATGTTCACTAGCTCTGGACTCTTGGTACGCTATCTCAAAGTATTTGAAAAGAGCAATTACAGCAGTGTAAAGTGGGTACGGTATATGACGAGAGCAGGCAATTATGAGATAAGGTATGTTTTTTTTCTCGAGCCGTTTATATAACCCCTACCTGCTATGTCTTGGTGCTAACATAATCACTTGTAGATTCTGAGAAAAGGCATATTTTGCTTTGTCCATATTATTATTACTATTACCCATTACCATTATTACTTGTGCTATACAGTTCGGTGTTTGCATTGCATTGCAGGCGTCATTGGAGGGAAGGGACTCGGTTATCTACGATATCCTTGAATATAATCAGAAGCGATTACATGAGACCCTTTTTTGTTTCTGTTGTACATGGATACTCTGACAGGCTGATATACAAGTTTCGTCCTCGATCGTGGTGCTAGGTCGTTGCTAGCTGTAATGCTTCGCAGGTACTGCTCTGCGAAAAGTCGTGTGTTGTAAACATCCATCCAACTCCATACGCCATCCAAACCCTTCTCTCCCACATACACACACCCGCCCTCTCACTCCCCCAAATCCATATCCTCACCACCCTCCTCACCCTCTTCCTCTTCAAGCCTAGCCCTCTTCCCCTCTCTCTCCTAAATCTCCCTTCCAAATAAGAACACCTCTCTCTTCTCAGGCGTCAAACTATCATGCAACCTCTTTTTCTCTACTTCTACTCTCTTGATCTCTTCCTTTAACATTTTCTCTTTAGCCTCTAGCTCTTGGACTTGGGATCTGGTGGTGTGTAGGGAGGAGCGCGTGGTGCGGAGGAGGGCGGTGAGTTGCGAGTGCTTGGTTAGGGTTTCGCGATAGGCGGGGATGAAGGATGAGGAGGATTTGGTGGTGGGAGGGGTGGTGGGAGGTTGGAAGGGAAGGGGAAGGGGAATGTTTGGGTTGATCAAGATGGTGCTGGTGGTGGCGATGGGGGGAACGGGGGCTGGGGTTGCTGGAGCCAAGGCTGCTGGGACCACGGGTGCATCTGGTTTCTCGCTGTCCGGTTTGTTGATTTCCTGCTGGATAGACATGGTGTGACTGCTAGGAGTCGAGATGCTAGGTGTAGGTATAGGTGTCAATGTTGGCGCGAGCATGGGTGCGGGCTTAGGAAGCATTTTTCTTTGAAAGGCTCGCTTGAACTCATCAATTGGCTCGATTCTTGGTTGACCAATGAACGCGGAACTTGTATGTGGAACTGGGGTTGGAGTCTGAAAGGCTTCAGATGTAGCGGCATGACGCCGGCGCTCGGGAATGAAGAGACTGGTCTCATCTTCAGGAGATGAAGGAGGGAACGGCTGTGTTGAAGAAGGCTGTAGAACGGGATACCGTGGCGCGCTCTGGGCTTTGGAAACGGGTAGTGTCGGGTTGAGTTTTGGTCCAGTTGGCATGCTCGTAGGTGTCTTTATCGTGTTTGCTTTCTGTCCATTGGCTGATGTCGCTGTAGTCTCTGCCCTTAATCCATCTACCGATGTCATTGTCCTCGCGGCTTGCTTTGGGGCTGGTGATGGCCTCCTCTTGTATGCCAAAGCAGTACCTGCTTCGCGCTCCTGAGTCTTCTGTTTGGCACGGGCTTCTTTGGCAGAAATTCCGGCTGCCACCTTGCATGCTGCGAGTAATTCTGCGGTGAAGCGCTTGTCAACCGGCCACGGTGACGGGGGTTTGACTTTTTTGACCATAAAGTAGTACCTAATCACAGCGCGTAGAAGAGTCGAATCCATTGTGCCATACTTCTTCAGCCACTTAAATGCATTTGCCGCATTGGTCAACCGTATGGCCTCCTCTATAGTGATGCCGGAGTGCAGATTCCCATGCCGATCGAAGAGGTTGAAGCGGTGTCCAGGCCACTGGTTCTCGTCGCGTGTCTTGATCGGAAGGATCCAGACTTCTAAACCCTTTTTCTCACCTTCTGTGATCTGGCCGAAGAGAATGCGTTGGGGTAGCGAAGTGAGACGTTTTTGCTTCTTGTCTTCAAATTCTGCTCCCCGGATCTTGTCTATAGGTAAGTGCTCAAGGAACAAAGCATCTTCGCCCATGAGACTATGTATCTGCCGTAGAGCCTTTGTTGATAGGCATTCTGTGTCGGCGGGTTCCGCCATTTCGATTGATTGGCACTGCTCTTGTCATATTGTTAGCTAGTGTCCTACACGATCGATCTCCTTGATACTTATATCTGGTGCGTGTTTGGTCGATTTCACATTCAAGCACGTGGCTCTTGGTTATGCTCTTGTTATTCGGTCTCGTGGCCGCGACTTTTTTGTATACCAAACATATTGTTTGTGTACTAGTGGGCCATGTGTAAACGCGACTAGCGGGCACTAGCGTGCCTCGCTAGAGAATGGAAGTGAAGTAGGCTTCTAGAAAGCGTAGAAACCCAGCGTTTGAAATATGGCGGGCCGGGAGCTTCTAGAATATCCACTTAATTTGGAAATCTGTTCTTTAGTCTAGGGATTGCTGTCGCATGCTGACGTACTATCATTTCGGGCGCCTTGGTTCTAAGCAAGCCAATCGTTTGGTAGTCGAGACAGATATGTGTAGGATTCCGTTTCAAGATTACCTACACTAGGCTCTCTAACTATGCAAAACTCTTACATAAACATAAAGATATTTTTGCGACGTTTTTTGTCTCTTATTCTCCAACATGAAGCGTTCCTACTGCGCTTTTCCGTTTATATACTATCCTAGTACATTTCAGTTTTATTTGATACTATCTCCTTAGACAGATCCTAAATAGCGGTACCACATAATGCATTAGAACCGGGACTTAGTAGCATAACCAAATTATATAGTACAAAAGAATACTAAGCAATGAAACCTTTGCCCAGTTGACGCCCTTGCATGATCTCTCCAATATGCTCGTCTCAGATCAATAGCATTGTGAGATTAGCAATAGCACGACGGCAATCATGTGCTTTCTACGACCTCGGGTAATGGCCCAAGATTCACGAATATTCCGCCCATTACTTCCATATACACCAAAGAAATAGCACACCGAAAAAGCCCTACTGTTCAAGTCAGGTCTTCTGATCTATGTGCGAAGACTTAGTGCCTAGTCTTCTGACGCTTCGATGGCAAACCTTCCTTGATGCCATATTCCTTGCACACGAATTTACGAGACAACTCCCAGACGGCCACCATTTCTGGAGTCATTACGCCCAACTGGCGCTTCTCAACCTCAAGTTTCTCTTGTATAGTCTGAGAGCTTGCCTCAATCTCAGCTATTCTGCTAACCCTATCTTGATCCTCAACACTGATCCTTTCCTCGAGTGCTTGTCTTTTACGCTCATATTCAGCCTCAAACCGCTCCCTTTCTCGACGAAGCTCTTCAAGAGTAGCAATGTGACGGGCTACCTGGGCTGACATTTCATCGATCTTTTTCTCAAGGTCTTTCCGATCATCATATGAGGCTGACAGCGACTCGAGGATGATTTTGATACCTTTGTTACACTCTGGAGTCTATGAAAAGTTAGCGTATGGTGAGATATATTTGTTTTGTGTAATATTTCAGCATACAGTGGTTTTGGAGGCAGATGATTCCTCGATTTCTTCTTCGAGTTCTTCTGGGAGTTCTTCTTCAAGTTCTTTTTGATGGTTTTCAGGGATGAAGAGAGTGTCCGAATTCAGGCCATCAAGCGCGGCAAGTTTACTGACAGCTACGTCTTTGTTGGTTTCTGCCTTGATTGTATTCTGTTCAGTGGTAGTGAGCTCCGAGACACGATGCTTCTTGCTCGAATCGACGACTAGAGGTCTATTGGCGCCCATATGGGAGTTGAGTTCATTTCGGCTGTACATATGGGCCGTAGATGTGACCTTTACAGAGTTAACAACAAGCCGACGTTACAAATCGATCTCGTAATTACCGGAGAAGTAGTTGATGAGATGTCTGAGATGGCTGGCGATGAGGATTGTGCACTAGACCCATCTATTGCACTCATACTCTTATCAACTTCCTTGGGAGGTGTCTTTTCTAAACTCTTACGGCTTTGCTTGAAGCTCCTGAACATTTCGCATCCGAGAACCAATTTTGAACGGAAAGCCGAACCAACCACTGGTATTGGGGTTGATAGAGTGATACCTTTGCGAATAAAGAGAGCTTTCAGAACGGCCTTAACTGCGTCAAACGCGACCTTGCCGTTCTCGATCAAGGGTATCCAAAACTTGTTGGCTTCGAACATACCATCTGTGCAATTGATGTCCTTGGTGTTCATGACGGTGTACTTAGTGTTTGCTAAACACTTACCAAACATCATAGACGGCTCAGTATTTTTGAATGAGGGAGAGCGAAGATAGACATAGACCTGAGCTACATTGATGCCATCTTCCCGATATGTGCCAAATGCAAGCTTGGGAGTGCTGGAGCGACGACTCGATGAGTTCAGCAAAGATTCTCCATGAATTTCGTCAAAGAGTTCGTCAACTTCAGCTTCAGAAGGGAGGTATTGCAAAATGTCCGCTTGCGCATCAAGGGATTGGATGAGTTCTTCATACGTAGTGGCACGCGTTTCAATAGATGATGAGTTGGTGGTTGACATGTATGAGGTGAGTGGGGTTTCTGAACTTGTTAGCGCATCTCTCATGGCTAGCTTTAGGTTAACAGGATACATACCGCGAGACGGGGTAGAAGGGAAAGGCATAAGAGGGAGGTTGTCGGACATTTTTGCCTGTATAGTTCGACAATTAGAGTGAAAAAGAGATGGAACTAGAGTGTTGCAAATTGATGGCGGTGTATCAGCGTAAATGAAGGACTAGCGAGGAGCAAACACAAGCTAAGGATGAGTCTACGCCGTAGGCACCAAGTGGGGGTGCTTTTTTAAAAGATTAGCCAAATAGGAGGTAATAGAGCTAAGTGAAGGAGTAAGCTTTTAGGCAACAGAAATAAGAGAGGTTAACGTGAGAGTCTAACATTAAGCAAGCACCTTGCGGACACTGAATAGTATTACGTGCTAGCTACGAAGAGGAGGTATTTGATTATTAAACATGAAGTGAAACGATTGACTAACAAAAACAACGTGCATTGTTTCCTATGAGGGAATGTAGGACAAGATCCTATTACTTCTGTTGAAAGCAAGCACTTATTTGCCACTCATGCATATTCACTATCTATCAAGCTATGAGCAACAAGCAGCAAACGATATAGCTATGAATGGGGTTTGCTACTTCATTCAAATTTCTATCTTATTAGTGAAAGAGGCTCTTATCAATGTGCGTCCTGTATGTTGAGGAAATGAGTACACTGCGATATAGAAAGGCTATAATGAGGCTTGATTACTACGTAATATGGATTGTTATTGTTGAAAGCACCCTAAAGTTAGAGGCAATTCAATTCATGTAGGTAGAATGTCGGATTGTTCCTGATTAGTCGTTAAAATAGGCCGAATTGAAGGTTGCCTAGTCTATATGTACTTTTGGTGATTCCTGGTCGAAATATTGATTCATTCAATTGTCAAGATCATAAGACTCTCAACATATCTATTCAAGTAAGAGAATCCAATATTAGACACTGTGAAACATTGTGAAAGTGATTGCATTAGCGCATAGCAAGTCGCATCGGTAATCACGTGGCATAGCCTAGTAGCAATCTGTCGCTGCACATGTTTGAATCAAAACTGTAATGACGAATAATCATATCCAGATATCTGTATCGATACTACAGGGAGAACGTGATTAGTTCTTCATCGATCAAACGTTCGAATGTAAAGACAGGCGACATATATGCATTCTTGAATCCTCAGCGCTCTAGCGTCATGCTAGCGTCGATGACGTACTTCCATATGAGACCTCTCTTTAACAGCAGAGCTACACAATAACACGGATTTTGAATAGGCACAACTCACATGATGCCTCCAAAAAAGTTGAACAAAGATGGGGATCAGAAGCCGAAGGAGGACGAGAAAACTAACAAACCCACTGTCTCCGATGAAGAAGTCCGCCAGGAATCAGGGAAAGCCGCCAACGCTGCCCTCGCGGCTCAGAAGAAGGCCAAAGAATTGAAGGATGCGGCTGCAGCGGCCGGCGATCCTGAAGAACGAGAGAAATTAACGGCAGAAGCTACGAATGCCGAGATTGAAGCTGAGTCATTTGGAAAAACAGCAAAGTACCTACGCTCGGGCGCATTTCAGGGCATGGCTATGGGTACAGGTCTTGGTGTTGCACCAGGAGCAACTTTGGGAGCAATCAGTGGGACCTTAGTTGGAGGTATTTCGTCGACACTACTAGGTGGACTGGGCGCCGGTATAGGTGGCGTTACAGGGGCAATTCATGGACCTTTCGTGAACATGGGCAAAGTAGCAAGGAAAGGGATGAAAAAGCTGACGAGCTTTCTACCGGAATGGGCAGCAAGCGAGGAGCAAAAGAAGACATTGGAAAAGATGGTTGGCCAGGCCAAAGACGAAGAGATGCCTGGTACTGAGGAGCTTGAGAAGTTCAAAAGCGAGGGTGGTGGAGGTCAGCTGGATGAAGGGTGGCTGCAGAATGCAAAAGGCATGCTTCCAAAACAAGAGGATGTCTCAGATGCAGCCAAAGCGGGAGCACAGGTAACCGGTGGTCAATCAGTACCGGAGTCTAAGGACGGCACATCAGAGCAGCAGCTGCATGAAGGCTCGGCCCATACGGACGGCCCTCAAGGTCGCAAAAAGCCACGCAAACTGAATTCTAGGCCGACCGATGGCAGCGATCGAGTGCTAGATACGGACGGCAATGACAATACGAAGGATGAGCCAACTCAAGGCAAGCAGGAGTCAGACGCACACAACGAAGAAGAGATGGACGAGCGAACGAAGAGACTCAATCAGCGCGAGGCTGGCCTGAACCGTAGAGAAGCTGAGTTGGAACAGAGGGAAAAGGCGTTAGAGAAGCGTGAGAAAGAACTTGAGTCCAGATCAACTAGCCACGACCCAGAGCGCTCAACCACATCGGAACCGAAAGGACATCCCCGCAAACTCGAAACCAGATCTTGAGATTATCATGTATTGCTTCGTAAATGTCTCAAGAAATTGTCTCGACTACGCGGGAACATGTCCCGTTATGATATTGAAATGGCCACTACACAAAACCTTAGCAGAAGCCTTGATGGAAGCCTTGGTGGAGGCCTTGGGCAAATACAATAATCAAACTCATTCAAGATGCCCCAGTAATTTCGCGTACACTCAACCGTGCCTTGGCCTCTACCCAGCGTCAGATTCACATCATTCCCTACAAGCACCCGCTCGCCACGCAATGACACGGCACCCTCCGCCCAATGCACCATTCAAAACCTGCGATCTCAAGCAGCACAGCGGGTCGGAACTCCCCATCGCGCGTTCCATCTCTATTGGAGTGTGAAGCCCACCTAGTCTCCATCTGAGCCACTGCGCTTCCCATCCACCACTACACTAATGCAGGGAAAAACACCGCCCACGTCCGGCACATGTCCTGTCTGCCGAATATTTTAAGCAACGGCAGCGGCTTTGAGGCGCAAAAGACAAGTCAGGGTCACAGAATCAATAACACATGGCGCATCGCCTAAGTGACATTTGCCCGAGCCTTACTGCGCGAATGCGTCGCTGTCTAATCTTAGTCAGGAAGCTGCGCAGTAGCACGGCTACTAGTGTGCAGATGATAGCTCGGCCCACGAGTCAGCAGGGGTTTGCTCGCTTCGGTTGGGTTGGGCCGACGTTGTTGAGCAATGAGGTTGGGTCCATTCTATCCACCTCCATGTGGAATAAACTTGCAATACAAGAATATAAATGTTTTAAGGGTCAAGATTTCCATCGAATAAGAAATCACGGTTTCTGTTCAATTCAGCATTGGGCTTGTGGTTTAGTGGTATAATACTCCCTTAGCATGGGAGTGGTCCGGGGTTCGATTCCCCGCGAGTCCATTCTTTTTTGCCAGTGTACCGTCCATTCTGGTGGTTATAGTTGTAATTGGGGCTGGGGAAGATTTTGTTTTGGAGGATGAGTGTGGTACGTGCGCATGACACTATTGGTGGAAACACTGAGTAAGTCTCCTGCACTTGCTAATTTCTCCACGCGCCTGTATCGATAGATGGATACTTTACGGTCACATCACCACGTATTCGAGGATTTACAGAAAGACTTGAAACAATATTAATATTGAATTGATCTTATACTAAACTCGACTGGATCTCCTCTCATGCACGACACATGCGCCCATCAGTCCTAACCGACCACGCCTCACTGCCCACACCCACGGTAGCATAAAACAAGCCCTGGGGATCCCACTTCTTCTTGATCCCCAGCAACTTCTGATAATTGGCTCCCCAAAATGTGTCCTGGAAGTTGGGCTGACGGAAATCCGCCTCGTTAACATACGAACCACTGCCCGGGGTCGCTTTCTCAACCAGCGGAATGACTTCATTGGTCATCTTATTCTGGATTTCAAAGGCTTCAGACCATGGCGCGGTAAAGTTCCATGGAAGGGTAAGTGTAGCATGGACGATGGCTTTGCGCCATGCGGGGTGAACGGAGGTGGTCTTGTCGGAACCAAAAGGTGCGACGTTCGTACCCACACCGATCCATGTTACGCCCTTCTCGATGATGGCTTGCCATGTGGGAGCGATGCTGGCGACGACAGCGCGAGGGATGAGACGCGTGCCGTATTGAGCGATGCCGACTTGGATGTTGCCGAGGGGAAGGGGTCCAAAGTACTTGTCGTAGTGCTCATAGTAGGTGTTGAAGGCGGAGTAGGAGACAGTGTGGGTGACGTTTAAGAAGGCAAGTTTTGCGACGAAGGGAGCCATGATGGTTTTGACCTGGGCCTCGGTCTTGTTGTAGGCGCTGAGCGGCGCGATGGAGAAGAAGCCCGTGGTGAAGTAATGGACTACCATTGCGCCGGCGTCGACCATGCCGGGGAGCTCCTCGTGGAAGGCTTGGATGCCGCTGTAGAAGGTGTCTTTGCTCATGTCCTTGGCGAAGAAGGAGAGCGAGGCGCCACCGAAGACGGCTTCCTTGTAGGCTTTCACGATCATGGAGACGACGATGCCGTAGGTGCTGCCGCCGCCGCCCTTGAGTGCCCAGTACAGGTCTGGGTTCTCACGTGGGCTGGCATTGACAAGCTTAGCGCCAGCGGTCACAACTTGGAATTCGAGAGCGTTGTCGACGGCAAGGCCAAAGCTGGTGCTCACGGCTGAGTGACCTCCACCTTGGGTGTAGCCACCTGCGACACCGACAGTGGGACATTCACCTCCAACAGTGACTAGTCCGCGGTCTCGGGCAGCAGCCATCAATTCGAATCCCTGGACACCAGCACCAATCTTAAAAGCTGGGCCAGTGTATTCGGCACTCTGGTACGTGGGGACATAAGTGATGCTCTTGAGATAATGGGTCCACACTGCTAAAGCCCCTGCGCCGGTAGAACGGCCAAGGTAGTCATGGCCAGTGTTACGGATAACTAGACGAATGTTCCTCTGAGTGGCATAGTCTACTGCGCGCTGGATGTCCAGAGGACCCGAGGCATTCACAGCATACCGAACATAGTTACCCAACTCACACGGGCGGTCACGGGGCTGGAACGGATCGCAGCTCTGGTTTGCGAAGAACGGCGCCATGACCGAAGAGGAAGACTCATAACTGGACTGGAGTAAGTGCAAGTATTCTTGAAACATGGGCTAAAATTGCATACTGAATCTTCTCCGTCTGCCATTGGCTCTTCAGACTCTCGCATTTTGCGTTGTCGAAAGCCGATCCGTGACATGGTGCTCCAAGGGGCACAGTTGCAACGAGTCGTCCGCCCACGGTTCTGTTGAAAGCAGTCCAGTCGGGCTGCGATGGCCAGTTCTTGTCGCCAGGGAACGTTTTGCAACTGGCGGCGACACTATAGGCAGATGCAAGGCCATCGATCGCGAGGGCAAAGCTTAGGAACCGCATCTTGAAAGGCTAGTATTGAACAGAGGGTGCCGTGGGGGTGCCGATCAACATGAGTGCTGCACAGCAGCCAGCTCATTATAAGAAAAGGCCTACAAGCCATGTAGGCCTTACTCTCTGGCGAGACCCAGGGCTGAGCATGACCGTGGCACGGCAATGGGTTAGTAGTGTCCGGCGGTGTGGATCCTTCGCCCGCAACCACCACCACATGTGCCGACCGTTGCCAAAGAAGCCGGCCCCCTTCTCTGAACCCAACCCCGGGTTTCTTCCAATTAAAGGGCTTCCATTTCATGAAGATTCGAAATCCTGTAAGCAAAGCCCCCTGGCATATCCAACATCCGCACCAAACCCGTGGTTCTCCCTGGCGTGACAGCAATCCCCCAGGGTCAATGCAACCACCCATGTGCAACCACCCATGTCAAACAATTGCGCCGAGAAGAAATCAGGGACTTCTGCATACCTTAACCGCATCCAGCTGTTGGCTTAGTCGCCACCCCGTCCGTGTACTAACGGACGGGTCGGCGCCTTTCTATCTTCTCTAGGCGAGTATGTAAGAGACATCAAGGAAAATGTGCTCGTTATTTATTCCAAGCCGCATCAGCCATGGGTGTGACTTCCCGTTTTGTAAGTGCGCCGCTTGGTTACTAGGACTTACAAATTTCGCTCCGGACAATAGTACGCGTCCTAGCGGCACAAAGGAAGGCGGGATTATCCGCGTTTCGCGGCGCCCGTCGTAGTTACTTTGCGTGCACGGTACGTATACTATCCTGAATAGGCGGCCCCAGGACCCGTGTTCGATAAGCGTGTCTGAGGCTCACGAGGAGAAATCCTCTGCAAGTGGGCATAGTAGCGATGACATGTCGATACCGAAGGGACAGATGCGGTTAAGTGTGTGTGCTATGACGAACAGGTTTCGGTGAGACTCTCGTCGTAATATCCAGTCAAGTGGTCTGCTTCTGCATGTGTAGTCTGTAGAAGCAGTTGGACCCCCCGGCTCCCCATGTCAAAGCTTGCCGCTGGCGGACATTTTACGATCCGTACGAGCATGAAGCCCTTGTCGTGCGGTGTTATAGGCTGTGGGGGTATCGTTCGAAACAACTAGTCAAAGCGTGTTGCCGGCTCTTATGTTGAAGAGAATTCCCACCGAGAGGTTTGCAGAGTATCGACGTACAGAACGTGTATTTTGTCAAAATGGGCTGGGCCTATAATACTCCTGAGAGCGCTGTTAATAATGGTTCGCACATTACAAGTGTGGCTATTGTGTTCACAGCGGCATCGCTGTTGGTGTTGTCACTTCGGTTCTACGTCCGAGGGTGGATGATCAAGACGATCGGAGCGGGTATGTATGATAGACTTGGACTTGACGGTCATAGCTAACGGTAACGATCCACAGATGACTATGTTTTGGCCTTTAGCTGGGTAAGCAATGTCCATCGGGTATCTACCATGGGACTGGGTCTGACAGGTAACAGGTAGCGTGTTGCGGTTTCGCTGTTGTCACCATCCTGCGTAAGTCAACCTTGCACACCACACAGTGCTATGGCTAACAACATCATTCAGAGACAAAATGGGGACTTGGACTGAAAAACGTCGAGGACATGCCTAATGAAAACCTCTTCAATTTCGGACTGGTAAGTAAACACCTTACTATACTTTGTGGGCTCTTCGCTAACCGACACAGTTGCAATATATCGGCGCGCCATTGTAAATCTACGAATCCTGCCTATTCTCAACTCAGTCACTAACGATATGATTAGCTACATAACAAGCATAATGACCTTCAAAATCAGTCTAATGTTAACCTACCTCCGCTTCATGCCCAAGGGCGCAGCACGTACCGCAACAATCGTAGTAATAGTGCTCTGCGTCCTCTTCCATCTTGCCTTCCTCATCGTGCAAATCAACCTATGTCACCCGGTACGTCCTCTCCTCCATTCCTCTTTAAATCCCCTACTTACCCCATCCAGATCGCCATGCAATGGGACCGTACCATAATCGGCACCTGTCTCCCCGCCGTCCCCTTCTACACCACCACCTCCTCCCTGACCATAACTTTTGACGTCGTAGTGTAAGTTCCCCTTCATCCCCCCTTCAATTCAAACCTCCCCCCCTCCCCCCTCTAACACCCCACAGCATGTTCCTCCCCTTCCCCGTCCTCCTCGCCTCCCACATCCAAAACCGCAAAAAGGTCGTCCTCCTCGGCCTCCTCGCCCTCGGCACCTTTATCACCATCATCCAAGTAATCCGAATCCAAACCATCCGCTCGCTTACCAACTACCTCGATTCCGCGGGCGTCATAATGTGGTCTAGTGTCGAAAATAACCTCGGTGTTATCGTAGCCTCCATTCCGACGTTAGCACCGCTATTTACGTTCTTCGTGGATAAGACGGTTAAGAGCTCGGAGAGAAGTTCGAGAGGGAAGGCATTGTACGCGTTGAGGTCGACCAAGGGGTCCGCGAGGCAGGGGTCCATGCCGTTAGGGAGTGGGGTGCATGGGACGGATGATCGGGGGGTCGGGGATTCGGATGATAGGGGGAGTGAGGAGGCGATTTGGGGGAGGGAAGGGGGGATTGCGATGAAGACGGAGGTTAGGGTTGAGTCGAGGCCGGTTGGGGTGGGGAAGTAAAGGGGGAGGCGGGGGTTGGACGTGGGTTGGTTATGAAAAGGGGTGGGGGGATGAGATGGGGAATGTGTTTTGTGATGGAAAAAATGAAAATTTGCGGGTAGTAGTATGAGATTTACTGTTTATTGGCTTTGATATCCCCGGTTTTTTTATTGTAGCAAGTACATGATGATTTTCTCAAGTATAACTTTGCATTGCTGGTTGCTGGTGAAATGGTAGCCTTGAGTTTGAATTATGCGTTCAAGGAACTGTTTACCCGATAGCCCGGCAAAACCAACACCACGAGCTTAGTCTCTCTGCTGTAAAAACTGTCTCAATAACGCGGGTACACAACATTGCGCTCTTAACCTTCCAATTAGCCATTAGTGCCTTTGTTCATTCTTTCTGCCCAACGTCGATATCACACTATCTCTTATTGCAATGTTTCGAGTGCATACCGTTATGATATGATAGCACGTTGAACGTTGTATGATAGGTGGATATGTTGCAGGGACAGGGCTTGTTGGTGGTCAAGCACGGACATATATAGGGTTGTTATAGCGAGTCGGCTGCAGATCCTGGGCGATAGCACGCACACGGATATGTTTGCCATGGCCAATCGGGAGAGAGCGGGGTATGTGGGTATGCTGTTGAGTATTGCTGGTTTTTATTGTAGTTGAAGTTGGGAAGAGGGAAGATTGGGAAATTGCAAGGGGTCGAAGAGGGATTATCATAGTTGTTATAGAGTTGGGAGGTGTCGCCCTACGACGCTACAGGAATTTTTTCAATGTAGTGCAAACAATTTCCATAAAAGCTTGAGCGAAGCACTATGAGCCAAACCCAATGAAAGCTTAATTTGAGAATTTAGGATATCGCGCCTGACTTTCATTGTTGGTATTGTCGGTTTGGTTTGAGACCTGTGCCGCAGAGCAAGTCTGCCCACAGAATGACAGCTGAGGAATATGCTTCGATCCACCAAAATACACACTATCCAGCGATTCCCCACAGCTCGAAGCCATGAGGAAAAGCTACCGTTTAAAGAAGAGAGAAGGAAATGCCCGATTCGGGGCCGGCGAGCAAATGTTGTACTAAGATAAGGGGGATGTAAAAATGACAACTCTTTGTATGGGCTGGTAAGTTGTATGAAACCCGCATACAAAAACAGTGTTTGAACATGGGAAGAAGCAACATAAATTCACAACGGCATTATTGGTAGTACAACTACTTTCGGGGTGGCACCTCTTCCAACCGCGGAACTGTATCCTCTGGCAATCTGTGGTAATCTCAGTTTCTATCGCACTTCCATGTGAAGAACCACTACCTACCGCGTCAAAATTGGTGCTAGATCTGAACACACCACCGCAAGTTTCCGGGGCGGTATTCCAATACAGCCGCCTTAACCAAGCATGCAGGCAGGGATAGTCGCGGCGAATCATTCTGAGATTGCACTTGAAGAAGGAGTAATACGCCACGTCGAATCGTATCAGGGTCGTAAAAAGATAAATGTCCGACTCGGTAATGAACTGTCCGAAGAGATAGGGATGGTGCTTGGGTTGCGAGAGATGGACTTCAAGGCGATCCAAGGTCTGGAAGAGCTGTCCTAAGTGCTCATTGTACGATTGCACAGATGTAGCAAAGCCGATCTTGTAGACACCATTGTTTACCGTGTCATACATCCAGGAGTTTAGAGCGTCGATTTCAGGAACGAGGTGTGATGGTCTGAAGGCTGAAACGCCTTTGTTCGCCTCACGTTGCTCGGGTGGCAGGAGAGAGTCAAAGCCGTCGATTAGCATGCGAGCGATATCTGTGCTTTCATTATTGACGGCAGTGCCTGGGCGTGATCAGACTGAAGCCATTTGCTGTAATATCAAAGTCGGTTTACCATGTTGCTTGTCCCATAACAGGGGAACAGTTACTCTCCCGTCGTAATGGGGATCTGCCTTTTGGTAGATTTCTTTCAAGGTCTTGACACCGTATATAGGGTCTTTGCTCGGTCCGGTTCGCCCTGAAAAGGACCAGCCGTGGACTGCATCTCGATCATCCACTTCCACTAGCTCAACAATGTCCTCGAGCTTCTTCAGCACACGGATGATGATGGTTCGGTGGGCCCAGGGACAGATGTAGTTGATGTACAAGACATAGCGGCCCTTCTCTGCAGAAAAGCGATCGGAGGGAATAGTATGACGGAAACTGGAAGCCATTTGACTGCGAATGTGAGAGAAGTCTGCTCCAGTCACGAAGCGGTAGGCCTTGTTGTTTTGACTAAAGATTTGGAGAAGGCTTGAACATGTTCTGTGAGAACAAGTACAATACAATCTGACGCTCTGCTGAGGTATTGGTACATTTTGCTCGGATTGAATTAATGATTACAAAACATAAAATGGTCTTGGTCTACAGGGGTAATAATGATTAGTATGAGCTACTGCGCGTGAGCGGCTACTTTTTCAAGTGGGGAAAGGCGCCAAGTAGATGCTCGAGTACGGTAGACGTGCTCATAGAGCTTCATATTGACTGAGACGTTGCAGTCTTTCTGATGGCGTTCACAAAATGTCGCGGGTGATCTGTGGTGGATGATTGCATCTTGAATCTGTAATGATGCCGAGCCACGTGGGTGGAGGGGGAATGACAGGGGTGGCCTGAACCGAGAAAAGCTGGTACTTTGGGTTATGTCGGGCTTGGTTCACACTGACGCACCGTCTCCCTGCATTGCATGTGCACGCACACATACACACACACACTCGCGTGACTTTGTCCTGCCACGACTTTGTTGAGTGATTGGCTCCTCTCGCTCTTTCAGGATACATGCTACCGGTGTTGCAGCGGACTTGATGAGTTGTGCAATGTCGCGGGATCCGTGGAACACAGCGCATCTTTTTCGCACGAGCCGATGTGCATTTTCCGAAAGAAATCTAGGTAGCAAAGGCATGCCAACTAATCACCAGGGCATCAGGCTGAAGGGCGCACGAGTTTCTCCCTTGTGCGCCTCCTAAACAGATGCCAATACCGATTCCTATCAGTCATCACACATGCAGAGGTTGATGTCGGATCACGACACGACTGGATTGCCGAGCAGGGCATGCAGTTGGACAGCATGATGGCAGTGACGCCGGTCGATAACACAATAACTTTTGCTGCACTGACAAAAGGATTGTTGAATGTCTGAGCTCATACATGACAAGTCGAGATATTAGGGGCGGGATTTGTGCGTGGATTTTGGCAGAGATTCCATCCTCGCTTACAGGCAATAGTGGGAGCCGGCGGAGGGTGACCTGCTAGCTCCAGGAGATGGTAGACGGCGCGAAGACGTTTGGTTCAGGGCCAGATCCAGACCCGGGGTTAACTGATTCAACGCTGTGGTGCCAAGTGTCATTGTATCGAAAGCCATCTCAACCAATGATGATAATAACCATGATTGCCGGTGGGATATGCGACGGCTTGGGCTGCAGTTGGAATCGTTACTTGAGCTGATGTTGTAGTAATAAATAGCAGAGAGGCGATGCGATAGCTGCGTTGTGGCGGTGCTGAGGCAGCGTCGTCCCATGTCTAATGGGCCGACTGGCGTGCGCCACATACGCCTCGCCCGCCTGCTCACCTGCCCACCTACCCACTCACCGCTGATCTCGAGGACCTTGTGCTAGAGTGTTGTCGAAGTGAGCAAAAGCAAAAGCAGCGTCCAGTCCACCAGAGCATGTGCCTGAAATGCGGCGACGGTCCTCTCTGCTGTCTCTGCAGGAACATGTGGCCCATCTGCGGTCGTCGTCATGGCAGCGTCATCTCACCGACGGCCAGGAACGACCTTTTCTTTTTGTCCGTCGAGCGGCTCGCTCTCTTTAATACTATTAATAGGGCTTGATGGCGGCGGGCCCAAGGGAAGTAACCAAGTAACCAAGGAACCAAGGTGCGTTGCCCGGTTAGACAGCAACCCTGCATCTGTAGCCGTCGCCGGCAGACGTCGCGTAGTGGGGACGCGCCTGGCAACAGCAGTGGATCCCCCAAGCTGAGGCTGAGACTTTGCATTTGTCTCACAACCAGAGCCTCGTAATTCCAATCTCCTGTCACTGCCCCTCGCTCTGTACGCCGACTCCTGACCACAGTCTTTACGTCCATCTTCATCGTCTCTTGCTTGTCCGATTTCCTACCGCTTCTGTTCACCGTTTAGCCCAGAAGAGCCGCACACGACAAAGCCGCTCGCAACTACTCGGGTCCCACCGCCGGCCTTTCCGACCGCCGTACCCACGTATTCCGCCGCCACAGGGCTGACCTACTTAGTCCTGTTGTGTTTACAGTCTGCTGTGTTTACAGTCTGGCCTCCTCTCCCTCCTCTAGCAAAGGCGACGGCGATAGTACCAGCGACAGACGTTTGTAGTAGCTTTCAACACCCACACCCCACACATACCACAAGATGCGGATACCACAGTCGTATATCCAGAAATGCAAGGTTGTAGCACACTGTTTCCAGGCTGTATTCGTCTTCGTCGCAGCATGCTTGACCATAGCCGTCATGACCAAGGATGGAGACATCGCAGGAGCTACTAAATACTTTTTCGTAATGGTCAGTTGGACTCGACACCACCTCTGAGACTAGATCTGACAATACCCCACAAACAGTGCTTTCTTTCCATACCAGCCATCATCTACCTCACAATGGTGCCCATGTGGTCCCGCGCCCAACGGTTTGCCTCGGCCTATGCCTTCCTCGCCGTCGACGTCCTGTACACAATTCTCTGGTTTGCGGCCTTTATTTCAGTCGCCATGTGGAACTCCGAGGGTATCAAGGAAGGCGCAGCAAAGGCAAAGATCCCGGACGACAAGCGCAACTGCACAACGTTTATCTATGGAGACGAGGCCAAGTGCAAGGTCAGCAAGGCCGCTGTCGGCGTAGGCGTCATGGTCTTGTAAGTAGTATCACCAGCTCCCACACATTCCCCACGCAGACTAACACCCCCAACCAGCCTCTTCTTCGCCCTCACCACCGGCATCTCAGGTTACTACCTGCACAAGTTCCTCCGCGAAGGCGAAATGCCCTACCAATCTTCGTCCTCAAACCCGCACTACGCCTCAGGCGACTCTGCCTACAACAACCCCAAAGACGCTGCCTGGTCCACCGAAATCGAAACTGCCCACGGCCGCAACTCCTCCGACTCGCTCGACCAGCGCACCGAACACGGCGGCAATCAGCAAGAAGACGAGTACGCCCTGCTTCACTCCACCGAAACAGATGAAGGACGTCACCCCGGTCGCCCACTTAGCTGGGGCGAAGACAGAAACGGCGTTTATGGTCCTGGAGCCGGACGAACTGCGCCCCCATATGCGGATTACAGCATCCACAGCAGAGGTCCCAGCGTTGTCGCTGGCGCCGACGCACTTAGCCCAAGTGGATATGAAGAGTACAGGAGCCAGACTGCGCCGGGTCTCGTGCCGTTTACAGGCCTCAGTGGAGTAGATCGACAGCCTAGTCATACGGGGAGTGGATATAGTTTTAGCGGTGGACCGGAACGGGTGTAACAATTGCATTTTTCTTGCATTCTGGATCAAGTTATAAAAAGGGGATTTAGCAAATTTTTGTTTTCCAGCGGATCTTTGGTTACGTGGCATTGTTTAGCGATTTGGGTTCTTTTAGGAAGGGAAATCTGTGTTTCTGTTTCTGGCGACGAGGGAGATGTAGGAGATGTGGGATTAGGCTTCGTTGCATGGAGGGCTCGTTCCTTTGATGGGTTATGTGTATGCGATTTAGCGATGTCTATGCTCTCTTTTTTTCTCCCGGCGTTTTCCGCTTAAGAATAGATACGTATCTTGTGCACGCAAAGGACTTTGTCTGATGAGTTGTGAGTTACCGTGTGAATGTATTGTATACGCGAGATGAAACGAAGAAAAAAACGGCGTATAAGCATCATACAACAAATACATGCACAGTAGAAAAAGAAGGAACCGTCCTCCCACTCCAAACGCCCAGCAATGCCTTCTCCCTACAACCCTATACTACCGACACACACCTAAGCCTTTCCCCTAATCTTCCTCTCAATCTCCTCCTTCAAACTCACAAGATCCTGCTCCGTCGCCTCAAACTCCAACCCCTGCTTCACCCACGTCTCCGCCTCGTCCAGCCTGCCCATCTCAAGCAAACACTTGCCCCTCCTCCACCACGCCTTTGCATTCCCCACCTTCTTCATCTCAACAGACGCCTCGGCGTCTATCCCGCCCTCCGCCCACTTCTGCTGCGCCATATTGGCTTGCGCGCGGTTACTCAGGAGCCCCGACAGTTCTTCGCGGACGAGGCCAGACGGTTCCCACGCGGGACGCGCGAGCGCCATATCGATGGCTAGCGTGTACATTTTGGCTGCGGCATCGTGGTTGCCCTTCCGGAACTCGGCGTTGCCGTTTTCGCGGAGCTTGCCGATTTGCGCGGAGCGCTTGGGGTTGACGGGGACGGGTGGGGGAGGTGTGCCAGTGGGCGTCTCAACGTGCAAGAGGTTGCGGTGGAGGTTGTTGAGCGCTTCAAGTTCTTTTTCCACGACGTTGCTGGTGTTTTGGGGGGCGATGATGGAGTGCGTTGCGGGGTCGAGTTCGAGGGGGAGGAGGGTGAAGGTGTCTATGGATTCCATGGTGGGAGTTTTTGTGCTTTCTTTTGCAATTGCAACTGGCGGGAAAGGAAACGAGTGCGGTTATGGGTTGTGTGGCCTTTCAAGTTGCGCAAGTGGTGGGCGTGTGGAGTCCGAGAGACGATGAGGACAGTTTGGCCCGGGGAACAATTCCTTTATCGATAAGAAGACACGCTAACACGTGTCTGGTGTGTTTGGATTTGAGAACGTCTATCGCACGGTCTAGCCCTGATCCGTGTCCGTATCATGTTCTCCGCTACTACACATGGATAATAAATAGTTTATTCCTCTGTAACAAAAGTATGCTAGAGCACCATCTACCTGTATAGTGTAGCATCTAGTGGAGTATAAATGTGAAACCGCATCTAGCCTGCCAACCCTAACTAGTCGTACATCTAGTCTTCTTCATGAAACTGCTGCTCATCGTCCGCAAAGACCTTGGGGAGGTACAGCTTCGTATTCTCATACACCAGAAATGTGACAACCGTAGTCGGGATGACGCGAAGCGTGTTGGGAATAACGCCCTTGTAAAATGCCAGGAACCCCTCGTTCTGATACGTCTTCCTCAAGACATCCAGTAGACCATTATACTGCTGTGCGGCGTTGTACTGTTGCAGTCTCGCCCTAATGGGCTGATATGGATAGGTAATGGCGCCTGCAAGCAACTTGCTTCCACCACTCATGTATACGTACTCCCAGTTGCTGAGTTTATCTTGTCCGCCAATGTGTAAGGCTCTTCTCTTTTTCATATTTTCGTAAATGCTGAACTGAACAGCGCCGTGTAGGACACCGAGCGAAGAAGGCAAGAAGCCTGCCCAGAGGCCCTTTAGTCCACGCGTCTCGTATACATGGCGAAGTCCAACGGCCATGGACTTGTATGCGGAAGGATGGTTGGCACCTCGTTCAAGCATGCGGGTCTTGACTACCCAGATGGGATTGGTACAAGCGCCGGTGAGCAGGCCTAGAACAAGCGGTTAGTCCATACTCACGACATACGTAAGAGCCAGACGTACCAGCAATGATGCTTGCAGAGAAGAACTCGGCGCTCCCGAGGTGTTCGCCCTTTTGTCGTCGGCTCTGGAACAACTCTTTCAAGTTTCCGTAGAAAAGAAAATACAGCCCCCATCCAAGGCTGTTACCCAGGAGGTTCGGCCATAACCCCCTATACAGAGCTCTTACACCACCCTCATCCCTGATCACATTCCTTAGGATGCGAAATGAGTCGCCGGGCCGCGATCTGCTGGTAGTATTGAGCTGGAGGCGATTTTTGAGGAGATCGAGTGGATGCGCCGCGAGACAGGAAACAACTCCAGCGCTGAAGCCTGCTATACTTTCGATCACCGATGCGGAGAGGGCGCTTTGCGGCGCACTTGATTGCTTGCTGTGGACATCTTGTTTTACTGGTGGGAATGCGCGGGGCATTGCTGGTTTGAGTGATGGATTTGCGATTTCTCCTAGGACATCTTCGGGTACAGGAGGTGACGCTGAAGGTGCTGGATAAGTAGAATGCAAGATGAAGGCTTCTTATGCTATATCATTGTGTCGACGTAGGTCTTTTACTGTCCTGTCTGCATTGGCGAGTATAGAGGGGAGACGGCGGTGGACTCGGTGAAAGCTTGGGCCCGGCGTCGGAACCAGGGACGTCATCGGCGCATGGCTACCCGTCCCGCCACCCATGCAACCTGCAGCTTGTAGCATGCGATATGCAATCAGGGCTTCCGTGTGAGCTGAGCTAGCATGGCAAGACATCATTCTGTGATTCAACACCTATCGGCACGACGCTTAGGGCCGGGCCGTGGAGAAAACATCACACTTGTCTCTAGACTATCGCAAGACATGTCAAATCCGTAGCATGTTTTTCATTAACGTCGTAACACTACATATACACATATCGTAACTCTCCCAGAGCTCCAATCTTAGATGCCTACCCCAAACTTCTGGTCAGAACAACATGTTGCTGGTGGAGCCTCCGTCTTCTCTTCTCCAAACGCCATTCGACTCAGCTTATCTACAAGCGTATTGCCCTGCCTCACCCCGCTTGGTACGCTGCAGTAACTAGGTGGGATATCCAAGCATGGGTTACGGGTAAAGAAGTTGCGAGGTCGCAGTAGCAGTGTCATCGGCTCAGCCGGCATGATAGGGAAATCCTCTGGAGAAGGGAAATGCGTGATACCAAACGTGTGCCATAGGACAACGTCAGTGTTGTCGAGGTTCTCATTCGGGTTCGCTTCTATCCAGGCTGGAATTCCTTGCGAGGGCTCGCCAGAAGTTTGGGGGACATGGCGTCCTGCTGGGTGAATCTGGCTGTCGTCATCTAGGTAGTACATGTCAGTATCCGCCGCATGTTTTGAGTAAGTTACCATGAAACTTACACTTGGTTACATGTACTGCATGTCTTGCGAAGCCTGCTCTCTTCCATACCAAACTACCAGGCTTCGGTAGCAATTCCGGAACCTCTCTACTGACCAGCTTATAGGAGACTGGCTTCTTGCTGTATGGATTCAGTTTGTTAGTGTTGGCTATTTCCCATGTCCGGCTCGTTGCGCCGTTATAACCTGTCGCTGCTTGCTCAGGGGTACTAAGCTTCGTCTTCTTTGCATAAAAAGCGTTGCCATATTTGTTCTCAGCGCTCCCAACCTCTCCGTCACCTCGTGCCGCATCGACCATAAAGACTGTGTTTTCTGGTCCGTCAATATTAGGATCAATGCGCATGCAGAAAAGATGCTGATGGTTGTGTGCATTAACACCAGGATACACTTCTGTGCCCCAGCCCTTGAGATCCTCGCCAGGAAGCATAGCATACGTATTCAAGATACCCGTGAGCTTGATCTCAAGCTGAATAGTTCCGTCCAGATGGAAGATCCAGTATACACAGTACTCGTAATTTGCAGCAGTGAAGATGTGCGAGATGATCAGCTTGCGCGCTCGGGTTACGGTCACACTGTCGTCGCGGAAATCAGTGTGCTTGAATAGAATACCTGCATCTTCCTCGTGAATGCAGATGGCGTTCTTGATGGTCGTTGACTGGCCGGCGCGATTGACAAACGCAGCATCCATGTAGTGGATCGCTCCCTTGCAGTCACAACCAAGACTCAGAGAGTTCGTCATATAACCACCTCCGTATTCGCCGAGATCGAAGGCATGTTTGCGCTGGTGCGGGTGTTCGGGATTTCCATATGGCACGACCATCTCAGCGAGTGAGAGGCGCCAGAATGTATCACGAACGGTGCCCTTGTCGTTAAATGTGATGTTTGACAAGACTATGCCTTCGCGGTAGTTGAAGCCGATATGCAACTTCCAATTGGCCCAGCTAATGTACCGTCCGTCCATTTTGAAAGAAACTCCTTCGGGTTGTGTGATGTTGATGGGCTTCAGGTCAGTTTTGAACCCACCCTCCGCCTCGATAGCAGAGGCATGGTAATTATTTGGTGGCGCACGGTTAAGCGGCCGCCTGACGGGCGGTACGTCAATGTGAATGATTTCCTGGGTGTCGGAATTGTAGATAGGGCAAAAGTCAAGGGGATAGGTGTATTGACTATCGTCCGGGTGGGGACGGTAGTACATGAGTGCTTGCTGGAGACGGACTTTTGTGCCAAAGCGCTCATCGTAGCCAATGGTCCATGCTAATTTGAATTAGTACGATCTTGCTAATTGAGTCGATGAGAACCTACGATCACAATATACTTTGTGCATGTCTTCTGGCGGAATGCCAATGATGCCGCATTGCTCAATGACCTTGGGATCTTTTCGGACGACTGTCTCCACAATCTGCAGATCTTCCATGGTAATCTGGAGACACAGTTAACACACTGTGCATCGCCAAATCAGTTCGCAGTCTCACCAGTGGTTGCACGTCATCAGTCAATGCCCAGCTAACAATCTTCCCCTCGGTCAAATCCACCTGCCCGTCGAACACTTTGCTACCGCGGCCAATACAAACAACATCAGCAACTCGATGCGGCCGCGGCGTATGGTCAGGGTCCTTGAGCCATTTCATCATCTCCGCTTTGCGGGGCTCCCACAATGTGATGGCGTTGAAGAAGACATCTTTGTGCTCCTTGCGGATGATGGCGACGGCCTGTTCAATCTCCGGTTCGCTGAGGGGGTCGAAAGGATGGGGAGGGGCCCCAATGCCAGTGATATGAGAGGCAGCCTGCTTCAACCTGTCGAGCGACATGACTTGGTGATTTGACGATGCTGTGGGAGTTGTGAACAGTCGGTGTTGCCAACAGCTCCTAGAGCTTTGAGGTCGTTTTATAGCATTTGGTTGGACGGATTGGGCGGGGCAACAAGCAATGCATAGCTCCAAGACGCGCCGATCGAAGCCACCAGCTGCTCGCCAATCGTATCATCTCGCAATCCAGTTCCAAGCATTTAACAGTCAAAGCCAGTGTTCACGATCTCGTTATCGACACGATAAGCAGACACGGCGGGACTGTCGCACCCGTTTTGGTTAGACTGCCCCACTTCTCCACGCACGACGATGTCAAGGTAGTCTGGCTCGCTGCACCGTGTGTATCCCAGCGTCCGTTTTCGGCCACTTGCTCGGTCGTCTTTATCGGATTGCCTGATGAGTCTCGCAAGGTTGTCTTCTGTCACAAGTACGACTCGATACACGAGAGTTGTTCCACCGAATGGCATTGTTGGGACAGGAAAGAATTCCGCGCCGAGTTGCGAGGATTATGTGGCCCGACTATCAAGCCTTCGGAACCAATTCCGCGTACTCCTAGAGCGCAACAGAGTTACAATACAGGGCTCTGTGATTTAAGTGAACTTTTTTCGGATGAAGCGATATATTCCTGGGCCTACTATTTGGGAACACGCACTTGAACTATAAGTTAAGCATACACAAAGTAATCATTGAAGTAGCCCAGACGCCCCGATAGTACCATGTGTCCCCAAACAAAACTTCATTTCCAAATATTCGTCGATTGCTCAACTCTTTATCCATTTTCTCTGCAGACTCTGGCTTAAAAGCCACTTCGACATGGGGCTGGATCAACATAATGGCGTTTGCTAGACTCGAAATCAACGCCCCTTGCACACCGAATAGCACAAAGAATATCAATTTGATCCAAACAATAAGTGTTCTCCTTACTCAAAGGGATGTTTAGGTGACCAAGTTCAAAAGTGGATGCACAGCAAGCTGCACTGGCCCGTTTCGATGACAATGAACAAGGGAACACGAAAAGTCGGAATTTAACACTAACGATAGCAACAGTTTTCTCGGGCAGAACGTCACACGTTTGCGACATCCATAATGCATCCAATGAACATTGTGCTAGTGAACGTTGAGTAACATAGAAGCTCAGCCTCTAACATCTTGACAAGCAGGTTAGCCGATTGGGTACCAACGCCTCACCAGCGACTTACTCTGACATCAAGCTCCGGTCTACCATGAGGAACATAATCGTTGCTACTCAAGGCTTTCGCATGAGTGGACGATTACTAATACATTGCCCGATCATTACCACTGGCTTTGTGCAACAAACAGAGGAAAAACACGATGGCGTAGGTGTTGTCTCGAACCCATGAACCCTACCCCTACTTGAATACTAAGCACTTGTATGAAGACATACTGAAGGGCCAAAATACTACTCTACATTAAGTTAATACGCCACCCAAAGATTGATACTAACGAAGTTAGTTCGGTTGCCAAGGCGAAGCTTAGTACCACGAGATCGTCCTGCGCACACGAGACCAAGACGAAGCCTTTTTAGACGACAAGAGTCACAACACTAAGCAACGTCATCAAAGCTAAGAATGTAAATAATAGTCCTCATATGACCGGGAGAGTGAGCAAGAAAGGTGCGGGGCTGTGAATGATATCGCTTAAGAGTCGTTCAGGCAATACTGGTGTCGCGCCTACGCGTGGCCCTGGAGATCGACCACTGTTTACTGGGTCCACAAGTTCAAATTGATGGATTGCTGCAGAAGCGTAGTGCTGGTAGCCCTGTTGATTGTAATGATGGCTGTTTCGAGTGTCATAGGCGCATCGCAGGATCAAACAGCAAAAGCAAGTCAAAACCAAAAAGCATCCCTTTCTGTCACGAAAACAACCCCTTTCGCAATATTCCAGATTCTTCTCTTGCATTGCATGGGTTGAAGATACCCGAATGAGACATCACTTACACAGCCCTTGTTGGTAGGGATCTGCAGAGCGGGATTCAAAAAGGTCTGAAGTGTTCAAGTTATCCCCGCCCCAGCCGCTCGAATCTCACTGAGCAGCCCCACTAATTCTTTTTGGAGTTTACAAAGAATCAAGACACTAGAGTTATAGCGTAAGTTCTTCTTCTACCAAATCACGGCCGAGGGTATCCAACTGTCTCAGCGGTCATGAGACACCTGAGCCTTACCTGCGTCTCTTTTTGGTGGTTTTAGGAAAGCCGTCAATCACGAAAAAAGCTAAACATGCCTTCCCCAATCCACTTACAGCGCAGAAAGTTGCATGTATGAAGAGATGTAGCCAAGCCATCCACAACTCCGGCCTCGCAGTCCCGTGTCTATAGACATCCGACTTGATTGGCCGTGTAACCTTCACCACTCTATAGATTTGGGAGTGAATCGCCACATCACAAAGAAAGGCAGTCATCAGGACATATACCCCGTAGGACACAGCAGCCGCTACTGCTATTTCAGCTTAAAAGCGTACAGTTCACTCTACGATGCTCGCACCTGAACAACTGCCTAATGTTAGCGGCAATACCCTTCGCTCACAAGCTCAGTCCTTGAACCAACCATATACGCGACAAAAATGTCCATTCGACAACCCAGGCGTCAGCCAAGGGGGAAATAGTCACAGGTTCTGTGGAGTAAATGCGCAGATGCAGCGCCTTCACACCATCTCGTTTTCATCGAAAATGGTCCGAGCAGTAGATAAATATCCCCTCAAGGCCCTCCGTATGGCATTCAGTTAAGGCAAATCTTCTATTGTCTCAAGTCCAGAAACTCGTCTCCTTCTGTCCCGCGTTTGAGAAACATCGTTTATCCCTAACCCATCATGGCGAGAGGATCTTCACTCCTCACCGCGCTGCTAGCGGCCAGTGCCCACGCTTGGATGCCAGAGCACCGAGAACTCGGTGCCTTTAATCGAACAAGTAATTATATCTCAAAACGTGCACACAGCCTTCCTAACTGGAAGGTCCGGGGCGTCAACTTGGGCGGATGGCTGCTCTCAGAGCCATGGATGATGAATGAGGAGTGGAAGACCATGGGCTGCGGCAACACTTGCTCTGAATTCGACTGTGTTCATGCCCTCGGCCAGTCAAGGGCAGATAAAGCATTCAATGATCACTATAGTCGCTGGATTACCCCAAGCATGATCCAGGATATGTATAATGCAGGACTGAACACTATTCGCATCCCAATTGGATACTGGAGCCTCAGGAGCATTGTGAATAGCAGCGAGAAGTTTCCCAAGATGGATTTACAATACTTGGATGCCATTGTTCAAAAAGCTGCCGATCTGGGGATGTTTGTTGTCATGGACCTTCATGGCGCACCAGGAGCTCAGAAGGCCCTGGATGCCTTCACTGGCCAGGTATGCTAATTAAATCCACTTTCTCTGTTTTCCAAGCACTAACACCAACCTCAGTGCCTCCCAGTCTCCAATCTCCCTGGATTCTTCACCCAATACAACTACGACCGCGCCACCAAATGGCTTGAATGGATGACCCGCCGCATCCACACGAAGCCCTCCTACAAATCCGCCATCGGCATCATCGGCGTAGTCAATGAGCCCCAAACCTCCCGCGACCACGGCGGAATGCCAAAAGAAGAACTCGACACCCTAACCCAAGTCTACTACCCCCAAGCCCTCAAAGCCGTCCGCGCTGCGGAGCAAGACCTCTGTATCCCCGAAACCGAGCGTCTCCACGTGCAATTCATGGACACTCTCTGGGGCGCCGGCAACCCGAAATCACACCTCCCGCCCACCGACACGCGCGTCGTCTTCGACGACCACAACTACATCGGCGGCGCCGTCATCGCCAAAAACCCAAACGCCAAACAAGCAGACTACATGTACTACACCTGCTTCGAAGACGACCGGCTCGCCGACAACGACACGCCCAAAATGGTGCAGGAATGGAGCTTGACAGTCAAAAACGAGTATTCCGCAGAGTTCGACTGGAAACTTGCTCAAAACGAGGCGTTTTACAAGCAGTGGTTTGCGGCACAACAACGCTTGTATGAGAGGACGAATGGCTGGATCTTCTGGTCGTGGAGGACGCAGTTGAATGATCCGCGCTGGGACTATAGTTATCTAGTGTGGAAGAAGTGGGTGCCTACTACGGCGGCGGGGCTGGATGCGAGTGCCAAGCAGGATGTGTGTGCGAAGTACTTTGGGAACCAGGGTATGATTGCGAAGACGAAGGTGATGACGTTGCGGAAGGGTGGTTCTACTATTCCGCTTTGAACTTTTATCAGTTCGGCTGGTTATTTTTTTTCTTTTGTTTAAATACCCCCTGTTCCACCCTTTTTCTCTCTTGTAGTCGAGGATGGAGATGAGATTGGTATGGTCTTTTTCTCTCTAGTGTAGAGTATGGCTCGAGGCTTTCGTTCAATGCACAGTACGATGCTTGGCTAGCGTCTTGATGGTAGTAGTCGAGGAGCAAACAAAGTTTCTAGAAAGGCGTGTTGTGTAACTATTCTTACAAAGTGCTTTGTACAACTTCCCCGCAGTCTATTCAACCTCCATGCCAAGTGCCTAAGCAATAACATCCAAATCATGAGACCTGCAAGCGTATGGTAGAGCCAGCTAGTCATCAGCAGAGAAAAAGTGATGACTAGGCATACCCGAAGTACTCCTTTTCGTTTTTGAGATTCAATATCGAGCGAGGTCAGCAGACGCTACCAGCTCGTTGCGAGACTCAAGGAGGGGGTAGTGACTGCCAGCAGCCGGGTGCCGATATTGACCGTAAGTAACAAGGTCAGGAGGCTGTGTACACTAGTTAATGTAACAATGCAGGTGATTAGTGTAGGTTGTTTCGCGGGGAAGAAGATGGTGGGGTAAGCGGTGACTGTTATGCCCGAATCGTAGTATGACAGATTACCTACTGATATCTTGAGCACACTAACGTTGGTGATTTGGAGACACAAGACGGAAATTACGGCCAATAAGGCGACAGGATAGAAAGCTCAATTCAAATCTTTGCAAGGAACAACAAGATACTGTATCTGACAACCAATCCAAGCCATAAAGGCGGTATATCATCCCAAAAACGCCATGTTAGTGCAACCCAAACAAACTCCTAGGGGTAACAACACCAGCCCCGCAACCTAGTGAGCACCGACCGTGAGGCATCATCTCGACCCTAGTATAGTAATTACGAAAGAATAACAGGCCGTGAACAGGCACGATATATCGTGAGTCGTGACTTTCAGAGACTTCGTGAAAGCATAAGCAAAAAGGATCAAGAAGACTGAAAGGAAGAATGACCAGACTAGCTGACGCTCTGCGAGAGAGCGGAAGAGAGATGGGACGCAAATTTGGCGTCAATGCCGTCCTCCTGACCACCTAGGCCAAGGCCTATGCCACTGTCGTCATGGTTCGACTCTTGTTGTGACGGGTTCAAATTGTAATCGTAACTAAAGCTCATGTTATACTGTGATGACTGTTGAGTAAAGCGTCCAGTATTGACTGGTGATCTTACGTTAGTCAACTACCATGTAAGCCTGTGTTGTGAACGAAGAGACTCACCTTCTTGGTTAGATCCAGTATCCTGGATAGTTACATGGCTAGTAGTCGATATGAACGACTGGTCAGCGCCAAAGTCAGCCTCAAGGCTACTATAACGGCTATCGTTGTTACTGCCGCTGCCACCGTTGGTCATGCCCGCGTTGAGATGGTCACCCATCACAGGAGAGTAATTCGAAGACGTCCAGTCTGGCGGCGAGTGGCCCAGGAAACCTCCTATAGATGCCAGCCATTGTGCCATCTCATCCACAAATACCTTGGTGAGCCACCATCCTTGGAAACTGATTCCGTTCTCTACTGTGATTTCTCGTAGCGCTGCGGAACCCAGTGCGCTGATGCAATGCATAATAGTCCGCGCGTGTGCGCCAGGGAAGCGTGAAGGCAGTCGCGTTAGGAATGCTGCGATGCGATCAATGACTGACTCGGATGGATCAGCGGGTGGGTCGGGATATGCTGCTCGATGTATCGTCCCAGAGGGCAACTGGATCTCCTGTGGAAGCGGGCCCAGCATTGACCGGATCTCGGTTGTAAGAATGTTGTACACTTCCTCGTGCGCGCATGAAGCAGGCAACTCGTTCGCAATGATGCGCTTGATATTCACGTGCTGGAGCCAATCGGCGTACATGTGAGTCCGATGGCTCTCCGCTGTAAGCATGACGGCTGCTGCGTGCGCTGCTGAATTGACGCGGAGCATCTGTCGCAGTAGGTGAGCAAACAATGTAGCGGGTTCCAGCTTTGCCTCAAGGACGTGGACTGGTAAGGACATGAACTTGGCAGCAATGTGTGCATGAAGCGTCTTTGCGACATTATCAAGAAACTTCAAAACTGGCGGCGGTGCTACCTGGAGCGTCAGTTGAGAGACGTTCCGAATCATCTTCTGATACATCATCCAGTCACACTCTCTGATCCATGGTGCTAGCTCTGGTGTTGCAAATAACTTCTGCACTGGCACAGTCAAAGTACCATGGAAAGTGCCGAACAAGCGAAAAAACTGTTTCTCCTTGCAGTAACGTACAGAGTCCACTAGTGAGACAACATGTGAGCGGTACATAGCGACTAGGTTGTCAGCAGAGTCGGGGTCGGTACGGGCTGGCAGATATGGCTTGATATCCGGCAATTCGACGACGAACGCATCTGGGGCCTCAAGAATGTCTGGCGTTGGAAACTTGAGCTCGTGTTCGTATGAGGATTTTGTGCGGGACTGTGAGGGTTGGAAATGCGACGAATAGATATCGGTGAATAGCACACCGCGTGATGAGGTTGGAGTATAAAAGGTATTGTGAGACTCTGCCCTTGGTTCTCGGGGGGGAAACTGTGAGTTGTCTGCAGGTAGACGTGGGATGGCGCTGGTTTTCGTTAGTATATGTCCTTCGAAAGGATGCGAGTAGGGCGCATACTCGAGGTTGAGCCTGGGAGTGCCAGAAGTTTGACGCTTCATGGCATGATGCGCAGCAGCACCAGTGCTAGGCCGGCGCGCCTCGTCGCCATCGCTTCCATCGTTGATAAGCTCCAGATCGACATAGTGGTATTTAGACTCTCCACGAACACCGAGACGCCTAGTTTGGATACCGGGAAAGATGACACGAACAAGCTTTCCAAAGGAAGCCGGGTTGAGGGGGATGACGCGATCGGTGCCGCAGCGTTCTGCGTACTTGGAGTAGACGCGGTTGCGTGGGACCGACGTTTTTGCGACGCGACAAACTGACTGCAGCCTGTAGACTGTTAGCATACGAGAAGCCCGAAGGTATCATGGCACTCACCACAGCATGGCGAACAGCTGCTTCGATTTCTCTGATTTGGACGTCCGATCATTCTGGATAACCTCGGCCGCAACGTCCTTCAGGTTACGACCCTCATTCTGGTTCAGCAACTGGCGCAACTCCTTGTCGTTGGTCGCCGCTCCCGAGGTGGAGGCCCTCTTCTTCTTGTCTTCGTTGTCCACCGACGGAGCCATGAAACTGTGTTGCTGCGAATGTTGCGAGTGCTGCGAAAGCTGCGAAAGTTGCGAAAGTTGCGATTGCTGTGGGAGGGGGTTGTGGTAGCCGTGGTGATCTGTTTGCGCAGGCTGCCCATTTGGTTGAGGCTGATTCGTGGTTGAGTCGGCCGGGTAACCGAGGTACTGCTGGACACTTTCCAGGCTCATGTTGATGAGATGATCCTGCGCGCTGACCTGTTGCGCAGCTTGGATTAGTGCAGGCTGCAAAGCTTCACTCGTCGTGAAGGGTGCGTGGTACTGCGGCTGCTGGGGAAATTGGGCGGCCCGAGATTGCTGCGGCTGTTGAAATTGCTCAAACGAATGGACGCTCGTCGTCGACGCGCGTGAGGGCGGGCGGTTACTCCGGGTAGACATTGATGTGTTTGAACGTGGCCGGCGGATATCGGTCATGATATGGGTGCCAGTAGTGGCTGATGGGTTCTCTGTTTACACCAAAACAATGGGACGGCAACGGGGTTAAGGGGGCGACAACACGGTCAGACGGGTACCCAAGGCGAGGGATGAGTCGACAGAGGTATATAAAGGGCGCGTCGAAGCTATAGATGGATGTTGTAGACGTGTAGGCCGGGCTGTGGGTGGGTGTTTCGATGCTACCGGGCTTGTTTGTTGTCGGTCCTGTGACCTGGCCGACACGCGGATGTGTCAGGTAAGATGCCAAAGACGCGAAGGAGATGCTCCAGAAAGAATGGCCAGCTCCAAAAAGCGTCGTCGGCGCTGTCGGTTCCCCTTGGACGGGTTTGTTGTGGGATGGGGTTTTTCGATGTTTACGCTTTTGACTGAACTTGGTCGCACCTGCGGCAACGGACTGGCCGGCGCGCATGGACCAGCAGCATCACATGACCATCGTCATAACACACTATGCAATCCAATCTTGCTATCACTACCGCTACCGTCTCGTCGCCCAGAAGTAGAGATAGGGAAACGCCGTTTGACCCAGTATGCACGTTGCATTGTAAAAACCGCGTCTGGCCTCGATGCAGCATTGCGCGCACGTACTGAACTTGATGCATTTGCTGCGGGTCAAACTGCTGCCATTTGGCTGGCTTGTGAAAGGCGGTGACGTATTTAGCGATGACGAGCCCACTTGCCTCCATCCCACAATCGTTCCGGCTCCGCGTTCCCACTCTTCCTTTCCAAAGAACACCTTTCCAACCTGCTTTCTACTGAGAAATCCCGTCCTCTACACTCCTAATCTCCCTCACTACAAATTTCCGTATACAAATTCCACTCGACATTTAACCACCCTTCACCATGTCTGTCCAAGATAGAGCCCAGGCCCAGCTGTCACAGCTCGACAAGGAGGTAAGCCCCCCGCTCGCTTTAGTTGGATGGCACATTGCCAAAATGCTCCCTCTTTCTCTCCCTGCCCGGCTTGGACGACAAGTTGTGCGGCTCAAAATTCCAAGCAACACATGCTGATGATGATGTGGTGTTCTAGTTGTCCAAATACCCCGCCCTCAACAACTTTGAGAAGCAGACCTCCGTCCCCAAGGCCTACATGGTGCTTGGTCTTGCCGGATTGTACTTCTTTCTCATCTTCTTCAACATTGCCGGGGAGTTTCTTGTCAACGTTGCCGGGTTCATCATCCCGGGCTACTACTCTCTAGACGCCCTCTTCTCCGCAAGCAAGGTCGATGACACTCAGTGGCTGACAGTACGTACCCCGCCACGGTATTTGAAACCGGCTCCCCCCACAACACACGTGACAGTATCCAGGCAGCTAACGCGGCTATTCAGTACTGGGTGACCTTTGCTTTCCTGACCGTTTTTGAGAGCGCTGTCAGTGCCAGCTACTGGTTCCGTGAGTATCCCGAATTGCCTCATACGACGCGCCACTGACTCCAAGCAGCCTTCTACTACACCTTCAAGTTTGTCCTTGTTCTCTGGATGGCTCTGCCCCAGACTGCGTAAGTGACCTTAAGTAGACACTGGAACGCTATCTAACACATCGTAGTGGTGCCCAGCTAGTCTTCCGTTCTTTCATCCAGCCCGTTTTCTCCCGCTACTTCTCGCAGAGTGGCTCCACTGCCGCCGACCTCCGCGCCAAGGTCGATTCCGCCGGCAAGGCTCATGCCTCGTAAAGTCGTCGTAGCCACACCGCCTCTGACAGTCGTATGACCAGGTCAATGCAAGCACGATGATGTCCAGGTAACGCCCTCTGCTGTGCAGGGGCTAGACAGACCGGAATTCTCGGGGCTTGGGGCCGTCGCAGCTTGGAATCGCAGTATGAATGAGAACATGCGGGTACGGGCAATGTTCACAGAGGGGTTAGTATAGGAAGGAAGAGACTGGAATCTTTTTATCCTATAATCACTTGTCCATAGGGTCATGGCTTGGGTAACAGATTGCTTTCTGCAGCACCGGAGTTTGACAAGGTTGCCTCTCAGCAACGATTCGATGTACTAGAAGGGGCCCTGCTCTAGGCAAGCAACAATAACATCTATCCCTTTACATCTTTAAAGCCGCCTCTGTCTGAGAAGACAATGCCCGCTCTCAGAGTGTTGGTTGACGATCAGAAACATAAGGCTCTGGAAAGTATCTCATTGTACAACTGGGAGTTTCCCTACCATGTCAGTTGGCATGTTTGTTGGATACGTCCAACTCATGAATCGCTTTTCTTACTAACAGGCAAAGCCCATCGTAACAAACACCCCGCTGCACATACTTGTCACCATACCTCCCTCCACCCTCTCTTTCTCTCTACATTATGTCTGTAGCGTCTGCAAAAGACCAGCAAAGCAATCGTTTTCTATCTATTCGGGAGTGCTCGGTAGTGCTGAGTTAGATTAAGGATATTAATAACATCACGTGATCTCCTTTACCTCAACGAGCGTAGACTAACGAAATATACGCATGTAAGGCAGTAGCGCCTCGTTCTAAGATAGCCAATTGAACCTAGCTAGAAAACGGAGATAGAAAACTAACAACTAAACAGGCCCTAAAAGACTACTACCCTAAACGCCTAGGAAAGCCGGGATGGAGGTAGTCAGTGCACTCAAATACGCTATATACAGTGAAATTCAATAGTACCGAAAAAATCCCGATGGTCACGGCACGTAGGACATCTAAATTAGGTACTATATGCGCTACCTATCAGTCCTTAGTATAGTGCTAATAAGGATATGGATACCCGAACTCAAGCTATCTACAGCCGAAAAAAGTACCGTAGTCAAATATACGTCATACGAAACATGTTAGCTTACTAAGAAATGAGAAAACATAAACTTTAGAACTCGTAACTAAATCATAGTCTCAGATTAGCATTTTAGTAGCTTGGTCTCTTTAGTTTCTCTGTAAGCTTTAACACTCTTCTCGAGCTAGCAAGGCCTAGCGTAGGTACCTTGAATTAGTAGAATATTCGCTGCACCTGATATAGGAGCTTTTATGGAAAGCTCACAACCCGGCATTGCCCGTCTCCTTCTATGCCTATTTCAACATTTAACATGCTCTTGCGGAGTGGGCCAAGTTTCACTAAAGCATACCGATTTGGTTCTTCCGCCACTACAGTTAATCTATACTACCACATTGACGAAGAGGTGCGGGCCGATTCTACTATCCGAGACGGTGCAAACAACCAGGAAAAGTACTATGCCATACGTCTACCATGATATGTTTCTAGAACGGACGAAAGCTCGATCAGTGATGCAGTATAAATACACGACGACATGAGAGGAATCTAATATTGTAGTACATCAACATTCTCTCATCTACTTAAACATCAAAATGGCCATTCGTCACATCTTTATAGCAGCCAGCCTTGCGCTTGCCTTCGCCAAAACAAATGCTGAGAATCCGGCTTCAGGAAAATACGGATACACGACCGCCTATGATTACATCATTGTAGGTGGAGGAGCTTCTGAAATCATCGCAGCTTAAAGATTCGTAGAACGAGGGTCATCTGTACTTCTTCTTGAGCGAGGCGGTCCTTCTTTCTTTTCATCAGGCGGCACTTCCACCTTTCCGTGAAATAATACTGTCACTCCTTTCGATATCCCAAGCTTGGGAGCTTCACTCGAAAATTACCCCGACCTTAAGGCGCTTTGCGACGATACTCCCGACCTGTCGGGCTGTGTTTTGGGTGGTAGTACAGTTATCAATAGCATGAACTACATAAACCCGTCGCGCGACGACTTCGATGCGGTTTGGCCGAAAGGATGGCAATGGGACGATATTCAAGCCTCAGCTGCGAAACTTTACAAGCGAAACCCAGGAATCATTAACCCATCCGTAGATGGCCGTTGCTACGACTCCATTGTGTATGATGTTCTATCCAAAGAGCTTGCTCAGGCAGGTTACAACTCGGTTAACACCGTCACGAATCCGAACGACAAGAAGAGAATCTACGGACACAGCGCCGTTAACGTTATGAATGGACTTCGTTCTGGCCCCGTACGCACATACTTGCCCTTGGCGTAAGGCAAGCCGAACTTCAAACTTGATTTACACACAAAAGTTATCCGCGCGGTCCGCAAGAATTCAACAGTCACTGGCGTCGAAGTTATGGACAAGAGCAATCAGCGAAGGATCATTAACATTAAGAAGGGCGGTAAAATCATTTTTTGCTACAGGCACCATGTCCACACCTCGCCTTCTCTTCAATTCCGGTATTGGCCCTGTTGAACAAATCAACATTACAAAGGCAGCCAATGTCACAAGATCATGGTCCAAACCCATTGCTTCTCGAGAAGGAACAACCAGATCGATATCGTCTACCAGGTTACATTTGGAACCATAACAGTAGGCAGCATGGGCATGAATGCCGCCGGAAAAGCCATCTACACCAAGAGTGCCCTACTGCAGACCGCTGCAGACAAAGAAGCCCTTACCATTGAACTTGACAACTGGCTTGCCATGAGTCGTACTCCAGGATCCCGACTAGTATACTCTGGCGGGGCAAACACCAATGGCGCAGAGATCATTAAGACGAACGGAATTGGCACCGGATACCATCTCACTAGCTCTACAATCATGGGTACTGACAACGGCACCAAGGGTGGAAAGAGCGTCGTTGATACAAACTACAAAGTGTACGGTATCGATAACTTGTTTGTGGTTGATCTTAGAATCCACCCCAAGGTTCCGAGCGGAGACACCATGGTCATCACTATGATTGCGACTGAACATGCGGTTACGAAGATTCTTGAGCTTGGAAATAAGGGCTGGTAGATTTGGCGAGGAAAGTAGAGGTGGAATTCGTGTTATATAGTTATCGCAGTATTCAGGATCAGGCTGATATGGATTAGCCTGATCCGTCCGCTCTTTTGATGAATTATATGTATATATCTGCTTGGAGGAAAGAAGAAGCTATGTTAGTTTTACTCTTACAAATCAATTTGTGAATTACTAGGAATGCACAACATAACACTTTGTTCGTACTTTCCGTGCTATCTAGAAAGAATTTTACAGTCTTACTAATGGTTCCTTGTTGAAAAGTCATTGAGATGGCTTCGGAGGGAGACTTTAGCGCGAGCTTTGTCGTCTGTGTAATATATTCCTGCAGTATCATGGTTTTATATCTTGCCACATGATCCTTGGCTAGGAACTGTGATATCTAGAACAGATCGAACGAACTTTTTGGGTAAATAATGAGAGTATTCATTTTCGCCAAGAGGACTTCAGCCGGTAGGCGCCCTGGGGTACTTGATTCAATATTGACCACCATCCCTGTTGCTTCTGCGGACAGTGAGGTTCCCAGTGACCGAGTTTTTCGCCTGCCATCGATAATCAGTATCACTGCAAGCGTAAAGGGAAGGGAGGAATGATATTTGAAACATTTGTCTTCACGTCCTCTTCTTAGCTTGCTTGGACATTGGGCCGCCCAATGCCCAAGTTCCCCACCTGCGAATATCAGCAATCAATAAGACCATTTGATTACAACATATACTGCGAAACTCACAATGAAAACAGGCATTGTTGCAATCCCTCTTCCAATGCCCTATCTTTCCACATTTGTGGCATTTTCCCTTGCACTTCTGCGTGTCATGGCCCAATCTCCCACAGACAAAACATTCGTCTTCGCAATCTCTTGCCAAGTGCCCTAATTCACCGCATGTCCAACATGCATCCGGGCAGTCGACTGTTGAATGACCTATGTCGCCACATGCATCGCACTCGTTCGGACAATCTTTGGCATAGTGGCCGACTTCATCGCATGTCCAGCATCTGTTTGGACAGTCATCAGATTTGTGGTAGAGTTCGCCGCAGGCCCAGCACTCATTCGGACACTTTGATAGGGTGTGGCCTAGCTCGCCCCAAATGGTACAGTAAAATCGTGAGATATCTGTGGCGGGCACTTTTGGAGACGTTGTTGCTTGATGCCCAGTTCCAGTATTTGCCACGGAGTCCTAGATTTCGTTCTTCTCCATGACTCTTTTTTTCTTTTTGTCACTATTAACAACATCCATTGAGATTCCTTGACTCCCTTTATCTGAAGACGTCCCTCTATCCGAAGATGTCCTTGTATCTGAGTACATCTCTATATCTGAAGACCCTCCATCGGCGGTTAGATCAGCGTCTATTGATTCCATAGCGAAATCACCCTCCTTTTCTTGCCATGTTTCTTTGTCTTTAGATTTCTCCTCTTCATTGCACTCCTCCGGGTTGCTACTTTCGACTACATGCAAACAGTCGTTGCAGAAAAGTCTGATATCGGAATCATATGACAAATCGCTAAACTTGGTCAACCGATGAACAACAATGTTTGCATCCACGCGCTTCAATTGATCCGGGTCCAGCATGTCATGGCAAAGAGAAAATAGACCTTTCCTCGCTCCTCCAGTCACGCTAGCCTGAGACAGCAGTGGTCGAACTTCTTCCAGCTTTGCAAAGTAAGGCCGATCATCCATATGCCTCAAGCCAACCTCCGGCTCAAGTGCATCTAGAATTTCCAGGTAAACACAGCCCAGAGAGTAAACATCCCATTTGCGGTTCCGGTTAGCCCAGTCTTTTACCTCTGGAGCACAATAACGCCGAGTGAAAAGGACTGGGCAACCGACTGTAGTGGTGTCGTGTTGATCTGCGTCAAAAGATATACCAAAATCCGTATATAGGACGCGACCTTCGTGCACCATAATGTTCTGTGGTTTAATATCCTTATGCCTGATGGTGTGTTTGTGTATGAATGCAAGACCGTCTGCCAAACACCCAAATGCGCGATTTAAGATGATCTCTTGTTCACTCAGCAGCCCAGACTCCAGGACTCTGGTAATATATGCTGCCAGATCACCGCCGTCCGCCACTGGTCTCAGCAAAATGAAAAGTTCTCGGTCGCAAATATACGATCCGCGTAACTGTATTATGTGCAGATGTGAGGACAGGCGTCTCATAATGCTAATTTCATTTATGAACACGCGTTTCACGCCTTCAAACTGTCGCCGGTTGTATCGTCGGAAGGTTTTCAGTGCAAATATCTGATTTGTGAATGCATGGGAAACCATTTTGATGACTGCACTGCCATCCTGACCAATTTTTCTGATGTGTTTGAAGGGCATTGCTTCCCGACTTGCAACTTCGATAGGCTGACCAAGGGTAGATGGATCACTTGTGGGATCGCATGGCCCCGCACTGTCTGAACATGTATATTTTGGCGACAAAAGTTACAGCATAATATTTTAGCACGATAAACTTACCAGTCATGTCGAAGTGGGACATGTTTGTAGGCTGAGAAATGATGCTGCTGCCTGAGGAGCTAGATAAGACTGCCTCTGAGTTTGTGGTAGATCACGTGTGCATACATATTTGATTAACGCTCTGAACGGAATCAAGCGAGAAGACGATTACTACGTGTGACGCTCTGGTTTTCGATATCGAGAAATTGAAATGATAAAGTGCTAGGCAACACTCGAAAACAAGACGATTGTAGGCTGCACACAAGGCTGATAGTACTCTGGGCGGCTAGCCGCAATTGGTAAGCGGTTTTTATTGGTGGTTGTCAACTGCGGAACGCGCAACTCGACATTACTAACCCAATCTTTTGTTCATCACCTCATGCTCGATCCTCTCATGTTACACTTGCATACATATGGACTAAAGTCGTGTGAGGAAGCTTATACCGTAGTGACGCGTGGATGTCTCGCAGCATTCCTATCACATCACCATGCGCCGTTATGCAGAGACAACGATACTCCAACATGGCCTTCTAGGACCACTGGGATGCTATACCGCCCCGAAGACTGGTTACACAAGTCTGCATAGCTGCCCGACACCAAGGCAAAGTGCCCAAGGTGATAGCAGGCTGAGACTGTTTGATCCAATAGAAAACGCCACAATTTATAAGCGAGTTGGTCCTCCAGCATACTGCTCCCTATACTTTGACACTGCAAACGCGTGTGGGTAGGTCTCGCATAGTGTGGCACTACTTGGACCAGTTACGAGTATGAACGTTGCAAGCAATGGGATCTAGACACCGTCTCCATTAAGAGAACACTCGTTCACCCCGACCAGGACGCCGTCTATACGAGCTCGAATCCGCTTGACCAGATTGGGACTCCGTGATATCGTCCAATCCTTCTCCGGACATCTGACGGATGCCTGGGAATCACCTTGTTTATGCGGGCATATCAGCCATTGTTCACTCGCCACTCTACCTTACAATCCCAAGTTTACTTTCAGGCATTGCTGGCCGGCCTTTCTGTATGACATGTAATTTCATGTATCCAACTACGACTGCCTATACCAAGAAGCAAGAAAATACAAAAGCGTAGACTTGTAGGACTCAGGCTACTGCTTGAACGCTGATAAGGAGTGTGCAAGTCAGAAGGAGTCTGGAATAGTAGCCTGTGTGATCGAGTATGTACTCACGAGTAACCGCCATTGTTGAGTCTAACGGCGAGTTTAGGCGGTACACTAGTCATGGACCTCATCGATCGAGAGTATCCAACAAGCGACGACAAGCCTCCATGGTATGGTATGGTATTCAAACAGTCAGTATATTCTGATGCCATGCTCGAAAGTCTCAAGAGGCGGTATCCGCAAGGTGCGAATCTGCGAGAGAGGAAGCATATGGCTGCTATTGAGTTCCTACAACAAGAACTCGAGAACATGCAAGCGAGTGAAGCAGCTTTGATACGTAAAACCCATACAACGAACTCGATGCCTGATGTAGCATCACACGATAGTGGACACCAGAAAGCCGGTTCACCGCCCTATTCGCCAACCGCTCAACTGTCACATCCGAATATCACAGATGGATACCATGGTAGAAGAAGTCCTACAAATAATGTGTTCTTGGAACAACCTCCAACTATTTTGAGCAATACTTCTGGACAAGAGATTGTTTTCAGTATTGCAAACAGGCCCGTAGTGCAGCGCCAAAGAAGAAAGAAAATGACCGCGTCAGAGAAGATCTCCTACAAGCAGATGAGGAAAATTGGCGCTTGTGATAGTTGTAAACGTCAGAAGGCAAAAGTAGACAGCCTGATTTCCTTATAAACAAGACTGAGGTGCGCAAAGCTGATACGAGGCAGTGCAGGCACATTGGTGGTGAAAGAGGCAGATACAGAAATTCTCGAGGCTCCAGTAGCTCGCCACAAAGGTCAGTGACCTCGGGAATTGTTGAACATATCTCATATAGTATTTCAGAGATACTCGACCAATTTCCGACTCAACAACACTAAGTGTTAATGCAACGAACGAGCACAAACCGCATACCCAAGCTCCGCAACACTCGCGAGAATTGTCTTATGAACTCAAACCCTCTCTTCAAACAATGTCGATAGCAACGCCTATCACTGTATCGGGGAGCCCAAGTCCACATTGGGTCCAAGATATGCAAGAGATTGCACAGTCGGAGTTGTCTGGGTACGTACCTGCTTCAACTACTTCAAAGCCTTACAGTATATATTCAGACGCTACGTTTGAGAGCACTATTGATCCGCAACTTCTGGATATGAACTACCGGGACCCGGCTGTCTTCACCGAAGCAAATGGCGCCTTTCCTATGTCTTTGACCCCTGGAACCACACCCTCTGGCAGTTTCTACTCCAAGAAAACCTCCTCGGATTTTTGCAGCCCAGTTCAAGGAAATGACCAGGATATAGCTACCCCAAGCCAACCAAATCCCTCTTTTTACATTAATCCATGAATTTAAAATGGCATCATATTCACACATCTATCCCTGGTATATATTCCATAGGGCCAGAACTACATCTGGACATGTCTTGTAATATTATCCGGAAGTCTCAAAGCCTAATGTTGGAATGAAACCGTGGATTGAGCGACCTCCAGGCCCTTTTTTCAGAAACATCCAGGGATATTTGTAACTCTTTGTCCTTCTGCTAGTGTTTTCTCGTACGCTTTCCGTATGCTGCACTAGGAGAATTTGCCACTTGTTCCGTACCCACAGCATTGGGATGTCCTCATCTACCAGTTACCCTGGATCGGTCGTAATCTCGTCACCTGCACATATCTAACACGGGCTTCCAACATGCAGACATGAGGATAGACTAGGGTGTGCAAACGGTGCTCAGCAGCAGTAGCAAAGTAAGTCTTTCCTCCTCACCTATTCCCCCTGCCCAATGCTACACGGTGACATCAAGGGTACGTTGGTAGTACTAAGAAGATTTCAAGGCTCCTGAACGAAACCCTATATCACGCATAACTTCTTTCTTTTCCTTTCATGGCCTTGCTATGGGCCATGCAATGTTTTTGTCACTGTACTGCTCAAGTTTTCTTCTTTTCTTTGCTGACTGAATTGCTCCCACTTTTAGTAGTGTCTCGCACTACTAAGGCATGGCAATTTAATCCCTCACATGGCTGGCCAAAAATCCCCACTACGATACACTGGCCACATTATATCACAACGCCTTGAATATTCTTTGTGGATCATCCTGCATTCGGTTCTCTTTTTTCCCTCGTTTTCTTCTTTTCTTTAGGCCAACCTTTTGGTATACATTTCGTTCTAAGATCCACATGGGTATCGTAAAATGTACGGTTTTCTAACACGCCACTGAAATAGAGCGCCATCACCGACCAGTTCTATCAAGCGAGAACCATCGTTGCCGATTAGTACGACCATGTCGATTCCTTCCACCGTACAGACAGGCACGACAACATCAAACGCGGCATCCATGCCATGAAACGAACCTTACGACACGCTCTTCTTCATCGAAATCTACGACAAGACACATGGCTTTACGACTTGATATTTATCCTGGTTAGACTGGTACACTGATTTGTGAGGGTGACAGGCAGCCATAGGCACGTGGTTGAGACTGAATTTGGATTGACGGGTGGGCTGAGAGAGAGATGCAACCGTTTGGAATTATGTTATGCATTCAATATTTTCCTCTATAAAGAATATGTTCTTCTTTCATAGGTCTTCGGTAGACAAAGAACGATAACTGATCTTCTGCATCGTGATCGTGTGTACATGTTATTGGGATTACAGAAAGACGAAGACGATAAGCGGAAGAGGCGCGCTGGGACTGGCCCGGACAGGCAATGAACCTCGAACTAAGTCACAACGTGAACAGTTAGCCAAGCACGGATAGGATGTAGGTTTATCATTATTATTACATTCGTACTTGGATAAGTACACCTAGCTTATCCAATGGTCGCCTTCTTTTACAATGCTATACCGGCCACTCTCCCTTTGGTTGCGAAAGAGAGAAACACTAGCACCTATCGGTTTCTGTGCGTGCATTCCACTGGGTGCAAAAGCAAGTAGGCTCTGATCGAGACGAGAAATGTCAGCACTAAAGCCGGCCAATACTACAACATTACTAATAATAATTAACTTCTCTTCGACTTACCCTCTGAAGACTGTGTAAAGGAAGAAGTTGTTGCCAGAAGGATCCTGACCAAGTAGGTTTCAGCATGCGGCTTTGCACTCATTTTGGCTATTTTGCTGCACACAGTACTGGTTGCTCTTGTATGCAACACAGCCTGCAGCGCCCTTAGCGAGACATCCACTGTGGACTGCGTAGCAGCACGAGCCTGGAACTGCCACCTGGCGCGCTACTGCGGTTGAGAGGACAACCAGAGTGGCGAGGAAAGTAAGCTTTGCTATTGTAGATAAGATTGGATGTTCGTTCTTGATTTCGAGTGATGGCGTGTCGGTTTTCGTGTCTGGAACGGCGTGACGGTCGTGAATAGTTGGATTTAGTGAGGAGGTGGAACTGTGCTGGCTGTTGATTGGAAGTGCAGGTGCGTACACTTATACTATAAATGTTCTATTCACATGATAGCGGGCTAGGTAAGCCTTTTGGGATATTTGTTGGCATCCAGGCACAAGCATTCAAGACGGATACGAGCTGGAAAAGAAGGTCAATGTTCGTAAACAAGAAAATCACGACTTTGGTGGGAAGCAGGATGAGAGTAACTAACGTGCTACATGAATAAAGTGGGAGTTGATCCACTTAGCAGTTACTCGAGGTTATTCCTTAAGCCTATGTCGAGATTCTTGTGAACTAGGAGTAAACTGGATTAAGTAAATTTGAAGCCAGCAACTATGGCTCCACTATAGATACCATCAACTGTATAAAAAATAATACCCATCAGCCTAGTGACTTGTGATGTTGTCTTGCTAATAGCAGACGACTTCAACGCTCAAACCAAGGAGCAGGTATAAGGATCAGTGTAAGGAGCTATGAGGAGTAACAAGCTAGCTAAGTCATAGGCTAGTTGATAGCCTGTATTAGCAAAGGAAGGTGCAGCGCTAAGAAGAGTTGCGCCGAAAGCGGAGATTAGCATGAGACAAAACTTTTGAAAGGCAACCCCATATCTTGGTAGTGTTTCGGTGTTTTGTTTCATACAAGGTCTGGCCAGAGGACTCTCTCCCATTAATCACCTAATAAGCATCAGTAGCTCGACATGCACGGAGTCGTGTCGGTCAGATTCTTTCTTAAGGAAATGTCAATGCTTAAGTGAAGTGTCGGTGTGGTCACAATTCGTATTCGAATACGTGATATATCGTAGCGGACCCAATGAAAGTAAAGTAGCTCGTTGCGATCTGCTATAATCATGTTCTGCAACCCCACAACACTTTGCAAGATAGAGAAGCCAAATTTCCTTCCTCTGCAAGATCCTCTCGCAACACGTTGAAGATGCTATTTGCTCTGGCGGGCCTTTTAAGCAGGAAGAGGAGTTGAAGGAGAAGATATACAAACAAGTATGAGGCGATAAAGGTGGATGAGAGAAGACATGTGTTGATATTGCTGGTGGGTTCAGCCTTCAAGGAGTCGAAATCTTTGCCACTATTGTTTAAAGGGTATTGAGAGTAGTAGGATTTAAGAAGGCCCGGCTAATATAAAACCTTAAGTTCATATATCAAACGTGTAGTGCTTGTCTTAAGTAGGTGATTGAAGACAGGGACTAGACGTCAGAGAACTAAAGGAATATTATCTAGACAGACGAGACGTTCGTAGTTATTGACTACTAGCTTAGGGGCTGTATGGTTTAGAGGATGTAAAGTGTTTTGTAAACAAGCACAAAATACACCAGTCAGAGTAAATTGAGACGAATTCTTAGAGAGTTTCCCAATGCTCAGATAGGACTTCATACTCTATACACGTGACTGTAGCTTCACTAGCCCGAGAGGTACCCGATGGATGGCCGAGAGTTTGCCTTCCGAGTAGGCCTCGGCCCAGAGTATCGTGACACGGCCTTCCCCACACGCGACGCCCGATCCACCCGCAAACACACGGGCGGCGTCGCCCTTGGTCAACTCACATCATGATACAGAGCACGCGTCGCTGGTTCAGGCGCAATCGCACAAACTTTGCCATCGGTGCCGGAGTGCTCGGAGCTGGTTATCTGGCAGGGCAGTATGTCCTGGGCAAGCTCGGAGAGGCGAGACAGCGCATGAGCGATGATCGCATCGCAAAGGAGAAGTGCGCCATCACGTCGTGACATCGAGAGGAGCTGCTAACCATACTACAGCCTGCGCCGTCGCTTTGAGCAGAACCAGGAAGACTGCACTTTTACCGTCCTCGCCATCCTTCCTACTGCGACGGAGAACATACTCGAGGCCATTCCCGTCGAGCAAGTCTTGGAAGAGCTGCAAAAGCAAAAAGCAGAGCGATTGGCAAGAAGCGTTGGCCCCAGTGAGATTGCGAGCTCAGCACCACCAAGCGTCGCAGACACTGCCGACGATGACGCCAAAAGCTCCAGCCTACAGACGGATAGCTTCATCCACGCCAGCCAGATCGCTACAGGAGACCATGACGCCGCCGGTCCGGCTGAGGGCGGATTCGAGGCTAGCGCCGAGAAGAAGCCCAAAAAGACAAAGGCGCAGCTGTGGAATGAGATGAAGATTAGTTGTACGTGCCTTTCTCGCGACACGGATATGATGCATATGCTAATCTGACCAGCCATAACCCGAGCCTTTACCCTTCTCTACACCCTCTGCCTACTCACCCTTCTTACGCGAATCCAATTGAACCTTCTTGGCCGTCGCAACTACCTTGCCTCGGTTGTTTCTCTTGCTGCACCACAGCCAACCGCTGAGGGCTCGCACATCAACCTCGAGAACCACGACGACGACAATTTTGAACAGGCCTACGGCAACGACTTTGAGACAAACCGGAGGTACCTTAGTTTGAGCTGGTGGCTACTCCACAAGGGATGCTTGGATCTGATTGAAAAAGTGAGGACTGCAGTCCAGGAAGTCTTTGGTCTCCTCAACCCGAGGGAAGAGATCACCTTGGAGAAGCTGTCGGAGCTTACTCTGGAGGTCCGCAAGAGAGTCGAAGGTGCGACTGAGGAAGAGCGAAGGTATGCTGCCCGATTTTCCCATTCAAAACTTCAACTAACAATCAATAGGACATGCAAATGGCTTGCCTTTCTCCTCCCACCCCAAGACCAGGAGGACTACGTTCTGCGCGAATCAGGCATGACTTCATCCTCCGAATCCATCTCACCTACCACGGCTACTTCTCTTCGCCGCCTTATTGATGAGACTTCTGATTTGATCGACTCACCTGCCTTCACCCATGTGCTCACTCAACTTCTTGACGCTGCCTTTTCTCATCTCGTTGACGACAAAATTTCTCTCCTCTCATACAAGATCCCGCCCATTTCCGACAATCACGCTCGCGTAACAGAGATTGTCGGCGGCGACGTAAAGGCCAAGGTTGCCAACAGTCTTGCCGTCTTCTGTCGACAAGCACACAGCATTGGCAGCGGGGCAAACAACGAGTATTTGGCCGCTATCGAATCTGTAGGTGGCTTGGAGGCATTTGCAGCCGTGGTGTACTCGAGCAATTTTGAGTACGAGAGCCCGGAGGCAGTGACTTCTTACCAGCCTCCTGCGGCAGAAGAGCAACTGCCCAAGGCGACTCCCGCCAATGATGCAGCTGTCCAGAACAATGTGGCCAATGGTAGTAGTGAGAGGGCAGATGATCCTTTTGAGAGCGCCTGGGGCAAGGCGCTTGCCAAAGAAGACGGGCAGCAGTATTAATTAGGCGTGTACGATACAGAACCCGGTCATAGCCAACGTGAGATTTTCAAGATACCCGTAGTTTGAAACTATATCACCACATGTTTGCGTTCTTCTCTATGCCCACACGCATCTACCCATCTATCTATTTCCGACCAGTGCATTGCCTGTACCACCATGTTCCGAACACACACGTCGTTGGTTCCGGCTCTCGGAACATGAGTCGTGACGTCAGCGCATGTGTGGTGGGACAAGCGAACTGTAGTGGTATGTACCTCGATCTCTGTTCACTTTTCTACTATCCAATTGCAGGTCGCTCAAAGGCTCTTCGGTGTAACTCAAACTACTGCTTTTTAAAATGGCGGACAAATCTAGACACGGTAGTCCACCTTCCAAAAATGCCTATGCAACCCTCCTCACACGGCCATCCTACCTTGCGGGTGCCATTCTTCTCGCCTACACACTTCACAAGCATTCGCCATCCACGCCCCTGATTATATGCTACACCCCAGATACCCTTCCAGAATCATCAGTCACTGCCTTTGCCGCCGAAGCCAAACACTCTAACATAATCCTCCAACCCGTCGAGCACCTCCGCCTCCCTGAAGATGGCACCGCCCACGGCATGGTCGCCGAGCGCTTCATCGACACATGGACCAAGCTCCGCGTCTTCGACCTATGGGAGATGCCCCAAAAATGGGAGCGCCTCTGCTGGCTCGACGCCGACATGATGATCTTCTCCGACCCCTCCCCCTTGGTCTTCAACGCGCAAAACGACGAGTACCTAACTGGGGGAGATGGAATTAGGACAATGGCCGTACACACCTGCGTGTGCAATCTCGACCACGATGTCTGGGCGCCCGCAGAATGGACCAAGGAGAACTGCGCCATGACGCCCCTTTCCTCACCCGATCAACTAGCTGAGGTTAAATCTGAACCCTACACCCTCAGCAACTTCAACTCTGGCACTTTTCTGTACCGCCCGTCCAAGCAGCTTGCAGACTTTGTGAAGCAGAAATTTGAAGAGCTAGGCAATGCCCGGCTCCGCGCTATGAAGTTTCCAGACCAAGATTTCCTAAACGAAGCGTTTGACAGGCGCTGGTCTCCACTTTCGTGGCGCACGAATGCGCTCAAGACGTGGCGGTATTGGCATAGAAATATCTGGACCGACGACTCGTATGTTGCTGTCTTACACTATATTGTGGATAAGCCGTGGGCTGCGCGCAACAATCCGGATGGTAGCGCGGGGTATCTGGGCAAAGATGGGGAGACACATAAGTGGTGGTGGGATGAGTTTGAGGTTTGGCGCAGAGAAAGAGAGGAGCAGGGGGAGAAGGAGTTGTTGGGAGTTGTGGAGAAGTATGTTGCGAGTAAGGATGGGGCGGTGAATGAAGAGATGAAGGCAATTGGGGGTGGGGCCCAGGATTTTGCGAAGAAGTGGGATAAGAAGGAGAAGGAAGATGAGAAGGAGAATGAGGGTCGTGGAGGTAAAGAGGGTGGTGGGCTGAAGTTGTCGGATGATGCGCAGAAAAAGGCAGATGACTATGGGCAAGGGTCTCATGGTCCTATACTTAGGAAACCGATGTTGGGGGAGAGGGGACATGGACCTGTTGTTCATGGATGTTAATGTAGAGTGAGGTGTATGACTTGACTTTTTTTAAACCTCTGTTCGCTATACAGCGTATCAGATCAAGTATCTCAGAAAAGACACAGCAGGCCATACCCCAACCTGCCAGAATCGGGTATCAAAAAAATTGACTTTGCAGTCAAAGTAAAAGGATTCGGGTGAGCATTTACGTCAGCGAGACCTTGCTCTCGAACCCTGGAAAAATGGTTTGGTAATACTACCAAAAATATGTACACATGTCAACGAGTATATGCCCATTGGGCACACCGTAGAGTGAGGTGTATATATGTTATGTAATCCTTGAATAGTAGAACTGAGCTCGCAGCCTGTCCTCTCATTCCCTCCAGAGTCGTGTCCCGTTGATCATGCAGTTAGAAATACCCGTTCAACCAATCGCATATACCCACTTTTGTGATCCCCTGACCCCCCTCTCAACTTTCTCTCTAGCAATCCACCTACAAAAGAGCAATTAGATCAGCTTCCTCATGCTTCTTCTCGCCCGTCTTCATGGCAACTTCAACTTCCATCATCCCAACCCTAGTCCCCATACTAAACAAATTCCCCTCCGCCGTCGGATCCAGCAACTCCTGCACCTCAGTACTAGCCCCCTTACGCAGAGAACTCAGCGCAGCCTGCGCCTGGAAACAAGTTCGATACCCCTCCAGATACGCTCGTTTCTTCTCTTCCCTGTCAGCTTCTTTGCGTCCTTCCTCTTTACCTGCGTCAAAGCCGCGTTGGAAGCGGATCTCAGCTAGAACTTCTGATTCAGCGCTGGAAACGTGGCTAGCGGCGAATTCGGCCTCGAGGGATTGACGAAGGAGGGTCTTGTACTGTTGCTCGCGTTTGGCCTGGGCGGCAGCGCGGAGGGTGAGGGTTTGGCGCTCGATAGCCATACGGGACTCGAGGGCTGCAATGTGGGACTTTTTATCGAGCTGCATTTTCTCGTGAAGGTGGATGTAGTGGGCGGCGGACAGGGTGGAGTTGCCGGTCTGGTCGAGCTTGGTCATGAGGTGCTTCTGACCGGCGGCAAGGAAGACTTCTTGTTGGGAGATTTTCTTCTCGCGGATGTCGAGGGAGCGTTGGTGAGCGGCTGCACGGGATTGGAGGGCGAGGGCTTCGGTTTGCTCGTGGAGGAGTGTGGTGAGCATAGTAGAGAAGGCGGCTTCGAGGTGCTCGTGCTGGGCGTCTTGGATGGTCCTGTGCAGATTGGCGTTCTTGGTGCGCTCCTGCTCGAGCTCTTGTTTGGCTTTGAGGAGCTGCGCGTTGAGTCGGACCATTTGCTCTGATGGGATGTTGTCGCTGTGAGAGCTGTGGTGGGTGTTGTTGTAGCGTAGGTTATCACGGAAACGAGGGACGTTGTTTGATGGCAGTATCTGCTAGATTCAGTAAATCATGGGCTAAGTGAAAGGTGAAGATAATAACTTACTCTGGAACTCAGGGTCTCAGCACAGCGAGCGAATGAGGACGGAACGTCAGGACGCATATGCGGTGGTACGCTGTAGCCTGACTTGGACGTCCCTGCCGGTTCATGAGTGGCTCTTGATTGCGTTTGATGAAAAATGACCTCTTTTTTGGTGATGGCAACTTCTTCCCTGATTTCATATTCCAGGTCAAGCGATGGTTGTGGCACCGTTCTGGGTGATTCGGACTCTGCAGTAGCGCTTGTCACTGCCGTACCTTTGACTCGATGGCTCTGCTCCTTGTTCTTACCATGCCCTGTGTTTTCAGTTCCATCAAAGGCCTTCTCAGAGCATTGTTCTGCGCTGGAATTGGTCGCAGTAGTCTCGACCTCTGCCAGTGACTTGGGCGAAGTGAATTGTGATGCCAGAACCCGGGCGTCGACATCGCCCAAGTCCGCCTTGTCAGATCCGTCAATGTCATTCCTATCACTACTCACTTCGACTTCTTGAAAGGCTTGAGAGGGAGGGGAGCTCTCCAAATCTGGAGTGTGTTCATCGCTGGGGAGCCTACCATAGATGTGTTTTCCGTGGCTGCAGAAGCAGCGATCCCATCGTACGCGTCGACGCTGGAGTCAGTGGTTTCATTAGAAGCAGTCATCTTGAGGACGTAGGAAAGAAGGTTCTGTTGTCGGCAGTGTGAGGAGAAAGTTGTCGGAGGAAGTTTTGGAAGTTTATATAGAGACCGGCAGCCACTAGTAAGTTAAGGTGAATACGGAAGAGTAAAGGCAAAACCAAATGACCTTGAATAAAGTGTGGGATTTGCAAGTGATGGGCAGTCCTGGGATAGAAGAGTGCCTAAGGTAAAAGAAAGCGAGCTGAAATATAGATACAAGACGCATTCACCGCGAGTAAGCAAAAGAAAGTGAGAGTGTCGAAATTGAATGTGAATACTTATCGAGGCGCAAGAGCACGGGTGAAAGCCGCAATTAGACTTGTATCCTATCGCGCAAGTGAGAGTAGTGCATATACGTTGGAGAATAGAGGTAAGACTGTGGTAAAGTTAACGTATGTTGGACTTAGGCATGTGATCCGAATAACTCGCAAATATTCAGCAGCGTTATGTAACCAAAGATATTGGCTTAGGTATACCTTTCAAAGTAGCTTAACTTTCTTTCGGCAGGAAGACAGCATTTTATGGTAGGTGTAATTGCTATCTGTTAAGCATGCCGCCACCTAGCAATTATATAATGTAAAGCCAGGCCGACCGCTACATAGTTTTGCATGCAGCATGCCATCCACATGTAATGCGAATCGCGTCTTATTGCCAATCATCAAAACTCAGTGCTCAGTGATGACTTCAAAACACACTCCAGCTTGCTCAAAAGCATACATAAGCTGTCCTTGTCCATAGATTTCGCTGCTTCCTACAACAGTGATTTCCGACAAGTTTGGTAAGGACGCCTTGCAGGCCTCAAGTAAATCCCATAGATCTTTCTGATCACCTAACATCTCCGGAAATCCATCCTCCCCATCGATAAGTTCGACGAACAAGTTCAACCGCTTGAGACTCAATGGCAACATTTCAGCAACTTTGGATGGAGTCATTGGCCAATGTTCGCTGGGGCTATTCTCAAGTCCAACCAAAAAGTGCATTCGAGATATTGTCAGTGTATGCAAATTCTCGAACTGCCCCAGCGACGCAATGCGCCCAGGATCTTCTATGCTAACCCCAGTATCATGTCGGACTTTACGAAAATCTAAGAAAAGTGTTTCTAATGTGTGGGAATGCTTCAGTAAACCCGGCCTGAAGTCAGCTATTGTTTGTTCAAGGCAGTCGAGGTAGTTCCATGAGCAAACGATGTGTCGGAGCCCTTCGCACGCTGATAAAATCATTCCCATTGATCGAAAGTCTATAAGGCATTCGGTCATTTCGAGGCGTTGCAGGTTTCTGAACTGGCCAAAATTGACTTTTGGCCTAATGGATGCTTTCACCATAGCCCCGGTAGCTCGAATATCAGAAAGCGACGGCACCGATGCCATTGCGGAACAAATACTGTCAAAAAACGATTCTCTGACTTCCTGATCTTCTTCTTCTTCTTCGAAATCAGTCTGGATACATAAGGTCTTTAGCCGACCAAGACCGTGGCCGGCAAGTAATGTGAAGCGAGAGGTCACTGTGTACTTCTCATTTATGACATGTTTCCAAAAGGAGACTTTGCTAGTCTCCGTGCTGGTCACATTGATGTGCTGCAAGTTCGGGGCAGAATTGATGACGCCAGCTAGTAAAGAAAAGTATTCCTTTATCATGTATAAGTCGCTAGGATCGTCCAGGTTTGCAAAAATATTCCTGCCTTCTCTGTCCGTATTTCGGTTTTCTACATACTGGAGATGACTAGCGTATGTGGAATCTTTCCTTGGTGCTGTTATTTCATGGTGGAAGCGTCTAAGAGACCCGATGCCGAACCATGTCGAGGATCCCGTAAATGCGGCATAGAGAGCAGGAATAGCAAGGCGATTTAGATGGCGAGAGGTGAGGCAAAGGTTGGACAGTGATATCTGACGTAGGCGATTTTCCCGTTGGCGTGCGATCTCCTTCTCTCTCTCGTCAAAAGTTGTCGAATACGTTTCAAAGGAGCGAATGGTGCTGAAGTGGAGCAGAATCCCCAAGAGAAGCTCATCCGGGAGGCCTGCAAGTGATGCGTTTTTGGGTGCCATGATCGGAAATTCTTGTTTAGGACAGGATGTCGTATGTGTTTCCGGTGGCTGGTGTCGAGTTAGTTGTGGTGTGGGTCACGGTTGAAGACTGCATAGGTGACTAACGTTGATCCAAGCGTGCCGGGACGCATGCTGTAGTACGTAATGGGACACATTTCCTTCCGGACCCTCAGGTTGCCCGCAGCGCACTCATATGCAGACAAGCGTAATGCGCATCTACTTTGTAGCTCTCGTTTTCCTAGCCTGCTAGTCTCTGACGCCGAAAAGAGCGTTGTTAACTGTGCTGTCGCTCGTTCTGTTGATGCTGTCCCCAACTCTTATTCCCGATATGTAGTAGGCGGCTGTTCTTCTAGACATGCAATCATCGCGAGTTACGGGTAGCTTTACTTTGTAGTTATTTCTAATATAACTAGGTCTATTGTAGCTTTGCAAAAGATTGCTCTGTGAAGTAGATCGAAGCTCTTCACAAAACATCTAAAGTAAGTAGAACTCACTGCTGCATTACTAATTATATCCTTTTGGAAGTTATATAGTAACTACAACTTATGTTACTTGTGGCGTCGTGCTTTAAGAGCTACACTACATACAAAGGCAATAGCATCAGTTCTTGTTACTAGACTCCGCTCGCCAGATGTTTAGTGTGTTAAGCGACGACTGTGTACCATGGTGTTGCTCGCCCAGAACCTGTTGGCGGGACTGGAAGCATCTTTCCATCATCGTAAGAGCCTCCCCTCGACGATCTTGTGAATGCAGCGTATGAGCAAGATTGTGCATACAAGTCAGCGTGTCTGGATGCTCGTCGCCAAGTACTCTCTTGCTCGTCTGCATCACTTGCACCTCTAGCTCTTCGGCCTTAGCCCAGTGCCCTTGGTTCGAGTACATCGACGCCAGGTTGGCCATGCTGGTCAGCGTGGAAGGATGCTCGTCACCAAGTACTCTCTTGCTCGTCTGCATCACTTGTACCTCTAGCTCTTCGGCCTTGCCCCAGTGCCCTTGGTTCGAGTACGTCAACGCCAGGTTAGCCATACTAGTCAGCGTATCTGGATGCTCATCGCCAAGCACTCTCTTGCTCGTCTGTATCACTTGCACCTCCAGCTCTTCAGCCTCGCCCCATCGCCCTTGATTGCTATACGTCGACGCTAGGTTGTGTATACTATTTAGCGTTTCTGGATGCTCGTCGCCAAGCACTCTCTTGCTCGTCTGCATCACTTGCACCTCTAGCTCTTCAGCCTCACTCAACCGCCCCTGCTTCCTATACGTCGACGCTAGGCTGGCCATACTAGTCAACGTTTCTGGATGCTCGTCGCCAAGCACTCTCTTGCTCCTCTGCATCACTTGCACCTCTAACTCTTCGGCCTCACTCCACCGCCCTTGCTTCCTATACGTCGACGCTAAGTAAGCCATGCTGGTCAGCGTTTCTGGATGCTCATCACCAAGCACTCTCTTGCTTGTCTGCATTACTTGCACCTCTAACTCTTCGGCCTCACTCCACCGCCCTTGCTTTCTATACGTCGACGCCAGATTGGCCATACTGGTTAGCGTGTCTGGGTGCTCGTCGCCAAGTACTTTCCTTTGAGTCTGTGTTACTTGCACCTGTAGCTCTTCGGCCTCACACCATCGTCCTTGGTTTATGTATACTGACGCTAGATTAGCCGTGCTGGCTAGCGTGATCCGATGCTCGTCACCAAATATCCTCTTGTATGCCTGCATCACTTGCTCCCCTAGCTCTTCAGCTTCCTGGTACTTGCCATCATTGTACAGGCTCGCGGCACATTTTTGTTTAAGAACTAGTGTTACCCCATCGATGTTTTCTGCCTGACTATGCGACAGGATGTGTTGCACGTGTGGTAGCAAGCGCCTGCATTTGCTTCTGTTACTGTGATCGAAGTTTGGAAACTCCTGAACCAGCTTTGTGATGGCACGTTGGGTCCAATTTTGGAACTGACCCTGAGCCTGTAGCCTAGTACGTAGAGCTTCATGTACTAATTGATGGACTTCTAGTGCTGACTCGGCAGGTCGCCTCGTGATAAGCGCATACTTATTGAGTATCTTAATAGCATCTTCCCGGGCCCGCAGCGATGGTGTCTCCAGAAGGTCGAGCAAGATGTCTTTTCGATCTAGACATGCAGCAAGGGAAAGATAGTCTATAGCCATCGAGTTTCTATAGCGAAGTTGGCTAATAGATAGAAATAATGTGGTAGTAACTGGGCTGCTTAGACTTGAGTGGTGCGATCTATGCTTGGGCAACTTGTCGATATACTCTTGAACGATGCTTTTGTGCTTATCTAGCTGTGATGCGTACTCCTGCACTGTCATGTCACTAGCGTTCATGCATGCAGCCGCCTGCACAACTGCTATAGGCAGGTATAACAGCTCTCTAAGTAAGAGGGCTGATTGTTGTTGCTCAGTAGGTAAGAGTGGTCTCAACAAACTGTTTTGAAGCATTCTTAACGCCGTGTCTGGCGTTAGCTCATGTAGCGCTATGACATTTTGCAGAGCAAGCGTCTTAGCTATTTCAGTGCTTGTTGTTGTGAAGATTACAGAACATCGTGTGGACTGTGGTAGGTAGTTAGCTGAGCCTGTCGAATCTACCGTTGACGAGCTGCTAGATAGTAGAGTGATGTCATCTACATTGTCGAAGACTAGCAAACACTGCCGCTCACTCAGCTCTGCTACACAGTGCTTTATGACCTGCTTCATATCTGCTAGATCACTATTCCATCTAGGGATACTGAGCTTCTGCGCAACGCTTGCATACGACTGGTAGAGGCTGTCTTTATGGCTCGCATCTATCCAGAACACCGCGCAATCTGTGTTGTGCCGCCTTGCTCTGTGTGCAACCTCGAGCGCAAGCTGTGACTTGCCCATTCCGCCAGGCCCAACGATCGCTAGGGTGGTAGTGCTTTGCTTGTTGCTGAAGAGCTTCGCCTCTAGCTCCGCGAGCTGTGGTTCGCGGCCCATAAAAGACTTGTTACGCGAGAACGGAATAATGGACGGTGCGCTGTCAACTCCCTGTATCTCAGCCTGCAGTCTTTCTAATGCGCTCTCCTGTCCTTCACCATACGTTGCAGGCATAGAGACGCTAAGAAGTCCAAGTAGGCAGTATACTATATCCTCTTCCTCAGTCGTCACGCGATTTTTAGCCCATTGCATGCGCTCAGATGTGCTAAACTGGTCGAGGGGACAGTTGCGCAGCGCTGCAAGCGGAATACTAGTAATAGTGTGGAGTAGTTGATCGAGCGATGTTTTATCGCCTATGCGCAGTCCTTCGCGCGAAAAGAACTCCACTGATGCTGGTGCAATCAGCTCTTGCAGTGTCCACCCCCGAGTGAACCACGCACTTGCATAGAACGACGCCTCCCAGTCGCCACGCTGCACTGGCTCTGTTGATACCAACACATCTGACAGAAAGACGTAGCATCGCGTCGCATTTTTGTACCACTCAAACATGGAGTTAATAGCCCTTGAGCGCTCGTTGTTGTTCCATCTGTTGATGCAGCATGTGTCGATCCAAAAGTACTGCAGCTCGTCCTGTGCCGCCTGTCTGGCGCAAAACATAAGCTTCTTATAGCTTTCTTCTTTCTCTCTATATGTCTCGCTCGTTATATCTTCGATGAGGATCTCCGAGTCGCTCCATCTGTGCGATAGGATAGCGTAGGGTGGAATGCGTTTGCCGTGAAAGTCTGTTAGGACGAGCTTGCTCAACGCGTTAAAATGAAGGAGTCGCATGACGTATATAGCTTAACTTAGTTGACGAAAGAGAAGAGTAAGTGGGTTTGTTAAGTTAGGTGTATAATAATGAGACCATAACGAGGCAGAGCAGGCTTATATAGGCTTCGATAAAGGCAGCCTTAGGAGGCAGTGCATCTGGCCAGGCTATGGGCGCTAAATACGTGGATTACTTATGACTGTTCTGCTTCACAATCTACACTTGAACAGTATTTGCCTTATCTATACATCTTAGAAAACGTACACGCATAAGTAAAGCGTAAGTAGGCAAAAGTTGTTGTAGCTCGCCGCAACACTCCTGTCAGCGGAACAGCTTCTGACACGACTTAAGTCGTGACAATGCAGAACCAATATCGTATCGCATGCGCTTTAGACATGATATAACATATATTAGAGGAGAAGTGAAATGCGCTGCTAAAGAGCAGTGCTAGATTAAGCCTACCACTCCTTAACAGTAAACGTGTGTGCACGACTGGGGAAGTGCTGCCGGAAACAAGAGCTGCATAGGGCACAATGCTCAAAGCCGCAGTGCTCAGCCACAGCGCGCAGCAAGGGCAGACATCTCAGCACGCTCCTGTAGCTGAAAGCTCGCTTAAGACGTACGGCCGGGCAGCTGCGTTATGACGATTCTACTGTCCGCGTGGAGAAATTGGCGGACCACATACTCAATGCCTTAAATCAACTTTCTAAGTCGGTAGTTAGTCTTTATCTTCGCCTTCTTAGCTCACTATCTAACCCGCCGAGCTCTTGGCGACTGTATGTAGCCGCAAACGAGCAGGGGGGGTTCTTAGAGACGGTTGGTTAACAGCACTAATAAAAAGAGCAACAGCATAGTTGGCAACGCGTTCTCTGATGTCGGATGGGAATGTAGTAGGACGAGTGCTAGAGAATAGATGCACACTGAACCGGCTAATTTACATATATTGTGTGAGCGTGCCGGGCGTTTGGATGAAAAAGTGACCCGTTACACCAGGCGTCCCGGCACGCGAGGCTTGACATTAATCATGAAGCTAGTCGGTAAAAGGGAAGATGAATAGAATTAACGCCGGTATCGCCGAGACAGATGCGAAAAAGAATCTACAAGAGAACAAGGAGACTATTTTACATTCATCTGGGTATATCGTACTGGCTCACCATGAGCTATCGGGGAACAGCATCAGACTATCCGCTTTGTCTTCCCCGTCTCCACGTCGTATATCCAGCCACTGAAGCGAATGTTTTCCTCTACTGCTTTGATGCGTAGCCATTGTACATCCTTCTTGACCTGGATCTCCAGGTTGTGGAAGGGCTGAAAGTCCATGTGCTCCACTTCTCTTGCCGCTACTTCTCCCCTCTTCTTCGAAATGATGGCTTTCGCAGTGGGGTTGTCGAATGTGAGCATGCCGCATCCGGTATGCTTGACAATCATCACCTCCCTTGTGCCGAGCAATTGTTGTGAGATGATGATTGATCGGAAGGCGTCGCGTACAGATGCGCCTGCGTTGCGGATGACATGGGCGGCTCCGAGTGGTATTCCGAATGCCCTTGTTGGGTCTATTCGTGCATCCATGCAGGTAACTGTCGGTCTGGGGTCAGCAATTACTCGCAACAGCTGGACATGCACAAGAACTCACCGATGGTGTATCTCTGGCTAGGCGGGAGGGCTAGATGGCCCTGGTTGAAGGTGGCAGCGTAAGCATCGCTTCCGTGCTCCATATTTCTCTCTCCGTGGGATGGCATTGTTGTAGTAATGGGAGGGATATCAGTTATGACTAGTTTTGACCTAACCTGATGCCTAAGTCTGGGTCTTTATATACTCATATACAATCGGGTCAGCAAGACGGTAGCCGTTGGTGCTCAACGAACATGGCGGCATTGTGAGGGGGGATTGCGCCAAGGCGGTAATGTGATACATTGGGGGTGAATACGCGCACAACGTGCGACAGAGTCTACGGCAACTATGCGTCTCTGACAGGAGAATAAGCATAACCAGACTGACAGTTGAAGGTGCCCTAGTTTCATCTGGCCAGGGGCCTTAGGCAGATCGCGGTCGCAACGCCTCGAAAGCAGGGCCGTGCTTCTAGCGCGTGGCACCCATGCCAATCCTCCCGTTCCTCCATCCTGCCATAAAGCACTCGAGGCATCACCGTGTCGCAAGAATATATGCAATTTCCGGACCGACCCGACCCAACATCTTGCCAGTGCGCCCCAGCTGCACTGTGCCTGAAGAGGGGCATCTTGGTGTCTCGCTCTTTTGACACATCGACAGCCGCACAATGGGCCCGGCTGAGAAAGCCACACTGTGTCTTATCAGCCAACTCTCGTATCACATCGGGAAATCAAGCACGCCCCCATAACTGATTACTACAAGACCGAAGCCAGACGTTAGAAAGAAGACATATGCGTTCTTCTTGATATACGCGCATTGGTCCTCGCCTACTGGATGCCCAATATTAACGCGACACCGGCGTTTTGTCAATGCATTGTTTTCTCCCAGACACCTTCACTACCGGCAAATCTAGTACTATTCGCTCTTGTCGGAAGACCAGTGCTATCTCGACATATCCCTTACACCCAGCTCTGGATGCGCCACCCATTTCCCCCAAGTTTACTTACACGTGCCAACGAGAATTTTCTAACAAATCAATAGAACTATACATGGCCGTATACCCGATCATCTGTCACATGTTGATTGGTCGATTGATCGATTGATCTAATAGATTGATTGCTTTGCGAGTCCTTCTTTAACATCCCAAGTACCCATTTCATCTCCGCGGAATCATTGGCCACCTCCTAATTGCGGCTTTTCAATCAATAACTGTCGCTCAAAGCTCGATTCCGGTTACAAAATTTTCCTTGTTATGCGAACATAGTAGTTACGGCAAATGATATCAGAATGGATGCACTATCACCGCCCGATGAGCGTATCGGCGAAGGTACATCTAGGCACGTTCCAAGGCCTTTTTCGGTCCCCAAGAATTTGGAGAGTCGTTGAGGTAACATGGATTCACCTCATACGTCTCCTGCCCTTGGAGAAATATCGGAGCTCGTGATTAGCATCGAGTTTCTAGTATATTGGGTTCCTTATTTGCATTGAGAAACTCAATCAAAACCCTGACGATAATACCACGGACGCGATGCACCGGGTCGACACGAGCAAAGAGGTTAGGATGTTTGGAAAGTTTCACGGATTCGTTGTGCTAAAGCATCTCGAAATATCCGATGCTCTACTCACCAGAGGCTAAGATGACCATGGCTACCCTGGGCTATCCGTAATTCCACCCGAGCCACTCGAATCGTCGAGCTTGGAAATAGTGTAGAATCGCGACACAGAAGAATATTTGGAAGATATCCAAAAGCACCTTTCCACTACAAATTCACATTTGAGAACTCAAATCACAACCAGGATTCTGCTTCGAAAGTGGCTGCAGATAAATTGACAACAATAAACCAGGGTATCCCTATGCAAACAATACTAAGTACACGAAATACGATATGGAGTACTTTTAGGTGAGATGAATGTAGACTGTCTACGTGAACGTCTGCATACTGAGTCGTATTCGTCTCTGCCCACGAGATATTGCAGGTGGGCTGGGAATGGGAGTATTGCCAACATCTCCCTCTACTCCACCTCGTTACAGCATTGCAAGAGCTGAATAAAGTCAATCATTCCACATTCCAGAATCGTCGTCGTTCAGAATGTCCGGTACTGTTTCTAGACAGATATGGGTTCTTATCCCGAGATCACGGATACTAATATTAGTTATGACGCTGTTTGAACGTCATGGCTTTGAGATTTACACTCCACAAACTCAGGCGATTACCAATCAGCACGATATACGTTAACCCAAGATCACACATTTGCGAAAAGTATCACACACTCTCCAAACTCTACCAACCATGAATCTACTGCAACCCCCACCCATCGACACCTCCCGCTGGACCCAGCACATCGCCCCAATTACCACACCATCCGGCGAGCAAATCCGCCTCAACTACATCGACTGCGCACCCGCACCTTCCTCCAAACCCAGCAGCACCATCCTCCTTATCCACGGCTTCCCCCAAACATCCTACCAATTCCGCCATGTAATCACACCCCTCTCAAACGCCGGCTACCGCGTCATCGCCCCGGACTACCGTGGCGCAGGCCAATCCTCCAAGCCGTCCTCTGGCTACCAAAAAACGCAAATGGCAGAGGATCTATACACCTTGCTGCACTCGCACCTTGGCCTCAAAGAAAAGACTCACGTCGTCGGCCACGACATCGGCGGCATGATCGCTTTCGCGTACGCATCACGCTATCCAGACGACACGGCGAGCGTGATCTGGGGCGAGTGCCCCTTACCCGGTACTTCATTCTACGAGGCGCACAAGGCAACGCCGGACCTCTTCCATTTCGTATTCCACCGCGTGCCCGATCTACCGGAGTTCTTGATTGCGGGCAAGGAACGCGAGTACCTGAAGCACTTCTTTGATAAGTTATTGTTTAATAGCGCAGCTATTACGCCTGCAGATGTTGATAACTATGTTCTGGCGTATGAGCAGCCGGGGGCCGTGAGGGCGGGGTTGGAAGTTTATCGTGCGTTTGAGAAGGATGCGGAAGAGAATCGGGAGTGGCTTGCTGAGAAGGGGAAGGTTAAAGTGCCGTCGTTGGTGTTGATGGGGAAGGAATGCATGCTTTTGGCAGGGGCGGAGGAGATGGCGAGTGAGTGCCATGAGGACGCTGAGGTGGTGAGTGTGGAAGGGGCGGCGCATTATGTTGCGGAAGAAAATCCGGAAGGATTCGTGGATGCTGTGTTGGAGTTTGTGGAGAGGCATTGAAGTTTTTCATTTTGAATACTGCATGTAGCGTCAAGAACTGCGTTTCATTGTTTTATATCTCTTTTACATCTATGGTACCTTGACGTTGAATTTGCCAGTAGCCTCTGGCTTCGACAGGATCCACAGGATACCATTGTTGATACACTGATCCCAGTGCTCAGAAGCCTTTAGCGCGTTTCCGAACCGTCTGTGGCCATGCGGTACGCCCTTGAAAACCGTGATATCAGTAGGCACATTTGCCTCTGACAGCGTCTTGGCGTACAGCAACGCCTCGTCACGAAGGGGATCCAAACCAGCAATACCAAAGACGCTCGGCGGCATCCCCTTGACCTCATCTTCCGTTGCATTTCCAACATTAAGCTTCGTACACTTCAAATCAGGTTTTCCTGTTTGCAAGAGGCCTGCGAAGAAATTGGCGACATTTGCGCTGAGGAGGGGCGCGTTGGCGTTCTCGACGTACGAGGGCACCTTGAGCTTCTTGGCGGGGCCTTCGTCGTATGTGTAGGGAGATGAGAGACAAGGGATGATGAGGACTTGGCCGATCAATTTCGGAAGGTCTTTAGTGACATCGCTTTTTCCGAGATGCTGCTCCAGCGCGAGGGAGGATGATAGTGTGCCGCCTGCTGAGACACCACCGACAATGACTCTCGAAGGATCGCCTCCAACTTCCTCAATGTTCTTGTGGAGCCAGGCGAAAGCGTCTTGGGAGTCGAGCCAGGCTGTGGGAAATACATGGTCCGGTGCGTGTCGGTAGTTGATGTTTAGCACCACACAGTCGGTTTTGATGGCAGTTTGCGCGCAGGTTGGATCCTCACTCTTGATAGAACCGAATATGAAGCCTCCTCCGTGAAAGTACAGGTATACAGGAAGTTTCTCGGATGCATCCTTCTCCACGGGCCGGTAGGACCGCGCCTCGATTGTTGAGCCGTCCCGGGTGGGTATCGAATAGTCTTTGGTCGTTACGTGCGGCGTGAAATGCTGCATTGCTTCGGCAGCTTTCCCTTCTCTTTCAGCATTGACAAACTTCTGGAGCGTGGCGGGGTCCGCTGAGGTGTCGAAGTTTAGCTGAGGTAGTGTCTTCTCCAGGGCAAGCCATTCCTCAGATGGGCCACCATACTGTGAAAAGTCCAAAGCCATGATGTTGTTTGGAAAGATGTATCGATACTGTCAGAGAGTGTAAGAGTTCAATTGTCCGATCTGAGATGCGATCGATTCAATCGGACAGGAGATCTCGCTTATGTATTGATGCATATCTCACCCCTCTCACCCTCTCACCGCCTCGTCCGTGTACGTATTGTTCGTTAGCGTTACCCATACAATGGACCGAGGTTCGTCTATCAGCACTTGATTCGACAAAAACCATCCATTATAAGGCATCCCACGGTACGTACTGTACCAGGATGTTCGAGTTCACGTGATTGCACGTTGTTTGCAGACATGTAAGCCAAAGAGCTTGCCGAGGTCTAAGTACGTACCCATTCACGTTTTTCGATTGCGATCGCCAGTGACGTTCATCTATAGCCTGATTGGGGACAACGAAATGTTTGGAAGAACTGACCTCAGAGGGCAATTCGCTATTGTAACGAGAGCTAGCAAAGGTCTTCAAGACGGTCGTGTTATATCTGCTGTGCCCACTAATGAGGGTTGTAGCGTATTAAACTTGGTCTTAAGGAGATCTGGCACGTAATCAGGTGAATTCGCGCGTGATAACTGTCGAATTGGCAACTCGGTCACGTCCGGCAAGTGTTGAACGCGTGCGACGTGGTGGGGCGGGGTAGCTGTTAGATGGTGGGGTAACACGCGGTAGCTGTCCGACGTGACATCACCCCCATCTAGAAATTGATGGACGTCACGTGCACCGGTATCGGTCACGTTCGATGGCTGAAGATATTGCATCTGATAGCTGTTAGTGTGTGATAAATGCATGTTCGCTCACTGCACGAAAGTTGCTCGATCAGCTTTAACAGCCCTTTGTATTGAGTGGTTGGTATTCTATAGCTTCAAAGTAACATAATAGAAGGGCCGCAATATTGAAAAGAGATAGATGTCACAACACACAGTGGTTGTTGTACAGCAATGGAAACGTTAGTGTGTGAGTTAAGAGAGATGAAACAGTGAACATTACCGATATCCGCGGTGCAGCTACAGTATCATCTAGTTCAATACGAAGACAAGGGAGGAAATAATATCAAAAGTGAACATTAGTAAGTACACTTTACGTGGCCAAATACTAAATACTAGGATGAAGATGAATGATCCCATTATGACGAGGGTCATCACTAACATACGATCAATCGCTGGGAGAGGAACACTGCATCTCTAGCAAAACTGTCATGCTGAATATAGCGAGGACTATGTTAATCCTTTCCCTTAGCAAATGAGACCAATGTAGATTTGCTTTGTCCTTGGTAGTAAGCCCCCGCCTTCTTAACGTAGTGAATATACTAATACGCGGTAGATGCTGTATGGGGAGTAAATTCCTAACATTATCATGCTTCCTAGAACGATCCTTGTACATTCAGTACATAATATTCAGAACGGTGGCATCTGCATTCGAATTTGTTGCTTTTTTTTGAGATCCATATAATCTGATTTTCCCCTTCCCGTCCAAAGTCGTCGCGCATCAATATGACTAATATTCCATTTGCAAGTAACTTATTACGATGACCGAGAAGATGACTGAGGCGTGGAATAAGACACATGCTCTCATTCGCATGACTACGTGCTGTGGTAGGCGGCACCGTCCACGTATTCGATGTGCAATGTCAGCTGCCAGAATGGATGACGTCTGGAAACGACGAGTCATGCACATGCAAGGTCCCGTTCTAGCGTTTCCGCGCCAACCCGCTAGCTGCACCCCGGATCTCCACTTGTAGCCACACCCCCATCCTCCATAGCTCATAGCTCCATCATCCATCTTCTCTCCGATCCATCAACATACATCTTCGGTGTGCAGCTGGCTGGCATCACAACCTCAGTTTCTACGCGTGAATAACCTTTCAACCGATCAAATATCACCAGCAGTTCATCATGTCGGAGAAGACGCTCCTCGCGTCAGCCGCACCTGCAACGGCGCCACAGGCATCAGCAGTACACTCAACCAGGCGTCAAGCCTTGCGCAAGATATTTGCTATTGCTGCTACAGCTTCGCTTATCCTCTATGGACTCCCTCGAGGTATGCATATTCACCCTTGTAATCCATATATCACCCCTGACACGTGCTAGCCGGTTATGAGCCCACGGGTGACTACCAAGAAGATAGCGAGCTGTGCCTGACTCCAGCCTGCGTACACGCGGCGTCTGAGGTCCTGCACAGTCTCTCGCCCCGGTACAAGGAGCTCGATCCATGCGATGACTTTGAGGAGCTGGTCTGTGGCGGATGGAGAGACCGCCACGACCTTCGTGCTGACCAAGGCGATGTCTTCACGGGTACCATCATGAGTGAAAACTCACAGATGCTCCTGCGTCACATTCTTGAAGCACCCTACCCAAAGGATTCGGAGGCAAGCTTGTAAAACAGAATAGGAATGAACAGAACTGACGAATCCATAGCATTCCTACTTCTCGCCTATGAAGCTGATGTCCGTCTCCAAATCCGCAGACGAGGAGAACTTCGACAAGATGAAGGCCGCCTATGATGCCTGCCTCAACGAAGACCAAATCAAGAGCGCCGGTGTACAGCCTCTTGTACGCATCTTGGACGAGATCAAGAAAGCCTTCCCTGTTGGCGCGTCCGAGTCCCCTTCGATCAAAGACGCTATCCTCCATTTGGCCAAGTACGGCATCTCTGGCCTTGTAGCCGCTGGCACTGGCCCTGATGACACTGATCCCGATACTGTGGTCGTATCTGTAGCCGCGCCTGGAAGTATTGGGCTCCCGTCCAAGGAGCGCTATGAAGATGAGAAGCTCGTTGAGAAATACCGTGATGTTGTTGTTCAGGTTCTCAGTGCTCTCTACCTAGACCATGACAAGGCCACGTTTGCAAGCATCATTGATCTTGAGAAGAAGCTCGCGGCTGCATCTCCTAGTGAGGAGGACAGAGAGGACGTTACCGTAAGTTCATTCCTCGTGAGCTTCACATACTATATATATCACATACGCCTGGTGATGCCAGGTGCTCAACACGATGTATAAGATGAAAGCATGATGCTTGCTATTACCTTTGTCAAAGCTAATAGTATCTAGAAAGCTTATAACCCGATGAGTATTGATGAGGCCGCAGCGATTGCTCCTGAGGTTGAGCTGAAAGCGGTGCTCGAAGCTCAAGCCCCTAAGGATACCAAGATTGAGCGTGTTATCGTGGCAACCCCCAAGTACTTGAAAGACCTATCAGTCATCCTGGCTGCGACACCAAAAGATGTTCTTCAAGGCTACTTCATGTGGAAGGCTGTCCAGTCCTTTTCCGCTTATGTTGATGCAGACGCTGTCAAGCCTTACCGCCGCTTTGTCAACGTCCTGTCCGGCAGGGTATTTATACAACTCTTCGATCTCCATTTATAGATTCTGACTTTAGCAGGACCCCGACTCTGCTCCCGAGCGATGGCGTACGTGCGTTAGACACGTCGACAACGGCCTAGGTTGGATCCTTAGTCGATTCTTCGTAGAAAAGGCATTCTCTGCCAAGGCTAAGACTTTCGGCGACACCATCGTCACTGATATCAAGACTGAGTTCACCAAGAAGCTCAACGCAGCCCAATGGATGGATGATGATACTACGAAGAAGGCAGTCGAGAAGGTTCACAATATCGTTCAGAAGATCGGTTACCCAACCAAGAGCCCAGACATTATGGACCCGCCTACGCTCGAAAAATACTACGAGCCAGTCAATGTCTCTTCAGATGCCTTCTTTGAGAACGAGGTTGCCGTCCGTCTTTTCTCTGTCAAGGAAGAGTGGTCTGCTCTTGGCAAGCCTGTTAACCGTGATGAATGGGGCATGACTGTCCCAACCGGTAAGTGATTGTACTCTGAATGTGTTCAACGACCCCTTCTGACTAAGCTCAGTGAACGCCTACTACAATCCTCCTGGTAATGAAATCGTCTTCCCAGCGGGTATCATGCAATTCCCCGTCTTCGATGTCGAAATCCCAGAATACATGTCATATGGTGCGTTTGGCTCTGTCGCAGGTCATGAGCTCAGCCACGCCTTCGACAGCACAGGCCGTCACTATGACCAAAATGGCAACCTCACAGATTGGTGGTCCAAGGGTACGATCGATGCTTTTACGAAAAAGACTGAGTGCTTTGTTGAACAGTACTCCAACTTCACGGTCCCAGGTCCCGACGACAAGCCTCTCCACGTCAACGGTCGTCTTACACTGGGTGAGAACATTGCCGATGCAGGTGGCCTGTCAGCAGCCTTCCAAGCATGGAAGCGCCGCTCAGCCGAAACCCCCAACAAGAACCTCCCTGGCTTAGATCACTTCACCCAGGAACAAATGTTCTTTGTCAGCTATAGTAACTGGTGGTGTGGTAAGACGCGCAAGGACACCGCAATCAACTGGATTTACACCGACCCACATGCTCCAAAGTGGGCTAGGATTTTGGGCACCATGGCCAACTCGAGGGAGTTCAGGGAGAGCTTCCAGTGCAAGGTCAAGGAGCCTACTTGCCAGTTGTGGTAAGTTTATGAGGACTACACGCTTAAGAATGATGAGTAGTACCTTCAATGGTCGCTGGAGTTATGGTGCAGGGTACTCATTATTGCTTTTACTACATGTACAAGGTCTTTAGTGCTCGTCTTATTATAATTGCTCTGAATTATCAAATTGTATTAGTATGTACTATCAAATGCATCCATCGCGCGCGTGACATGAGCCCGTACTTTGCAGTGCATACCACACAAGAACATAATGATGAGCCTAACGACCATTCAGCAAAGGCCATCCAATAGAGCGTCCGGAAATGTGTACGAGCTCCCTCCGTCTCTACGCTCTACCCAGAACGGACAACTCAGTCACACTACGTCTGCAAACTATCGATGCGACAAAGCTCCATGGGCTATGAACAACCTCTTCGGATCAATATTCGTCATCTTTCCGACCAGGTCCTAGAATTCCGGCTCAACGCCTCTCCACAGCACGAACGGCTTACGAGGATCCTCTTTGTTGAAGCCCTCTGCAGTTACAGCAAATATTTGGGGCCAAGGACTGTCTCCCAGATACTGGAGCAGACCGATCAGACCCTCTAAATCAGAGAAGTAAGATAATTGGCGTTCAAGAATGATAGCTAGCTTATCCTCACCCTCCTTAAGTTCTTCGTCCCCAACGGCGAAAATGACCCGTTTGAGTACGGCGTAGATGCACTGTGTTTGAACACGTTCGCATGAGAAAATATTGTTCACTAGACAAAAGGACTTACGACAACCCCAAAGGAAAAGATGGCAGATGACTTGTAAACCTGAGCAGAAACATGCGCTTTGGGACTTTGCCACATCCAATTCCCAACATGTCTTCCCACGATGGCAGAATCGCCCGGGACATAGGCTGCGTCTTCGATGTCGGCAATCTGGACCTGCTGAATAGTCGTATTACCGTCCGCCTCGTCCCAATCCCCCACGATATTATTTGGCTTGATATCCGTATGCACAATGTCTTTCTAGTGTAATGCCGCGATACCTCGCAGGGAGTCTCTCAACACCCGTTTCATAAGAGGAAGCGGGGCATTTTTCTGAGCGAAAGAAAGCAGATAGCCCTTGAAGTACTCGTAGGCGAACATGGAGTGATCTCGAATCGCATCTTCTGCTACGCAGACGTAGGGCGAGCTTTTGGGGTCATTGAACATGTCTTGGAAGTGTTTGGAGTCATTGTTTGTTACGCTCTTCAAAATTTATTGCTGGCAGTCAGCCCTATAGGTGCGTTAATAAATTGTAAAGAGACTAATCCTGAGTTGACCTACGAAACAAGGTATATCTGTCCAAGCGGCCCTGGTTTCTCTTGTAGAAGTTTTTCAATGAAATACCGGCGGCCTGATTGGCCTACAGCTCGCGTGATAGCAGCCATTAGACGCGCATAGGATGTGTGAGACCGCAATGCCTTCTGTGCAGAGACCGGCTGCCCCGCACTTCAATCACTATAGGGTAAAGATAGGAGAGTGAAGTAGATAGTAGTAGGCAATTTACTGTTCTATTAGTTCGAGTCTGAGACTGTCCTTTGACCATAGCAGACGACACCTAACTCTTGTGCCTCCACTGAATCATGAGTGAAAGAGCTCATAGTAGCGAGTAGCCCTGTGCCCTAGCACACTATGAGTGAATAGAAGTTCTTCATATAGTACATAGTAGAGTTTAAGAGGTAGAGACACTTTATATATACATATACTTATTCTTAAATACAATACTGATATGTAAAAAGATTGTAATAACTATAATATCTCTACTATTTTTTTTTATATTTTTTTGTATTTTTCATTAACTAGAATTAGATGAAAAAGACTGTTACAAAAAACAAATAGAATCAAAAATAAGTGTAAGGGGCTACGGCCATATGTGTGTGTGGCTTGGCTAGGCCAAGCAAATCGAGCATTTCTCCGCAACTACCTTGACTTCAAGACAAGCTTGAAGTCTTGTTATTGCCTTTTTGGCAAAATGGTCGAAGTAAGCAGTTGTACGTTCGGCTCGAAGAGCCCGCCCGTTACAATAAGATTTTTTTTATATTTTTTAGAAAAAAATATTAGAATTAGTAAGCACTAAATAGAAGATCGCATAACTAGACTAAATTTAACATAGAAAGGTAAAGAATAGATGTAGAATAGATGCGGGGTAGAGTGCTAGGTATGAAAGTTACTAGCACTAATTAAAACTAGAGAGCTACGAATAGATTAATGACATATTAGGATATGTCGAAGTATAAATAAGAGCGATTTCCCCTCTTTTTATAAAATATCTTAAATTTCTAAGTAGTTAATATTTACTCTAAGAGTTAAGATTCTTAATTGATAATAGATCTTTCTCTTAATAGTCTAGTACATTGGTTACATACTTACATTGTGTAGGCTTAGCTCCTCTTCGCTATCACACAACCTCTCTACACTAATACATCGCACTTGCCTACTCTTTGCCTAACCTAGTAAACTTAATAACGCTCAACGGCACGCAGAATAGAATAGTCCGCGAAGGCATTTTATCGAAATGTTCGCAGCCAGTCAAGGCTTTCAAACATCCCAGCAAAGAATTTTAGCCAAAAAGTAAAAGGGACTCGAGGTACTGGCTCTAGATCGGCCTATGTTATTGCACCTGCGGGCCCAGACGCTCTAGCTGTTCTTAGAACTAAGACAAGCACCTGCTTTCAAATTTACCAGACTGGAAATCGTTGAAGTTCTCAGCACATAGTAAGCCAACGCGTTACGCGAGGCTGCGTTTACTTATTGGCCGCTACAGTACTCAGGATGCTAGGAATCCAACAGCCCTGGTGTACGCATACCTCAAACCTACTTCTAGCTCCGTCACAGGACCTACACTCGCGGTAGAAGTTATAAGAACTCGTGTCATAGGCGGTCTTAGTAGCGAAACCGTCGTTAGCGAGCAAGCTGTTGATAGTACTAAAATCAACCTCCTACCTATCTTCAAGGGAGCTGTTAACTCGCTACGGCTTTATGCGATAATTAAATACTACTTTCTTCTCGCTATAGAAAACTTGCCTGCTGAGTTTAAACAACACTTTACTCCTATCAACTGGACATTTATAAATCTTCTGAAAACAGTCTGCGAAAAACGGCGTCGCCAGACCACCCTCGTGCTTACTTTACGCCGCCGCCGGGCGCTTCAGCACTATATCTATCAGTGCGTCATTCGCCAGGAATGCACTAGAAGGGTTCTGGATTGCCGTGAGAAGGTTTTCCAACAACGCAGGGTTCGTAGAAATTCGGATTCGACTTAGCGCCTTCGTTGGTGCAAACGGTGGGGGAGAGCACGAGGCCAAATCAAGTATGCGGTGAAAGTCGATAAGAATTAGTTCAAGCTAGAATGTTCTTAATCAGTAGTGATCGTGGAAGCCATTAAACTGTTAAACGCTAGTAGGAATATCATGTGGGTGGAGGGAGCTTTTGTTACAAGAGATTTGAATAGTTTTTCTATTTATAATATAGATATCTCGAGAACTTAGTGGTTTATACTATAAGAATTAATTGAAATTCAGAAAGAGAGTGAAAGTTTAGACTTAACTACCCGTGGGGCTAATGCCGTTATCGCTAGAGTAGTTTCACTCCAATGTCTAAGTAAATGCCTGTCTCCAGCGTTTGCACAATAACAAACTAGACCGAATCTAGATCTAGTCTTTCACTTAGGTAGTGAAAGCTATCTTACTAATAATTTACGCGTTAGAACCAACAAACCACGCGCTTTATTTACCGCACTCATTCGGCGCTTCTTATCTACTCTACTCTCTCAGTCTTGCTAAAAAGACAAAACACTCCACCGTTAGTAAGCATGCTATCCCCTCTTACCTTATTCCGCCACTAAGTATGTCTAGTGGCTTCCATGGCTGTAGGAACGTACGTTGCTTCTAAGAACTTGGCCGAAATCCGCGAAAAACTCGGGGAGCCTTTTGCCAACTCCCTAGAATATCTGCCCCTCGACAAGGTCATTACTAAGACCCAAAAGCATGAGGAAGATTATATCTCATTTATGCTACTATTCGGTCACGTCCGTAATCAGTGCGAGGACGGAAACCAGGAAGTGTGGGTCATGCTCTCGCCACCTACTAAGGAGGGTGGACAAACTCGGATAGAGTTCAATTCGTACGACAGCGCTACCGGAGCCTCTGAATGGCATAACAACCATAACATCAGCACAAGTGCAGAAAATGCAGCTGCGTTCAAGATGCCCAAGAAAGCATCGCTTGGCAAGCATACTGCACTGGCACGGTATTATTTCCTCCAGAAACTCGCCGCCGATGAGGCCAAAAACAACGGCATCTCCGAGCTGAAGTTTCCCATCCCAGTCAAAAAAGGCCTTCTCGAATGCTTAAAGACGGCATGTAGCGAGTTTGAAGGCGAAGCAAAAGCCGCACTAGCTAGGTCCGTCAGGCAGCTATCAGTCACTCTCCCAGAAAGCCAAGACAGCGACGACACCCTCGCGTTTGAAGACTCCAAAGAGACTTTCAAAGAACAGGTCCAGCGTGCATGGGTCCCATTCCGAGCTTCATACCGTGCACCAACAGTAACTATGACTACTACTACTGCTGCTGCTGCTGCTGTTGCTGCTAGCATTCCGGTACCTTCTCCACCCCAACTCACCAGAACCAGCCATACTGACCAAAACACGTAGGCTGTCCAAACCCCCCACAACAACATCGCCCAAGCCCTTGCCATCCTCAATGATAAAGAAAAAAACATCAAATCACACATTGCAAACCTCGACGACCACCTCATCGCTCTAACAGAACAGCGCGTAGACCTCGAGCAGCGCTGCAAGCATGTCGAAGCCGAGCGTCTTGTTGCCGAGAAAGAAATAGCGAGTATCAAGGCGCAGCGGGATGATCTGTTCAAGGGCATGAGTCCTGAGGCGGTATTTGAGTTAGGCAGGAGCAGCGAGCGGACAAATCCTACGAAGCGGCGTAAGCTTGATTGAGTTTTGTAGTTGCGAGCTATACGCTTGTGATATTTGCGAGGAAGAGCTGTGGTCAGGCTAGGCGTAGTGGATTGGAGTTTTACACGGGAATAACGAGATATAAGCCATAGGGTGGCTCTAATGGAGAGTAATGGTAGGCAGGGTACATGTGGAGATGCTGGTTGAATGTTTTGACTACTGGAATACCTATGAAGTTCCCTTTGTAGTGGGCGGGACAGCAAGTAGTTTGGCATGAATGGTTAATCACTTTAAAAAAACTTAAATGCCTAACGCTAGTAATAACGACTATAAATAAATGTATAGTTATGCAAGTTCCGTGAATTTGCATGAGAGTGCAGTGAAATAGCAAGAGCAAATTTGGCAGCAACTGCAATCAATACACTGATCTCTAGTATCCACTCAAGTACACTAATCCCACACCACTACTTCACTTTCGCTCCCACAGCCCCGTCTACCCCACAAACATGACCCCAGGACCAGAAACTCTCTTTGGCAACATTCTAGACCACCTATCTCACTTACGCTCAGCCCTCGCAATACCTGTACACAGCTATTTCCTTTCTAACCTTACACTGCCACATTCTGCATCCCCCACAATCAGCTTTTCAACCCTACACCATGTCTTTCCCAACTACACATCACCACCTCTTCATACCACATAAACAGTCTCCTACCCTCACTACTTTTCCTTCCAACTCCCCATCTATCCATCTCTCTTCCTTTTACAAACCCAAACAACACTAATCCGCCATCCTTCACAACTTACTCTCTAATCCCTCCTCCCTGACACTGCTCTACCTTCACCCTCCCCCCCCCAAACACTACCTAGCTCTCTCGCTCTTTAAATTTTTCTTTCTTTTTTTTAAAAAAGAAAGAAAGAAAAAGATTAGAAGTCTAGTAAATAAGCCAAAACAAAAAAAAAGTGTAAAAAGGTAGACTAAAAGTAAAAGTTAACATATTGTAAGAGATGTCTTTCCGAGGACGAGTTTGCGTCGTTGTCGTACAGCTCGATTGTGAAGAAGAAAGCCAGGTCGTATCCCCTAAGTAGCACGAAGTTAATTAATATATAGTAGGCATGTGTATCGTAGCACACGATCTGTGCGGTTCACATGCTCATGTCACGTCTGAGGGTATGTTCAGCTCACATTGCACTTGATCTCTCTGTGTAACAAGGGATCGTTTCACCCGGTAACTCGACGTAATCGATCGTCTGCTCTCTCTTCCCGCAATCAACACAAAAGATTTCACTAATATTAGACACTGCCCTAGGCAATTTCATCATGTTAGTACCTCACTGGCACACACAAAAGTCACCTATAATCACGCAGACAACAATTCGTAAACAAGACCGATACTTCAGCTATGGATAGGGAAGTGATAAAAGCCTGGGAATCAAAAAAAAAGAGTAAAAACAAGTAGATAGCAAATCCCTTCATTCCTTATACGTCCATCTGCCACAACCGATAATAAGAATGGGGCATAAACACTTGTTTGTCGACAACACCATAATGGAAAAACACCCGAAAAACAATTCAAGTAATGTCATCAGAAAGCACAACCATCAAGAAATAATCGGGGAGAGACCCCAGAGTGAGGATATTGAAGGCCGCAGTGGTGGTTGGGGCGGTGATGACGGTGGATGTGGTAACGATGGTTGGGGTGGCGGCGGCGGCGAGAGTGCAATCTCAGGACCTGTCTAAGGTCCGGGGTACCTATCGAACCTCCAGATTCGTGCGCGCATGTCACCGCTACCGGTAGCAAAGACGCCTCCCGTAGGGCTGGGAGCGACGGAAATGACTAAACAGCCAGTCAGTAAACAATCTGCGTGCGCAGGACATAGTAGTCAACATACCAGAGTTCTTGTGTCCCTGCAACATGAGCTGTGCGACACCAGTGTGGGGGTCCCAGAATTGGACGCCACGGTCCTTGGAACCACTGAGCACCCAATCGCCGTGCGGGGTAAGCGCGACACTGAGAACAAAGTCCTTGTGTCCTTCAAATGTGCGAATGCACTTGCCACTGGGGTGGTTTCCGTTGGGAACGAAGCGGTTCTGGGTTGATAGCTCCCACATCTTGATAGTCTTATCCAGACTGCCACTGACCAGACGGTTACCAGAAGGAGCGAAAGCAACACTGTAGACACTATCCTTGTGGCCATGCTCGCCCTCGAGACGGACAACAAGCTGACCAGTCTGGATATCCCACACACGGACACTCTTGTCAAGAGAACCGGCTGCGACGTAGAGGTTGTCGGGCGAAATGGCCACAGTGGTGACGCCATCCTCAATGGAGAAGTTTGAAACTTGCATGTTGGACTCAAGATCCCAGAGACGGACGCTCCTATCGCCACTTCCGGATGCAATGATCTTTCCGTTCCTGGCAAAGTCGAGCGAGTAAATGTCCTGCTCGTGGCCGGTGAATTGATGCTTGATGGTGCGGCTAGCAATATCCCAGACCCTGATGACCTTGTCTTCAGCACCAGTGGCAAGATATTGTCCGTTGGGGCTGAAGCAGACGCTTCGGATGTAGAGGTCTCCATCTTCGGGCAGACTACCGTCCTGGAGATGGGCGACTGGGTTACCAGTCTCGACATCGAAAATCTGCGCGGACCGGTTGCAACCAGTCGCGACCCACCTACCATCCAAGCTGAAGCGAACACAGCAAACCACACTCTGATGGGGTAAGTTGTGAATGAGGTCCACATCAAGAACTCGCCTGGAGCGAGGGTTGAAGACGGCAAACCAATCGCTGCCCTCCTTCTTGAGGTTCTCAGGCAATTGCTCAATGTCAAGGTCAGCCAGGACGTTGCTCTGGCTGAGAGGAATATGGTTGGGTGCCATCAAGGCATTGGGTTGGTGGTGAGGAGGAGGAGTTGGTCGTGGGACCTGAGGCGATCCGGGATAGGGGGCGGGGTTATTCTGCTGAGGAGTCGCTGGGTTGGGAGGTCCACGGGCAGGGCCTGGACGCTTAGCACCGGGCGAGGCAGTAGGCTGGGGGGGTCCGTAGCCTAGCCGTGTCAGTTATGATGTTCAATTAGTGCAAGAAAGGTCTGTGAAGCTCACCGTTGACGGATGGGCCGGGCTGGTAGCCACCAAAATGCTGTGGTGGGCCTGGGGCAGGGTTCAGTCCTGGTGGGCCTTGAGGGCCGCCGAGCTGTGGTGGCATGCCATGTCCCTGTGGTGGTTCTTGTGGAGGAGGTGCCAGTCCCGGGCCACCCTGGGCAGCGCTACCCGCCATGATGCCGCCAAAGAGGTTGCTGGGTCCATGGCCAATCTGTGGTGGCTGCGGCTGCGAAGGGCCGTGGTGCTGCGAGTTCTGGCTGGGTCCGCCGCGAGCCTCAACTTCACGCTCTAGCTGGGCAATGCGCTCTTCATATCTGCGCGGGCGTCAGTATGTGCGATGGCAGCATGCAAGGCCGGCAACAGTTGAGCTACTCACTTTGCCTTCATCTGGTTGTGTGACTGCTCGAGCGAATAGACTTTGCTGCGGATCAATTCAATTTCTTGAATGTGACGGGAAACTGTGAAGGGGTGGTGGTTAGCATGTGCGCAGACGCTGTCGAGCTCAAGACTATGGAAAACGTGGTCGAATGTTTGCATAGTGACGAGCGCCATAGCAGGACGTCGTGTATACATGATGCGCTCCGATGCGGTGGTGAGTACTCACTTTGCCCTTCATATTCGACGCTGCGCTGAGATTCCGTCTCAAACTCGGCCTTGATGTTGTCGAGAAGCTCGTTGAGGCGCTGGGCTGGGCCAACCTGGGGGCCCCCCATGACGCGGGCAGGATAGTGGTTCATGGCCACAATGGGGAGGGAAGCGGGGGCACAAGAAGCGAAGATGGACAGTCAGGGAGCTGCGCGTTGCGGAATGCGACGGTCGCGTAGGCGGCGGTGGGTCGCAAGGCTGTTGGCGCAGGGCCAGCAGGTAGCACGGAGCAAGAGACTAGGCGGAGGACTGGGCCTGCTGGTGAGCGCGCCAGGGGTGGGATGGATAGATGACGGTGGTGGTGGTGGTGGTTGGGGGTTGGGGCCAGCGTGAGGCGGAGACAGCTTGGTGTTGTGAGGGTAAGTAAGATGGCTGAGGTTTGAGCGGAAGGTGGGTGGATCGCAGCAGCCTAGTGCGATGCTTGGCTGCACGGAGGAAGAATCGTTTCGAGTACGGCGGGCGGAAGGGACCAAGGCAGGGCCATTCGCGCTACGGCCGACGAGCACATGCTTACTACTGCCTACATACATGGTTGGATCGATATACTAAGTACACACATGCATCCATGCATCCATACATACATACATACATAGTGCGAAGTGCTATACCGCTGATATGCATGCTGTCTCTGCGCCCAATCCAGGCCGTCCACCCGCTCCACACGCTGCCCGGAACCCATGCCCGCGCTAAGCCTGCCCGTCCCGCTGCCTATGCCGTATTGGGCGCGGCTACATTTTGCACGTGAGCGTCCCATTCCACTTGGGACAACACCATTTTTTTGCCAATGCCATTGGACTCCCTATGCTATGTCGACATGTTGACATGTCGAGTCTTCCCCCTTTGTGCGAATGCACGCCGCCTATTGCTACGGGTGGCACAGCTCATCACGATGTGTCGCCATACACCCGCAACCAGGCTAGGCACAGCGGCACCATGCAGTATCCGATGCTGCGTTGCGTGCCGTGCAATGGCATTTTCGCCCTCGGCCTCTAAACACAAGAGTCCTTGTACCCACTATCACGATGGCTACACGACGCCCTAGACGGCTCGACGTGGAGTCTGTTGACCGCCCCCCCGCAACTTGCGCGTCCATCTTGTCTTGCCATGGCGAGGTCCTCTACACGTACCAAACCAAGCAGACATATGTACGTATGGATATACATACATAAATATTTACAAACACATAATCCTATCCCAAGTGAGAAAACTAGACAGGGCCGTATTCGCTTGCTCAAGTAGAGCGGTAATGCTGTAATCACACCCGAGCCGGCTAGCGGCCTCGCCTATGCCTTCCCCGATGCAGAGGCTCACCTTACCTTACCACTACTTCGTCCCGCGTCCGCCCATCATCGTGTCACCCTACTTCAACCCATCTTGCCTTTCCCGTTGCTTCTCGCCACGCCTACAGTACCCGGTGACTGCTTATTGCTCCATTCACTGCTTCCGATAGGCAACACGCCTTCATCAATAGGCCTGCGTTCCGTTTACCCTGCACAGTAGCCTATCACCTGCCCTCAAACGCCGCTGCTCTACGTCACATTGTTGCCGTGCCCAGCAATGTGTACACTGATGATGCCACTCTCTGTGCAAGTCACAGTATATGGTCTGTGAATGAGTCAAGTCGAGTCGTCTATATAAACTGTCTCTGCCTCGAGGTCAAAATGCATACAAAATACTATTCAACTATCTAAGTCTACTATCAATCGCTGTGATACACGTTAACTATTTCATTGCAATCCATACCCAATTTTCCTATAGTCCAATTGATACGAACCACGCACAAGTTCAACTTCGTTTGCTCGCCATGTCACTTCACGAACCGGCTGACAAGACTGCTGAGTGGCGACCAACGTACCACCGTCAGTCCACCTTCGAACGACGTCAGCGAAGCGTCACCGCTTTCATGTCGTCGGACTCTCTGCACAAGTTAAAAGAGGAGCAAGGCACGCTTGACACTACTGTTGAAGTCAGTACCCTTTTTCCCTCTTGCTCAAACACACTACTCACATGTTGCACGATCAGGCTGTGTATGCTGGTCTCGCCGTCAGCCAATCGGAAGACGGCGAGATCGACTATTGCATTGCTTTGCACGACGGAAGATACACCATCAGCAGCGAAACCAAGCCTTTGGCGACAGCACGAAGCGTACGCAACTCGTCCAACGACTCGTCAAAATCCACATCGTCTGTGTCCACGCCTGAATCTGAACAAGATGCCCCCGAGGCCCTGATCAACGCAATCACCACCTTCTTAAGTGAATACCGAGAGGACCGTGTCTTGAAGCCCATGGGCGCTGGCGTGACTGCAGAGCTCCACCGTCTGAGCCCTCATCTCGCCGTGCGTCTGTGGCAGGAGCTTGACATCCTACCCTTTGTTTTCCCGATTGAGCCACATGACAAAGCCGAGCACACGTCGATGCCTTTGGACCAACAGGCAGAGTACATGGCTAGGAAGGCTGCGAAGCGCTTCAATGCCAGGGGCGATCTTCCGATTCGGATGGGTCATCGTCGACAGGTCTTGGTTGATCTTGACGGGTGCGTGAAAATCACTGAACTCGACAGCTACAAAGATACCGTCAGGGCCGACACGACAGGAGCTGCAACCATGCACTATGCCAACTCGCTCAAAAAGAACAACGTCAAAATTGCTTTTTTCAACACCACAGCACAAGGTGGAGGAGTAGCGTTGATGAGACACGCGCTGATACGATATCTGCGCCTTGTCGGAGTCGATTGCAAGTGGTAAGCTTCATCAATTACAACTACAGTTATTCCATATCAACAAGTCCACAGGTACGTCCCTTTTGGAAGGAATGAAATTTTCCGAATCACCAAAGACAATCACAACATTCTTCAAGGCGTAGCAACGGACGGCGAGCGCCTGACTCAAGAAAAGATAGCCAAGCTTGACGAATGGGTCCTGGAAGAAGCAGCAAAGTGTCACTGGACCGAGTTTGGTGGCCCACTCTCTGCTCGTGACAAGGGCGGTGCCGACGTGATTATCGTCGACGACCCCCAGATGCCTAGCCTTGTCAAGATTGCCAAAGAAAAGGACCCTAGCCGCCCGGTCATCTTCCGCAGCCACATTCAGGTGCGGGCCGATCTTGCTGACCAGGAGGGAACAGCCACGTCCGAGGTGTGGAACTGGGTTTGGAACCATATCAAAGATTGTGACATCTTCGTCAGTCACCCTGTTCGCGCCTTTGTTCCCAACAATGTCCCTCCAGAGAAGGTGGGATTCATGCCTGCCACGACCGACTGGCTAGACGGACTCAACAAGCACATGCATCACTGGGACGAGCAGTTCTACATGCATAATCTCAGAGTTCGATGCTTTGAAGTGGGTATGCATCCGATGGCCCTCCCGGGTCGTAAGTATATCACTCAGATTGCTCGTTTCGACCCGTCAAAGGGAATTCCGGATGTTCTTGCATCATATGCTCGCTTGCGCAAGGTGTACATGAAGGACGCTCCTCTTGAGAAGATTCCGCAGCTCGTCATTGCTGGCCATGGGGCCATTGATGATCCCGATGCCACAAGAATCTTTAAGCAGGCGGCAGATGCATTGACAGGCGACTACAAAGACATCAGGCAGGACATCATCATGATGCGTATCGGCCCCTCGGACCAGATGCTCAACGCGCTCATGTCTTGCGCCCATGTTGCTCTACAGCTTTCCACTCGCGAGGGTTTCGAGGTCAAGGTCAGCGAGGCACTCCACAAGGGCACTCCCATCATTGCAACTCGTGCCGGCGGCATCCCGCTTCAAGTTCAGCACGGCAAGTCTGGTTTCCTTGTGAAGCCCGGCGATCATGATGCAATTGCAAGGCATCTCTACGATCTATTCACTGATTCTGAACTGCACGCGACCATGTCCGAGTATGCCAGCCACCATGTCAGCGATGAGGTCAGCACGGTAGGCAATGCATTGGCTTGGCTTTATCTGGCAGACGAGCTCGCCAAGGGCGAGCATATCAAACCCAACGGCCAGTGGATCAACGACATGGCTAGACAAAAGGCTGGCATCCCGTACAAGAAGGACGAGGATAGGCTGGTAAGAGATGCGGACCTGACGAGTAATTGAGAGCGAGGGTATTGAAGGGCGCAGTCGATGATGAGCGGGGTAAGGTGAACATGACAGGTATCTGGTACTATGGTTTCCTTCTTTCACATGGGTGTCCTGTCCGAGTAGGATGTAAACCTAATGAGTATGTGCGGGGGGTAAGGCTATGAATGCAGTAAGCATTATCGGTCCTCGTGGAAGGGCAGAATCAAAACGTGGAATTTCTACTTTGGTCCAGACAGTTGACATGATATTTGTACCAGTGTTTGGCCTGAAGAGAACCATGGTACAAGCATGGATGTGGGCATGCAGTGCAATGGTGCCGGTCTTCTGGCGCGATTCCTTGCAGCTGCCCTGCAGCATCGCTAGTAAGTGGATAGTTGGACGACCATCGCCGTGACAGGCTTCCAATGACGGCCAGCACGCGGCTCGTCCTCACGCCTATTTTGTAATACGCTCGACTTCACCGCCTTCCCCCAGGCGTTCACGATGGAGTCGTGTGTGCATGGCCCAAGAGCAGAGAGGACCGACTATAGGTCGTCGCCTGACTTGCCGTGCAGGGGGCTCGCCGGTCCTGGCACTCGTCACTAATAAACCCGCCGAGGTCATGCGCATCGACTCCCTTGACCCAGCCCATACCGTCCGAGCTTTGCTTTCCCCGGATTTTGCTTAAGATGCTCCCTCCGCCAGCTTGTCGGCCTGCCTGACATTGCTCTGCCTGCTCTTCACAAGCCATGGACATGACCAAGACCCAAGCGCGCTACAACTTCAAGACGCGCCCGGTCGCGCACCCTGATGCCATTGTCGCTGGCGACAAGTACCGCTTCACCATCCTCACCGATGGTCTGCTCCGCTTCGAGTGGGCAGACGACGGCCGCTTCGAAGACCGCGCCAGCACCTTTGCCATCAACCGCAGACTGGCCGTGCCGGACTTTTATGTCTGGGACAGGGGCCACGGAATCGAAATCGTCACAAAGCGCTTCCATGTCGTCTATGACAAGAAGAAGTTCAGCCCCGAGGGCCTCAAGATACACCTCAAGGGCTCTGTGACGGGCACTTGGACATATGGCCAGCAGCTCTCCAACTTGGGTGGCACCACGCGCACACTGGATGGCGTCAATGGCCGCGCAAGGCTGGGTCCGGGGGTGCTGTCTAGGGAGGGCATGGCACTCTTGGATGACACCAAGTCGATGCTCTTCGAGGACAATGGCTGGATCGCAGGCCGCAGGAGTGGCGATAGGACTGACCAGTACATCTTCATGTACGGCCATGACTATCGCGAGGCTATGCGCGCATACTATACTGTCTC